TAGTAATGCAAATTGAACTCGGTTTATATTTAAAGAGGGTATGGTCTTCCAGAAATCACTATTGTGCGCTCACAAAACCTAACAATTAAGAATTTGTATCTTTCACAATCAGCTGCTTATTATTCTAAAACATTGCATCAATCTTTTGAGTGCGTTAATAATTTTGCCTATTCTCAGATGTTTCATTTTTTATATATTGGATTCTACAAAAATATCACAATTAAGAATTTACAACTGAGCAATAGTATCACATATAACAACCCTTTTATAATTATAAAAGGATATGACTTAATGGAAAAAATAGAAAATGAATAGATTGATATTATAGATTCTATTTTTGATTCTAATATGCTTATCATTACAAAGGCCAATCGTGCCACTTCTATCATATCAATCCTCTCAGAATAATCAACTATTGTGACGTTTAACAATGTAAAGTTCTATTATAATCATCTTAATCAATATTTTCAGGATTTATCAAGATAATCAGCTTCAACATTGCTTATTCAATTACAATAAGGTAACTTTTATCTTGAAAATTCTTATTTTAAACAAAATCTGGTTACAAATTCTACAGATTCTATTTTGTACCTAAAAGCCATAAGTGTAGTAATATCTAATACTAAATTTCAAAAAAACAACATATTATAACTCTCTATAATCAGCTAGAATATCTTGTTACCTAATGATGATTAAGATGAGATAAATGGAAAAACTTTAACGAATGCTTTTCCAATAAGTTCTAAAAGTGGAAATGGATTATTAATTGCAACTTATCTTACTTTAGATAAAGTGAGAGTGGAATAATCTTTTTCAAACTATGGTGGTGGATTCTACATTAATACACAAGGAATTAGCAAGATTGTGATAAAAAATTCTAAATTTTTAAATACGTAAACATTAATGTAGAGTTCTTCTTTTTCAGCTGGAGGTTGCATTTATATTGATGCACAATTATCAAAATTAGAATTAACTATATCATCAACTACTTTTGACACATCTATTAGTAGAATAGAAGGAGGAGGCATATATATTATACCATCCTAATAGGAGAATAATATTTAAATGACGAATTTAAATGTAGTAAATTGTTACTCCATAAAAAGTTCCTTTCTATCGTTTTAACCCTCCAGTTTGGACAATATAAAATCTTAGATTTATATAAGTGGTGTAATTTTTTAGAATACTGAAAAGGGATTTAATAATTTTATTTCACTATTGCTATCCCCATCAACCGCAGATCTTGATTCCATTCGTAACAGTAATGCATTGATATCGATTAAATATGCAAGCGTAAGTATAAACAATTGTAGTTTTTAATCTCCCCAATTTTCATATTTCTTGGACATAGAGTCTGCTGCTAATATTTCTTTGCAGAATATCGAGATCATTAATTCCACAGTTTTATATTCCCCACTTCTCAAAATGAGTCTCAGGCCATGTAAATATTACATTATTCAATTTAGACTACAATAGCAATCTGATGATCAAAAATTTAACAGTACAAAATGTGATTTAGAAAAGAATAATCGTTGATACTCCTTGTTTAGTAACAAGTCTAATTGCTTCTGGATCTTTTGTTTGTCCCTTAGTAGCCACTACTTAAAATAAAAAATTATCTGATTATGACACAACATCAATTTAGTAAATAACAATGGAATGCAATTAGTACCTCATATATTAAAATGTCTCCTACAAATTTAGTCTTATAGAAATAGATGACCTAAAGACAAGCCATAATTTCTAAGCAGAAGACATTTCATTTGATTCAATACAATGTTCTGATTGCTAATATGGAATTCTTAGATTTGAAGAGATAGAACAGTCAGATACTGAAAATATCCTATTTTCAAATATTAAGATAAGAGACAGTAATTGTGGGTAAACAGGATGCTTATCTTTACTTTAATATGAAAGCGATTCAATATTAAGGAAGGATTTATTATCCTCTTCTCTTAATTAAAGAGTACTCTAACAACACGATTACTATAATTTAACTTACAATTTAATTTACCAAGCAAGAATATTAAATTCTTTATTTATTAATAATATTGCCATTTATGGTGGATCTATATTTATAGTAGAAATATCCTCAATATTGCATGGCTGTTACTTTAAAAATAATTCAGCCAGTATAGGAGGTGCTATTTATTATTTCTCAAAGCAGACTTAATTACACATTTTTGAAACTTAAATCCTTGAGAATAAAGCCAAAATAGCTGGGGGATTATACTTAAATTCTTAGTCATTACAAACTACAACCTAACTTGATGTTTACTTATCCAATAATAATTCAACCCTTTTTGGTTCTGATGTTTTTGAGAATCCTAGATCCTTAACAATATCTTTAGATGCAGGAAAAACATTTCTAACCAAAAACCAGATATCAAAAACTGCGACGTCGGTAGTTGAATAAATTGTCATCATACCTTATAAGATTTTAGGCTAAGCTGAAAAATCCAAATTCATTATGTTTCCATCAGGAAGAGCCATAGGAACCTATAAATATTTTGATCAATACACATCTTCGTATATTCCCTACAATCTTACTTTTAGAATCATAGCCCTTAACAAATACAACACTTAAGAAAAAGAATTGGAAGGATCTACTTGTACTATTTCTCCAAGCATTATGAATTCTACTACCAAAGAAACAATCTCAGGATTAACTGGAAGTTTATCATACACAACTGTAAAATTTAACTAGACCTCTGGTGACTTTAATTTGGATGATCTTATTATATACTTTAATCCTACTTATGAACCAGAAATTATTATGTAATTATCAATATTTTGTAATATCATTTCAATACCTTAATATTAATCCACTCCACCTTATTCTATTGATAATGCAATTACAAACTATAGATTATTGGTGGATATAAGAACATTTAATTGTTAATTAGGTGAGTATTAGAATATGACAACAGGTGGTTGTACTTTATGTGATACAGTATAGAATTAATATTAAGTTTAATGGAGTGCTTAAAGTTGTAGTTATAAGGATGATTAGAAAATGAAATCAATAGAATCTTCAATGATTGAATTAAGATTTGGTTATTGGAGAGCCTATTATTATACTTAAACTGTTGAATATTGTTATCATTTGCCATCAAATTGTGAAGGTGGTTGGAAACCTGGAGATCAATCATGTATTGAAGGTCATATTGGAGCACTCTGTGAACAATGTGATCTCTATAACATCAGATCCTAAGGTTCCTACTCTGTTAGCTCTAAATACTCCTGTGGAAGCTGTGATCAAATAATAGGCAATGTTTTAACTATCTTTTTTATCAGCGTATGGACTCTTATCTCCATACTGATGTCAGTTAACAGTACTGTTGAGATGATTGAAGAATTTATTGCAGGTTTAAGATTAAAAGCCTTTGGGTTTACAGTGCTAATTAAACCAGCTTCAACTGCTATTTTTATTAAAGCATTCACAAATTATTTACAAATCATTTCTACTATTGCAACATTTTAACTTGAAGTACCATCTGGTTTAGCCTCAGTTGTTAATAGTGTAGGAAATCCAATCGAATCAATGGCATATTCTTTAGACTGTTTCCTTATAAGAATCACAGACATTGAAATAATTTACTTTAGAATTATTTGGAGTTTACTCTTGGCTACCTCATATATTATGGCATTTTTTATCATTCAGGGTGTCCAAATATTAGCAAAATCTATAAAATATAATACAGCTTTTGTTTCGACTGCCTTAATATACGTTTTTATATATTTACAACCGAATTTGATTGCAGGCTTGATATCCCTCGTTTCATATAGGATCATTTCTGATGAATATTGGATTCAGGGTAATGTTTCTTATAGATATGATACATATTCACATGCCAAATGGTTGATATCATTTTGTTTTCCTCTCTTACTCTTATTTAGTTTTGTTATACCAGTATTTTTTTTTTATGGAGTAAGGAATAATAGAGGCTAATTAAATAAGACAGTAGTTCGTTAAAAATGGGGGTACTTGTACAATGAATACAAAATACATGCCTACTATTGGGAAACCGTTAAAATATTGTAAAAGGAACTGATTATTATTGTACTGGCATATTATGATGATCACATTGCTATCAAGGCTTCTCTTGTATTTTTAGTATTATTCGGATACAGCTTTGTAACAACCTCATAAAAACCATATATTAGTGGTGAATTGAACTATTTAGACACGCAATCCACAATAGTTTGTGCAGTTTCAATCATATTAGGAAGTTCTATAAATACTGCCCAAAAATCTAACTTAGTTGAAATAGTATGGCCCTTTTACATTATCATTGCCATTTTAAATGCATATTTTATTTTTAAAATGTTAATAAAAATATTGTTTGCTTATTTTGATAAATTGCATGAACAAATTGATAAGGTTAAGGAGTTGATGGTAAGCAATTTCCCAAATTTAATTAAGAAGCATCCTTTTATATAAGATTTATTTGAAAGTAGAAAAAAACAAAAAGCAAGAGTTAAGGCTAGATTTACCAAAATTAAAAATCATTTGTTACCTTAGGCAAAATTAATTATTTAATTTAAAAAGTAAATAAATTTAATCATTCATTTTTAGGTAAAATAATTTAGATTTGCCTGGAAGAATAAATACACAATTATCTGATTATGATGAAGATATGTAAAAGAAAATGGAAAAAAATATTGACATTAATTTGTGTGCTATTAATCCCTTATCTCCGGAGTGTAATTCTGATAAAGATTCAAATGTGGATTCTTTATTTAAAAAGCCATAATCATCTAAAGTTTACCCGGAGCTAATAATTAATTATATGAATTAAGATAGTTTAAAATCAAGCATCCATCATTCTCAAAGTTGATTTTTGAAGGAGATTTTAATACTTTAATGACTTATATAATTTATTTTCGTAGGTTATCAAATAATTATATATGTATCTGCGATGATTAATATAATAAATTATTAATTTGGAATATTCAATTTAAGTTTTGGTAAATTGTATATATCAATGAATATTTAATCAAATATCAGCACTTTATCTTGCACTCTCCACTTCCAAATCTATTTCTGGATGTATTCTAGTACCACTTGGTCTGGGAAATGAAAAAACAGATGATCTCTCATTCAAGATGTTGGTTGGGTACTTTACTAAGGTTTTTAAGTTTTATCTTTCGGTAATTATTTCACTTTATTTTGGACTATTCAAACTTTATATATCTCCATAATCAAACTCTTGGATTTCCTTCTCTCTTCCTGAAGATTTATATGTGTCTACTACGCAAGGCAATTCAAAGTTATTGAACCTTTTTGAATAACATTATATATTACTTTTTAAACTCTAAAATCTTTTTAGCCTAGGGGAAAATATATTCTCTGATCTTTCCATATCTTCCTTTAATTCTTATCTATTATGTTTTGCGGCTTTCTAGGATCTACTTTATATATGGATGTTAATTGGCTAACTTGGGGAATCTCTTGGAAATAAAGTCTTTAATAATATCAATTTTATCATGGAGTTTCTTAAAATATGCAAATAAAATTTGCAATAGCATTTTTAATATGTACAAGCCATTTAGAACACCAATTATAATGTAAAAAGGCCAAACAATCTCTTATAAATTTTATTATTAAGCAGTATATATGGAACTAGCCAAAATAATTGAAACAGCACAAACAACAATAGAATGGGTGTCTAGAAGATTTAATTATCCAGTCATATAAGGTTTATTCGAAATTGTCAAGTAGCTATATCCAAATAATACAAGAAAAACTAAAGATGCCTTGATTGCAATGTGATCATCATAATAGGCAAGCACAATAATAATTACTTACTTTTATAATATTTTGATAGTTTCCCAATAGTAAGCGTGTAATTTGTATTCATTATACAAGTATCCCCATGTTCTTCTTACCTTAGTCATATCTAGTTGGTATTTATTTTTATGGACTCCAAACCACAAGAAAAAGGGAAGGACGCAGCAAAATATTATTAGAAGTGGAAAACAAAAGCCAACCACCCATTTGGCATGGGATATAGTATCATATCTGTATGCAACATTGCCTTATATCCAATATTCATCAGAAATTTTTCTATAAGATAATAGAGATATAAGCCCTCCTATAATGTTAGGTTGCAAATAGATGAATAAATAAATGAGGGAAGTAGAAACGTATGAAAAATCAATCTTAGCACGCTTAAATAGAACTGCAAGACCTCCTAAACCAAAAAATATCGTGATATACATGGTAGCCATAATTAATCCCCATATGATTCTGAAGTAAATGATTGATATCTCTGTAATGGATACAAGGAAACAATCAAGAGAATATGCCATTGATTCTATTGGATTGCCAACGCTATTAACCACAGAGGCCAAACCAATTGGAACTTAAAGTTGAAATGTGGAAATTGTAGATACAATTTACAAATAATTAGTAAACACCTTTATCAGTATAGCCGTTGAAGCTTCTTTAATTGCAACTGTTACTCCAAAAGCCTTCAATCGAAGCCCAATAACAAATTCATCAATCATTTCCACAGTACTGCTGACTGACATCAAAGTCGAAATGAGAGTCCATAAACTTATTAAAATAATACTAATGATATTGAATGCAATTTGATCACAGCTTCCACAGGAGTATTTAGAGCTAACAGAGTAGGAACCTTAGGATCTGATGTTATAGAGATCACATTGTTCACAGAGTGCTCCAATATGACCTTCAATACATGATTGATCTCCAGGTTTCCAACCACCTTCACAATTTGATGGCAAATGATAACAATATTCAACAGTTTAAGTATAATAATAGGCTCTCCAATAAACCAAATCTTAATTCAATCATTGAAGATTCTATTGATTTCATTTTCTAATCATCCTTATAACTACAACTTTAAGCACTCCATTAAACTTAATATTAATTCTATACTGTATCACATAAAGTACAACCACCTGTTGTCATATTCTAATACTCACCTAATTAACAATTAAATGTCCTTATATCCACCAATAATCTATAGTTTGTAATATTTTACTTGATTTCAAATGGAGGTTCATCATTATATTGAGGAATAATTATTGAACTACATTAGATAGATAATCGAAGAACAAGGTTATTAGTCAAGTTTGGCATAAAATAGATTACTAAATTATCTAAATTATAATCGCCAGAGGTTTGATTAAAAGTAACGTTAGAGAAAGAAAGATTGTAATTAACATTAGGTTCTTCAGTTTAAGAAGATATATTAAAGGCAAAAGGTTTTATTGTGCAATAAGAATTCTATAATCCTTTGTTTTATTTGTTAAACTTATCTAAAGCTATTATCCTAAGAGTTAAATTATATGGAATAATTGTGGACGTATATTGATCAAAGAAATCATATGTACCTATGGGCCTACCTGATGGGAGAGTTAAATATGTCATTTTTTATGAATAGCCTAAAACTTTATAAGGCTTAATGATGATTTATTCTGTAATACTGCTTTCGGTTACTGAAACTAATGATTTTTATAATAGAGTTTATCCTCCATCGATTGAAAGAGTCAAGGACCTCGGGTTTTCAATCACATCCTCTCCATACATAGTAGAATTATTGTTTAATAATTGAATATCTAATTCTTTTGTCAATTAAAGGGATTATTAATTTAAGAACACTCCTCCTGCAACCTTAGCTGTATTTTAAATTATTTAAGTTTCAAGAAGGAAAATTTAACTTTCTGATGAAGAATAATAAATGGCTCCTCCAATTTATGCTGAATTGTTTTTGAAAGTACATTTCTTAATTAAGGTACCAAGTTCTACTATTAATATTGATCCCCCATAAAATGCAGTGTTATTTAAAAAAGAACTGTCCACAATATTAATTTGTTGATTTAACTTAAAATGTAGGTTATCATAATCATGTTACTAAAGTATTCTTGTAGGTCCTATTAAATTCTATTTAAGAATGAATTCATCCAAACTTTTTACAATTGATAAGCAGCCTGTATTTCCGCATCTACAATTTTTAATAGCAATTTAAGATAACTTCATAGTTTCTTTGTTTTGTTAGTAAATTTCAAGAATTCTAAATATACCAAATTAACAGTTTTCACATACAATATTTGTTAACTCCATTTTTTCAACTTTTAATTGATGAGTTTAATTAAAGTTATCTATTTCAATCAAACTGTAATTAAATTGCTTATTTGAGTATATTAAAAGTTGATTACAAAGAAATTGTAGTTCTTTTTATTTTGTTTAATCTTTTTCATTCAAATTTAAAGCTACTTAAGATACATGAGTAGGACATTACAATTCAGAGTGAATAGCAGAGTTAGATTAAATGCAAGAATCGGTATAAATCTATTTTCTCTCAATGACATTAGTTAATTATAGATTAGATATTTATAACTAGCCGGAAATTTCTAAATAATATTATAATTGATTAATTACATGTTCTTAAATTTAATTTGAATAATGGTGACTACAAAATGGTGCTATTAATAACTTTGACATTAGATAAAATAATATTTTCAGCCTATTCAATTTTAATTAAGAATTAAATAACAGTAGAAAGAAAGCTACAATTATATATGCTAAAATTTCCATATTATAAAAATATCATAGGATTAGAATGAGCAACATTTGAAGCATCATCTTCAGACAAATCTTAGATTAAAGAAAAATATTTTTGAAAACCGTTTTCAGATGTTTAGAATTGTATATTCTTAAAAATTACATTCGATTTAATTGTATCTATCTTAGAAAGAGTGTATGAGAAAAATGTATTTTACAGTGAAAAGCATTCTCTTACGATCAAATTAAAAATTGTAATCAAATTATAACTGAGTGAGGGAGTAATATAAATAGCTCCTCCATCATGTCTACTATAAGATGTATCTATTATAGAATCATGCAATTAAAAATTGAGTTGTGAGGAAGATGCATCAATATATAAGCATCCACCTAATGCATAAACTGAATCATCTAGAGAAGACATCGTATTGTAAAAAAATGAATTAGCAATTCGTATTACACTTATTGCTTGAGTAGTAATAGAAAATCCTCCACCATAATATGAGTAGGATGAATTAATAGTAATGTTATCTATATTCAGAGTTTGGATTATAAATAATCCATTCCCTCCATTAGATTTTACTTAGAATATGGAAGCATAATCAATCTCATTTTAATCTTAAGATTATGAAAATAGTATATGGTTACTAATTCTAGATAAATTCATTAACCCATTATTTTAGAAGTAAGAATTCTGTAATTACAAAACAGAAGATTTAATATGGAGGATTGCATCAGTAGAATTAGTGACAATATTTTAGATAAATTTGCATTCATTCATTAATACACTGCCTTGTTATAAGGATATCTAAATGGTTGTAGCTGAAACTATAGTTAAATCTTGAACATATTCATTTAAATGATTGAATGCAAAATATGCGATAGACAATGTGACTTTTGATTTTTATTCTGACTCTATAGAAATCAAGGAGGTGTGCTAATTTGTATCAGAAATAATAAGAATATTCTAAATAAGTTTGATATTTTAAATAACAATTGTTTCAGTCAGTATCTTTTACAGAGTATCATATCCTTTAAAAATGATGAATGGACTGTTGAAACTTAAACTATTTTACACATTCACTTAATCAATAAACACATCCTTATATTATCCGATATAGATGAAAAAGTGCATATTTAAAATTGCAAATTATTTCACACATTCAAATGAAGAATGAAGTGCTTTTGGCAGGAATTTTGAATTTTGTGAAATAATCAAATTTCTCATTTCCAATTTTTCCGAGTTGATTATTGTCATTTCTGGTAATCCATATCCTCTAATAATTTAAATATTTTCTAAGAGACAAATTTAGCAGTCAATGTAAATCATAGAATTTTCATAAGAAATTTACTAACTTTAAGTTTTGGATACTGTTTAACAATTTTATAATTGGAATTCCATTAATATGAATTTTAAACCACCTATTTCATCATATTTGGTGATTACTAAAATTTGCTATTACTATTCATATACAACATTAAGAATTTAAAAATTCTTTAGGAATACATCAGAGGATGCTAATAATGCTTATTCGGATTTAGTATAATCCACTTTATTAGTAATTAAAATACTATTCATAATACTTGTATTGTTCACGATGATGTCGTGAGTATTTATGATATTTGAGGCATAAAAATTTGAACCAAGACTTAGTAATGAGTTATTTAAGATTATATTCGATATCACAGACTTCTCAGCACAAGAGAGTAATAGAAAGTTTGAATTCCATTAAAATTCAGTGTTCTCAACAGTGATAGAATTAATATCTAATTATCCAATTGTATAATTCAATAAACTACTACTATATATAAAGTTTGATTAAATAAATTTAGTATCTTTAATTTAAATTTAACTTATTACTGAATTTAAAGACAAATGGTTAAGTTGAGCTAAATATTTTATCAAAGTTGAATTGAAAAAATAAGAGTCTTTAATAATTACGTTATCTATCTCAATTGCATTCTTTAAAATTTTTTATTGAGCTGTGAATTGGAAAATATCTGAATCGTAAATGTAAAAGTTAGATATCATTAAGTTTTTAATATATAAAGAATAAGGAATATTTGAATTGAACGTGAAAGAATAATTTTTATCTGTTTCATTCTAAGTAATAAATCCACAGTTTATCAATTTTAAGGTTAAGGTTAATTTCAAATTAAATAAAGATAGAATAGATTAAGTATTTTGGGAATCTTGCTTTTATGCACAGTTAAACCTGATATTTTGAAAAGTCACAGTAGTATAATTACTAATTTTAAATTCTACTGGAACCTACAATTGTGTTGGATTAGTTTATCCAATTAGCATGAGATCAACTTATTAAATAGCAAATACATTTTATTATAAAGTTGAGTGAATTTGAAGTATATCTATAAATACACAGTTAGGTTGATTACCCTATATAAATGTAAATTAATATTCAACATTTCTAACAGAGATCTCATTTAAATATTAATAAAGTGAAGCTGTTTCTTTGGAGATCAAGTATGAATCATCAAAAAACTGTTGTATATAAATATTCTTTGATGCAAAAAATTCATCATTTGATTCATACTATTTGGTCATTAAATCATCAAAATCACAATAGATATTCTATTTAATTATTATTTTATTATAGCATTATAAGTTTTCTGTGCAAATGGATATTGTCTAAGTGAAAGAATCATGAAAATAATTTTCTTATAAATTAATCTTATTTGATTTCTCGTAGCATTTTCTTGTAAGTTGTACATTTGAATTAGTTACTATAAAATATGGATTTATATCAGCGATTTCATCTAAGGATCTATTTAAACAGGCCAAACAATTAGATGGACATGTTAAACATGTTCCTTAAGTATTTAAGCTTTTGAGAAACCCTGATGAAGTTTCATAGCACTTAATACAAGTAGATTTTCCATCTATAATTACACATTCCTTACAGTTTTCATCACAACCCTTTATGCATTGATTTTGATGCAAGATATACCCTACTTAACATGATGTACATATCAATTCTAAATCAGCTTCAGCATTTGTTGAAGCATAGTTTTCAAAAGCATGATCATTATTGGAGTTTAGAAAGTATCTATAAAAGGCTTTAATTTACCATTTCCAGAAATCTCGATATTACTTATTTTATTGAATACAAGTCTTACAAGTGTGTGTACATTACTAACATTAGCCTGTCAAAACACCAGAATAATAGCCATCTTCACATATAATGCAGAAGCTATCAGTTTCAATATAATTTTTTATGCATTACTTACAATTTAGGAGAGTAGGACAATCAATATTTTAAACAGAATCAATATTACTTGAACTGATTATACATTTTTGAGTTGCATCACTTAAAATTAATGCAAAATCACAGTCATCATTCACTGGTTTCAATTCGCATTTCTAAGTACTTAAATTAAAGAAATAGTCTTATTTACATAAAGCACAGCCAAAAGATACTTACATAAAGTCAAAATTTATGATATTGAATTATAGATCCAAATTAGAAATGTAGATTCCACCATTCATCATATATTGAAAACAATAAATACAATTTTCTATATTGCATTCTTCGCAACTTTTGCCATCAAAAGAGATATACCGTAAAGAGGGTGATCCATTACAGAAGTAACAATACCCATCTGAATTGCAACTCTGACAATTAACCCCACATGATACACATTTGCCATACAATAATTCTTATGTTCCATAACAAGTATCACACCATTGTTTTCCATTATTTAATAAACAAGTTTTACAATTCGTGCACTTCTTACATAAATGTTCATCATCCTTGTAAAAACCTGGAAAACATTATTTACATCTATAATTAGTAATACAGGTTTAACAACCCTCCAAGCATTCCTAACATTCCTTATCTTTGTAAAAATATCCTTCCTTACAACTACCTTCACCTAAACATCCTTAACATAACTTAATTAAATAGTTATCGTTTCCATCTTTTGAAAGTTCAAAATAACTAACATCATTAGGTTTTCTCAAGGAAACGGAAAATGTATATTCAACTTGAGAATTGTAAGTCTCGGCATCTTGAGTACATTTGAGTGTTTTTGCAAATATCTTGGGGTCAATTATACAATCAAAACAAGTAAGTTGTGTTCTTGTAAAAATATCAAAATAATTTGGACTAAAATAGACAAATCTATTACCATTAAACACAATTTTAATCTAATTAGAAATATCCAAAACTACATTCAATACTATCATTAGCACAATTAACATATCCTAATTTTGAGCATTTCAATTCAACTTCTTGTTTGGTAATTTGGGGAAATGCCTATAAAATTGATTTGCATTCATATAAACCATCCTAATCAACATATCTCTATTAACAAAAACAAGTCTTTTCAGTTTCTTAATGCTATCTAAAACTATCCTCAGGACAACTTAAACAATTATATTAAGTGGGACCATCACATGTTAAGCAAGTATAATGACATGATGGAACTAGTAATGCTTCAACTGGTTGACAGAATGTTTCTAATAGGATATCACTTACATATCCTTTCATAAATCGTTGAGAATAGTCATCCCCTCCAACAGATACATAATACACAACACCTGTAAAATGTTTAACAGGTTGAGACCATTTGTATTATTGAAGCTATTCGATTGTTGGAAAATATAAGGAGAGCATAGGTTTTCCATCATTGTTTTAGGTTCCAAATTCATATTAGAAATAATGCCATTTTAAAAATAATTCTGAAAATTAATCTCCAAATTTTGAAATTTTATTATCTTCTTATGTCTTATACCTTCCCCTTGATGGAAATGCATATGAATAAGTTGAAATTTGAAGTCCATTTTCAAGGGGTAAACTGCTCTAAAAATATTCAAGAAGAACTTCCCTGTCTCCAATGTACATATCATCACTATAATCTTTATTGATTGTTATTCTAAATATCACAGTTCTTTATTCTGCTTAGCTTAATTACTCCATGATAATCCATCCTTTCAGTACATAAATTGGATCTCTGGTTTAAAATGTATTTGTTCGTATAATATCATCCCCATTCATTGCTTAATTTTTATTACTTACCATGTATTAACTAGGATTACAACTATCGTATTCAAAAAAATTTTGGCAAGAAGCAAGGTTAGAGAAAATATTTTCATCGTGTGTTGTAAAGATGGTAGACATTAAACCAGTGAATTGATTTAGAACTATAATTGCTCCATTTTAATTTGTATATTGAAAAAAACCACCGATTTTATGTTATATGCTCGCTACAAAAGGTGGCACATCATCAACTGTTTATGAGGGGATGCTTTCTAAGGCGGTGTAATATCCAAATGTGGATTTTCCTAAAAGTTAATCATAATAGACATAGAACATCACCCATAAACCTTCATAGATAGAACTGTCAAATGTAAATTAGAGAGTATTTAAGGATGATTTAAATGAGTAAAATACATTATGTTGTATTGTTTAAGCAGTTGAATCAATTTTTATTGATACTACAAGCATTTTAAATTTATTGACACTTTATTCCATTGAATAAATAAACTAGCCGCCTTGAACAATAATTTATCCATTTGATGTGGTAACTATCTATGAAGTCCGGTCGGCTAATATTGTAAATTGTGAAATTTACTCAGATCTTTCATTTCAATAAATGGTTGATATTTCACCCAAAGTCCGAATCCTACATTCATTTGTCCTTGAACTACATCCGTCTCCAAGGTTTGGTCTTATACCGATTAAGGATCTGATGGATTAACAAGTGGCATAAATGTTAAAAATTAGCATTAACTTAGTACTTTTCTTAATATATTCAGATAGCTTACACCGCCAATAAGAAGATGAACAATATTTGAAAATATGTTATCATCATGAACAAGATTAAATTTTTATTAAAAATGAAAAAATATTTTAAAGTTGGGATTTGAGATGGTATTTTAAATAAAAATGATAAAAAATCAAGATTATTTGATTAATATCATAATTATTAAATTTTAGCTCTCTGAACAATATGATGATTAATGTACCATCTGATCAAGTAGTTTAATGTTAATATTTGATAATACTTAATTCCTAAAAAGATATTTTCAGTAACAAATTTAAAATCATTGCTTTCATTCGAAAGATGGTGTTAATTTTTATCATCAACTTAATATTATTAATATTAATATCAGTAAAACAATTGAAATCATTAAGATCATGTGAAACACGGTTCTATTCATCACGATATTAATCCACAATATTACTTAATAATAAGTCATACTTATTTTAATTCATTTTATGGGATTAAAAGCGAAGTATTTAATTTATCAAATAATGATGAATAGTAAAGTGAAATCTGAATTTTTGCAGAAACTGGCTTGCTGTTCAGAATACGCTTATAGAGAAGACACCAACTTTCCTATTCGAAATCAAATGGAAGATTGTATACAATACTCTAAATAAGATCAGCCCATTATTATAAAGATAATTGTTTTGAGGATGGCACTGCTTGTCTATTTGCTGTATTTGATGGTCATGGAGGGATTGATGTGGTTGAATACATCACTAAGATTCTGCCTGAAGTAGCTTAATTTAAATATAAATAAAGACCTTTCTGAGGGATTTCAAGCAATTTAATACATTGAAACCGAACGAATATTTTGAACAGATATTCAAGAAGGTGGATGATTAGCTAAAATTAGTTGGTGCTGCAGAAATAGGAGCCACTTGCTGCTTAACTCTATTAAGGAAGGAAGATAATAAAAGGAAATGTTACATTGCAAATTTGGGTGATACCAGGGCAGTGATGAATATAGATGGTAAAGCAGTCAGAATGACAGTCGATCACAAAGGCATTGATCCCGAGGAATAAGCTAGAGTTAAGTAATATAAATGATGTAATTATGCTTACTAAAGGCGGGAAGGAGGCACAATAGTGAGAGGTAGAGTGATGGGCCAATTAGCAGTCACTAGAGCATTCGGAGATCTTGATTTAAAAACAGTTGGTGTATCAGTTAAACCAGACCTAAAAGTGCAGGAAATTACACCTTAATGCAAATACATAATTATGGCTTCAGATGGACTTTGGGATGTCGTTGACGATTAGGTAATTCTCTTTAAATTAAAAACTTATAGAAAGCAGTTGACATAACCAGAGGATTGAAGAACTCCGATGAAATGACAAAAGAGCTGTTGCAGTATGCTCTGAAAAATGGCTCAAGAGATAACATAAGTATCTTAATTGTAATGTTCTGATTTATTATATAAACAAGTATGTAACTATATCATTGTGCAAATGAGCTATTTTAGGAATCATTAATTTAGCTCTCTTAAATAGTGTCATTTTATAACTATTGGAAAACCCTTGATGCTTGAGCCTATTGCTACAACTTCTGCTTTTATTGCAACAACAGTAGTTAAGGTCTACATATCAATCAGATTCTTACCCTTGACTCTCCTTCTACACATTCTACTGAATAATGGTTTTCATCAGTCTTTGATTCTTATCACTTACTTAATGTTTGCCAAAAATATTGGATCTAAATCTGGTTGTGCCAATGAGTGAGTTTCTAAAATTAATAAACTGACTTACTAATCAATATAGTCTTATTCATCTTGTTATTCCTTGGTATCTTTAAATTAAACTGAATCGCTTACTACACTTAACTTGCCTTCTAGTCGCAAATCAGGTTCAACGATTGTTAATTATGGAACATTAGAAATATTGAGTATTTCATTCCTAAGTCCTATGTGTCTTGACCAAGCATTAAGATAATCAGCAGGTGTCAATACTTCTTGCTAGTACTTGAGAAATGATTCCAGCCATTATATTTGATCGTATTGTCTCTTCAATTCTAATTGATCACCAACCAAGTAACTCATTTTCTTTTAGGTTTCTTCCTGCAATTATAAGAGAGCCTCTTGTAACACTTGATAAATCCTGCCTTCAATGATTGAAGCATTTTTGTTAACTTCTTTGATGCTATAATCTATTTGTTATAGATATTCTGCCAATTGATTCTTTCGTTTCTCTATCAATGGATCAATGTCTTTGGATTCAACTAAGGATTTCATATATGCATCTGAGATCTTGACCAGAGGATGATTTGCACTCTCCCCTGAAGAATGAGATCCACCTATTTTACAATATAAACAAAGGGGAGTTCTATCAATTGTGCAAAATAACTCCAACTTCTGGTCAGGATGTTATTAACAATTGCCGAATGTTTTTGGTTTCTTAATACATATATAATAAAGTCTTACTTCATTTATAGGGATTCTCTGATGCTTTGATACCAATTTACCCCCTTTTAGATGATGTTCTTCATCGCAGTCATAACATAAATTCATATCATCTGCTTTACAATATATGGTTGCTGTATTATCATTACAAATATCACAAAAAGGAGACTAATTCAACACCCAAACTTACATTCAAATTGTCTTCCTTTTTCTAATCAAACTCGAATTATACAACATAACATGGCAATACTCTCCCATTATCGAACAATACATAGTCATGTTTAAATGTGCCTGTCATGGAATCCTCGTCTTCATTATATAAGTAGATGCTATCGAATCCTTAAATTAATTTATATTTATCCTTCATCGAGGTTTTATCTGGAAGACAATAGGATTTACCAACTAAAATCATGGTATTTAGTAGTTACCTGCAATCTTTAATAGCAATAACTCATAAACTCTACCAGGTTGTATGTTATCCTATAATTTAATGTGTCCAGTTGGAAAACGAAGTCCAGTCTATGGGAATTCAAATCCTTTGGTACAAACTTTTTCCATCCTATTATTTTCGTCTAGCAAAGAAATCTCCAACCAAGAATCCAATGTTAGCAGTCCCTAATTAGTGTTATCCAGATACATACTTTGCTTGCTTTTTCAAAAGTTTATGTCATGTGAGGATTTGTAATAGTCCAAATATTTTTGACTGTTGCCGATGTGTAACCGGATGACAACTGCAATAAATATTCAATGCGAGCCCATTCTGTAGAATTAGGTGATAGACGTGAGTATTGTTTGTTCAAAAAGTTATGTTAAGGAACATTAGTATAATTTGACATTTAATAATTAATTTAATTCAGTTATACATTAAAATTTATAATTCATTCATATGAAGTATAAATATTTTAAAAACCCTTAGTTGTAGAACTGATTTGAATAGTATTGTATTTAGGTTCCTTTTTTAAGATGTTAATTAAAATAAATAACGTATATATTACATAAAGTTTAATGTTAATTATTAAAGTTTTAGTTTCATTATCCTTTTTTTGTAGTTGTATTTTGATTACACTACTATCTTATCGCTTTTAGTAATATTAGAGTATTGTCCAATTTTTTATCAGTGTTTTGTATTTTATTCAAGCTTATGTTATTCTGGGTGTGATTGCTTCTTCCTGGATTAGGAGAAGTAGTGACACTGGACCAAAAATTGGATTGGGATCTATAATATTTTGATTTATCAGCGTTTTTGGGATCTCTACTTTGGTAGTCAACTCTTTAATTTAGGAAGGAGAGAGCTTCTTTGATTTTGTCACTCAAATTCTATTAGGAGTCTTCAGTGAGCATTTTAGTAAAGACAGCTTTGGATGAGGAGTAGGAGTGAGAATTATTCTGTGCTCTCTTTCCTCTGTTTTGAGAGATGGGTCTAACTGAAGGGCATTCCAAAGTGGATTATAAGGTTTCGGTTCTCAGATCTGAAATGCTTGTGGGGTTTTATAAGGAGCTAGAATAAGTGGAGTAATACTTGATAATAAATCTGAGTTCTTTGTTTGACTTAATGTATTATCTTACCTTATCCTGCTCTTTGCTGATTTGGGTTTATAATTTTAGATTTAACTGAAGGGAGTCTTTTAGTTGGAAGTCTTTGGCCTGTAATTAGTCCTGCAATTCTTTAATTCTTATTTCTTATGCAGATAATTTATTTTCTAACAGCTTAATAATATATAAGGAGTACTTGATTTCTCTAGATTTCTGAGCTCAACCTCTCAGTGATGTGTATGATTTTAATATGAGTTGTATTGGAATTGTCTTCTGAAATTTTATCTAATTGCGAAACTCTAGACATTGTCATAGAAGGCTCATTGATATTGGTGCTGTTTTTGAAGCGACTATAATAGTCGGAACAAAAGATGTCCGTCAAGTTGTTGGAGAGTAGTAGATTAGTTTATCGGTCTGATTCAGAGACTTCCAATAATGAGTCTTAATCATCTTAGTCCATATTAAATTATATTCTAATAAATGTGTTATGAAGAATAAGAAAGTGAGATTATAAATTTGTTATATTAAAGATATAGTTTATGCACACTCCTTATCCCTATCATTGGGACTCTTTGAGATTAGCCAAGAGATCTTCTCAAACTTTACTTTTATTTAATTCAATTTAATTCATTATTATTTTTACAGATGTTTCGAACAAACAAAAGTTCTACAGTTCCAACCAGAACCAAAGAAAAAAGCACTATTTTGGCTCCTTGCATTAATTGTGAAGAATTCATACCCTTCGATAAAATTGATTTGCATGCCTAAATTTGCACTCAAGTTTCTAACAAAGTACTCAAATATTCCCAGTCCACTGTATTCTTTGAGGAGAATGATTTCAAACTTAGCAAATTGAAGGCCAATTTATTGAATAAGAGTTACAAACACACTCAAAGATTATGTCGTATTTGCGAATTGGTTTCTTAAATCACTACAATCGGGTGTGTCGAAGAAGCCTCTTTGAAGGAATTCGAAAAAGAATTACTTAACTTGAGTTAAGAACCAAGTCAATCCATTAATTAATCTTTATATATTGAAAGATTACATTCCCTCGTTCTATAAAGGATGAGTATCATTCAAAATCAATTAAACCTCAAGGCCATGAGGCCTACATCATCACAACAGAACTTCTATCCTCAACAAAACACTACTTTCATCTCAAAAAATTCCAAAAATTCAACAGGCTCAACTCAAACGACTAGTAATAACAACTTATAAAATTTAATTCAAAATAAGTTAGAGTCATCTGATAAATTTAATCGCTTTAATAAACTCAATCAATGCCAATCCCCAGATCCCAGAATGACTTACATCACCAAATTTTCATAAAATAGCCCAATCTCTCAATATGGATTAACGCAATAACAACAAAAAAGTGAGATCTTAACGCACATTAGTGAATAATATGCAGAAAGCATTGATGACCAGTCCAATCCAAAAACATTTGCTCAAAGATGCTTCTATTCCAAGGTTCTAAATCTTAAACTAAATTACCCACAATCCAATCCTGCTTAAAAAATACCAGTCTCAGTTTTATGGAAATAGGCTGAAAAACAGAAAATTAAACCAGAAAATTGGGAATTATTCATTAAAGATTGTCTAGACAAACCATTCCAATATTTGGATCCTGAAAAAGTGAATTCTTAATTTATTAATCCCTCTTAGATGAAATTCAAAAAATAATTATGAATTTACTTGAGATTTAAATATATAAATATATTTTATAACATTCTTTAAACCAATTTATGTATACTATCATTTTAACAAAAAATAATTATCTTCAATAATCATAATTAATATAATAATTTAATGGGAAATAGACTTCCTAATTAAGAGAATTAAGCATGTATAGACCATCATAATATTTCTTAGAATTAGGAGAATAGATGCCGTATTTAAAAAAAAATAAATATGAAATTGAAGTTAAACCAAAAGAGTTTAAAGGTATTTTCATTAAATCATCGATTAGAATAGGAGGTTTAGGTAAATGATATACAAAAATTGTAAGAACAACAAGAAGATAAAGAAGTTTAGGAATTGATTGACTTAGCTAATAATGACTTTGATGATCTCTCTGACCAAATGAATAAAGTAATAAAAATAAAATATAAACCTAGTTAAATTGTCAGCTTGAAGATCTCTAGAATGACTTAGACAAGTATATTTGAATATTAAATCCGTATCCCATGCAAATCTTTTTATTTAGTATTCTCAAAACTCCCTTAATTCTTCTAATAAAGTTGCAATTGTTTTACTAATATGATATCTTTGATTAAAAACAATGAATCTCCAGAAATAACAGAATAGAATATTTTTATTTCCATTAACTTCTTGTTCTAAGTTTTCAAGTGTGAAATTATGAATTTCAGCACAATTGTTGAAATAAATTAGTATTATCATATATTTCTGATTGGTAAAGGCATAGAAATGAATCAATGTATAAAAAATGAAAGATGTTTAGATTTTTCATATTCGGTTCTATATAATAACTAAATTGGAGATGGTTAATAATCTGTGTAATTTAATAAATTGCAGAAGATGAAAGGGAACATTTTTGTGGTATCTTTAACTGAAGCACCTATATAAGAGTGTATTTTATAATTCAATATTATTATTTAATTTTCTGATCATTTCCTTTAAGAGTTCCTCAGATAGCAAAGGTAAATTAATTAATTATTATCATCCTTTCATACCTGACCATATATTTATATTATGCAGCTTATTTTTAGATGAGCAAACAAAATTAGACTTTCATAGTGACCAATCATTCCAGACAATTCCTCCATGGATATCATGTCGATGACAATATAGGCAAAAAGTTGGCTATATCTTAAAGTTCAGAGTTGGGCGGCGGTTTAATGAGTAGTGTTGAAGTAACGAATGAGAATTTAAATATAGGTGGAATAGAGGAAGCCCAAATAGGTGCTTCAAAAGGAATATGATTCCAGGAGTATACGATACGCAAATGAAGATTACTCATATTTGGCAAATTTGTTGTTGAGTAGATTTTCACAGCTAGATGCAGCAGCTGCTATTGCTACTCAATACCCATTATTTAAAATGTTGAGGGGTGTTACCAAAAAATTTATGTTTAATGAGTTAGAAATCATATTCTTTTTGCACACAATCGAAGAATAGAAATGGAGATATGACGATTAATTGATATCAGATTTCTCAGCTTACTTTAAATAAGATTTTTTGAGCAACTAAGAAGTAATTAAATATTAAAGTAAATTAATTAGAATTAGAATGTGGAAGGATTCAAAAAATTGTTATTGTTTCTGATTTGTTGCGGCTATACAATCAAGTGTTTTTTCAATGATTCAAATGATCAAGAGATAATCTTGATAACTGATCACATCCAACAATATTGCTAGAAGGAGTAAAATAATTTGAATTTATATTAGCTTTAAAAAATCCCTCATGGATTTATGGAGACAGAAATACATGAACTGCTCATTGAAAATTGTTCCAAGAGTTTTGAATAAGTTGTACAACAAGTTGATGAGAATCCCTAAAGATGGGAAACAAGAATTCCAATAAGATTACAATGCTTTGGTCGATCAAATCATCTAGATCTCTCCAGCTTACAATAGTCAAGAAGGCAAATAGATTAAGCAAGAAGCCAAACCAGTCCAACAACAACCTTAGCAACAACCACCCATCAACTTCAGCCAGCAGACTTAGCAATCCTATCAACCATAATTCATGAATAACTCGGGTTTATTTATGCAATTTTCCCAATCGCAACATCCTCCATAGGGATAACAATATTACTAACCCTTCCCTCCTCCATAAGATTTTTGTGATCACAACGTCAGCGACAATCTATTTGGAAATTCTAGGAACAACTAAGAAATTATACCACCTCCACCACCGTTATTGAGTTAATCTTCTAATTTTAAAATACAATGATAAATTAAATTAATAACAACGAATTTAGTCTTGTCGACTCTATTCAAAGACTTGAAAATAAAATCAGACACTTTAAATCAGATCCAAGCAAGCAGAAAAAGATTGTATCGAAATCCAATCCTCATCATAGGTCTACAAGTATTAACAACAACTTGGAATTATGCTAAATCAGAAGGCAGAGTCAGACCTCCAACAAAACAAATTGGAATCCTGTTACTATCACCTTCAGAAGGCACAACAATTATGTATTCATGTCCCCCACCTTAAAGTATGCATTTAAATCATCCTAGTTACAAACCATAAACAATCTTGCCTTATATCATCAAAAATTAAACTAGCCACAAAAGGCCTTAAATTATTTGAATCAAACTTTGAAAATGCAATACTAGTAAGCAATCTTATTATCTTAAGATAACATCTTGATTCCTCCTTAGCAAACACTTATTTAAATATCAGTGCCATTTAGTCATCTTTAGAATGCCATGATGTTGCACTCCAAAACATCTATCTATCCATAATACTATTATAACATGAATTATTAATTGAAGGTTTGAAATGCAATATCGAACTATAACACAAATTAAATCTTCAGAAAATGCAGAGTAATCTACTATCTGAAGGGTATATTCAATATTTAAATTAAAAGAATCAATTTTCAATTTGATGAGTATCTGAAGATAGACAGAGCCTAAATTTTGATTGCTGCATATCACAACTTAAGTCTGGAAATGGAGTTTTTCAAAAGGAATGAAGAAGCATAAAAAATCATTGATTCTGCAAAAACTCTATCAGAATTTATTCTACAACCTTCACATGCCTTAAGAATAAAATTGAAGGAAATTGCAGACAAATAAGTAAGTACACGAATCTAAAAAGTTTAAAACTTTAATCACAGAAGCATTTCCTTCGATGATAGAAATAGTAATAGTATCCATCACACTAAGTCCTCGAAATATCATTTTTAGAGACAGTATTCTAAAGATAATAATAATTCAATATAGTTAATTCAAAACTCCAAAACAGTTCTTAAGAATACTCCATCTAAATTGATAAAACATTAAAAATTCATAACAGAAATCACTCAATCAAAATCAGCTTCAAAAATTAACAAATTTATGAATCCATTAGAATTAAGTTATACATAGGATTGATTTACAAAATAATTGAAAATACATCATTAAAATACTCAAAAATCTGTTAATTCATTTGATTCATATTAATGACTTAATATTTTTCCTTGTTTTTACAATTCTTACTTATTGAGTTGCTACCTTAACCAATTTTCATCCACCTCTCTTGTCTTCGAATTACTAATCTCTAATCTTAACTATGAAACCTTTAATATGAAAATTTCCATTACTAATTTATTTAGTCGGCTGATTTCGCACTTAAAAGTTGAAATTATTCCCTCAGAATTATCCTTCTCAGGAGATGATTACGTTTGATCAAATCTTATGTCACTTACATATTTACTTAAATTTTAATTTTTCATATTCAATTTGGCTCTATTATAACTATTCTTGCATTCTCAGATTTTAATCTTAAAGACTTATTATAAATTGTTTAGTTTCTACATCTTCCAAAGCATAGATCTCTAATTCTGTCTCCAATTTCAATCTCTGACCTGTCCTTTTTATTTGATTAGCTTGCTGTCGTATGAAGGTCATTTAATTGAGAAGTTTTCTTGCAAATGCTCTCATATTTGTCTAATAAGATCTGATATTTGCTTTATAAATCATAATGAGCTGTTTCAAATTCATAATACCTTTACAGTAATTCTTCGAGAGCCAAACATTTAGAAGCCAGTTTTGATTGAGGCATTTTCATAAGTGTCTTGAAATTGGACATATATAAATAAAATAAATAAAAAACAATTATTATTGTTAAATTTGATAATATACAAATAATATTATTTTTACATTTTATTATTATATTTTATTATTATAATATATATTTTTACATTTTATCATTATTTAGAATTTTCAGATTAAAAGAGAAGGTGACAAAAAATAAATATTTAAACTTTTACAATTTTTAGAGATTTCAAGGGCTGAAATGATAATTTATTTGCTTTTTCATTATTCTAGTCAATATTTATGATGATTATTAATAAGTATTATTTAATGTATGAATTATTAGCATTACAATATATATTTGAATTAATCAAATCGATATACATAAAGTTATTCATATAAGATTTTTTCACTTTTTAATTATTAATCTCCAATGCTAAAATGATGTTCTTAATGCAGGAGAATTAATCAATTAAATTTATGAAGTTATTCAACTTAAATTGGTGTTAATTTAATACAGAGTAAAATTGTGATGATTTTGAATATTAATGTAATGAATTAATAATATATCATATAATCGATCATATTAAAAATAATAAATATCAAATCATATAAAGGCAACAAGAATTGATAATATGATATTTGTCTACATTACAATAATACTCTATAAAATTTATAATAATCTTTGAATATTCAAATATGTCATTGATGACATAAACCAAACTCTAAAATTATTGTACAGAGAATAATTCTGAATTGATATTTTTTTTAATGGAAATCGGGGAATAAAAGATACATTGCGATAAGCATAACAAGAAATGCTATTTCATCTGCATATAGAAGGAATGTTAAGTAGGAAGAAGACTTTTGTGCACCAAATGCATTTCCAGCCAACTTCATAATTAACATAAACTAGTTGACTTTGAAGATGCAAACAAATGGATAAAATAGAAAGAGAAGGAATGCATAGAGTAGTTAAGTGAGTAATCATCTGAAATTTGGAGGCAATTCTCATCATCAAAATAAAAAATCAATTGTCTACTTGAATCGATAGAATTAAATCTAATGGCAATACTTTCACCAACCCTACATAAACTTAAGGAAAATCTAAAAACCAATAATATTTTCAATATTGCCTAGTCATTATCAGATTTTAATTTATAGACTCCTAAATAACAAGATCAAGTGATAGATTTGTAATTTTTGGAAGAAAGGATGAATAATTCCCTGTTATTATTGGAAGAGTTAAATACTAAGGTGCATTAATTGGATCGTAGATTTCTTTGGAAATAAATCAAGAATTTCAATGGACATGATGATGTGATTTACTCATTAGACATATCTCCGGATGGGAAGAGGGCAGTCACTGGAGGAGGTGATATGTAAATGAGATTGTGGGATTTGGTAAACTATACATAGATTGGCAATCCAATTCAAGCACACGATGGGATAGTTTGGTGTGTAGCATATGGATAAAATTGTATTATTTCTGGTAGTGATGATAATACAATTAAGTATTGGGATGACAAAACTATGAAGGTGATAGATATCAAGTACACAAATGACCCAGTGTTTTCTCTTGAATTAAATTAAGATTTCACATATTTAGCATCGGGGATAAATAACTTGATTGGTCTTTGGAGTCAAAGTGATAGGAAGCAAATTGGGATATTGAAAGGGCATACAGATTATGTGACTTCGCTATCTTTTTATACTCATTTTCTAGTCTCTGGATCAAAAGATAAATCAGTCAGATTGTGGAACATTTAAACCAAGTAATTGATCAACATGTTTTCTGGGAATTAAAATACCATAAGAAGTGTGGCATTTTCCAAAGATGGCAAATACATTGCTTCAGGTGGGTATGATAAAATAGTTAGAGTTTGGAATCAAAGCACTAATAAAATGATATAGCATGATCATGGCGATATTATTTGGAGTGTGAAATTTCTGGATGATGACACTGTAATAACTGGCGGGAAAAATGCAAAAATAAAGTTCTGGAATTTGAATGAAAGTCATCAAAATGATGTGTCTATTGAATGTGAAAGAGGAATAATGACAATGTCTATAACAACTTCTGGGAATACTATAATTGCGGCAACAAACAAGGACATTTGCATTTTTGAGAAACCTAATTGATTTTATTGAGTTTTCTAATTTTAAACTATATTATTATTTTATTGAGAATTATAAAAGTTTGAAATATTTGATCAATTTATTAGGGAAATTTAAGAATTCGTTTTCTATGATTTTTAAGAACAAAAAATTATTATAAATTAGAAATTGCAATCATGAATCACAGATTAAGGATTATTATTATTAAAATATATGTTTATGTGTAAGTGTAAGATAATGATGATTTTAGAACAATTGGGTTTTATCATTTTATTTTTTTGTAAAGACATTCCTTTGGTTTTGGGTATAATTTGTCTAATTAAGCTTCGTAGTTTTTTGTTGCTAAATTTTGATTAGTGTCAGTTAAGTATATCCAATATAAATAACCATACAGTTTTCCATCTTTTTCTACAAAAATTTGTTCTTATTTTATTTTAACATAGAATCTTTTCCCATTAAAATTTTACACCTCCATTTCAAATATTTATGAGTCGTTTGAAACAGCCTCAAATACTTGGTGCCAAACTTCCAAATAATTGTTGACTCTTATGGCACAAGGGAGTGTTTTTGTTTCTCTTAAATATTCTTCTATCATGTCTATTGTAATCCCCATCAATTGTAGAAATTTTATATTATGGGTGTATTTTAGAATAACAGATTCGTTTCTTTCATGGCGAAATGTGTAACATTCATAGGGATATTTGGAAGCAAGTTCTTCCACTTTCTATATTTCAAGCTCAGTTGAACAAGGGATCGATGATATTTAGTCATATCTTTATAAGTATTTACTTAAATTATTATATGCTTTATCCATGTTCAATATTCTCAGCATCTAAAATATGGTGGATATATCTGCTAAATCGAAGTCTCTGGCCTAAAAATGATATTCTATTTTCTGTTGTTGAATATCAGTTTAAGAAACTGAGTACCCAATACTGAATATGTTGATGCCCAATTCTCCAAGAGTGTTATCATTAAAGGTTGTAAGAGCAAACTATATGTTCTCCTTCGTTCTAAAGTACTAGTTCTGGTTAATATTTCTTGGAATAATGAATGAAGTCACAAACTCTTTTGCCTGGGGTATTGAAATTAGACATTATTCTTTGATTTTAGAATTTTATTTCTTTTTCTTAATGACTTTATTCATAGGAATTAGAGCAATCTTGGTGGATGGATTATTTATTTCCATTTTAATCGAGTTCATTTTATTTATATTTAAAATAAATGTATCTTTACAGCGCATTTAATATAATGCAGTGGGTATTATTTTAAATCTATTTTTAGAATAGAATGACTCTAATTATATTTCAAGGTAAATCCAAAATATTTTAATTTACATGAATACTCTTTTCTTAACAGTCACTTACAAACTAAAATATAAATACTATTATTATTTATACTGAAAATATTCGATAAAAAAAACTAACCCTCAATCTATAACTATTATCATTGTTATGAATAAACTAACAAAAATATATCAATTCATTTTTTCTAAATGATAACATACTGATTCAATCATGTTGTTTAATTGAGCATCTCCTGAAACCTTGAAAATTACTGAAGCATACTTTGGTGTCCCATCAATTAGTTTATTTAAATCATCCCATCTTTTCAATCTAAAGTGAATATAATAAATCAATACCTGAGTTGCACAATTTCTCTTTTGTCATTCGGAGCAATTACCAATCTTGGTTTGACTTCTTTGTCTGCTTCATCACTAGATTTATAGATTCTACCAGAAATCGGATCAGTCCTACGCTAAGTTAATCTCTTCAGAACAACGTCATCCACAGCATCAATAATGACAATCAAAGTCGGTTGAATGTTGAGTTCATTTAATGACTCCATTTATTGTTCTGTCTTCGGATATCCATCAAGAACATAACCCTATAATTGACAATCCGTCTGATTGATTCTTTCCTTGATCAGAGCATTAATAATTCGGTCATCCACAAGTTCCCCCTTATTCACCTTTTCAAAGGCTTCCTTACCAGTAGTACCTTTTTTATTGACCAAATTCGAAATCAATTCCCTGGTTGAAATGTAAACAAATCCATATCTAGAACATAAGTGTTTAGCTAATGTAGATCTACCTGATCCTGGTGGTCCTATGACTAGAATTCTTCCAGCTCTGGTCGGTGCATTGTTGTATAGTTTGTATTTGAGTCGTTACTACAATATGAATATATAATAATACAGCCATATCTTCTAATTCATAGTTTTTTTCTCCATCAACTGAGAAGTATTGATTCTTGTAAATTTCCTTAACTTGCTTAAGATTCAATTGATATTCTAATGAATGATTTCTTGCCAATTCCTCTTTGTTGCTTAGTTTACTGAATGGTTCTGTGTCCAATTTTTTGAGACAACATTAATAGATTTTCTCCTCAGACATTTCCAGTATGAGAAACGCATCAGGAATGATCCCCTCCTTTTAGAATGCTAAGCCTTAGACTCTAGTTTTAGGGAATCCTTCAAAGATGTAACTTTTTTTCTCATTTTCAAAATGCTAAATTTGATTTAATGCAATATTAATCACAATGTCATCACTGACATATTAAAATTTATCCAAAGAATCTTAAATTTATTGACTCTACACTCATATATCATATCAATACCAATTCTGATTTCTTGCTTAATTCTTTTTCGATCAAATCCCCTATAGAAACACAATGGAAATTCATATATTCAGCAAGTGTAAGGGAAAGCTCTAGTAATTTGGATCCAGGAGGTCCTATTACGAATATTTTTTTTGCTTGAATGAGAGTTGAAAAGTACTTTCGGGTTCTTATAATTTATTGATCAGAAATTGTATTGGATCATCGGGCTTCTTAATAATCAGAGATTTTAGCAAATCCTCAAAAATGCTATACACCTTGTTTCTTTCTAGGTACTTCTCTACTTGTTATTGGTATTGTAACTTATTTGCCTGATCCATAAGTTATACTTTTTAATTCCAGAATATATTAATAATTTAATACTCAAAATAAACAAGCAATAAATTGAATGGACTCTGGATGCAAATATTGCACTCGCACAATTTAAACATCATTAATATTATATAATTAAGATTGCCAATTCAATCAAATGCTCCTCATTCAACCTCTGAACTTTAATCTGAATCTAATCCATTAATAAAAAATTCTTGATCCTACTTCTCAACCATAGATTGATTTCCATTTTCCCTCTTCTCTATAGCTTGAACATTCTTAAGCAGCTTTTGTCTCAACTCCTCATCCGCCTCATTGTAACTGTCTTCTCTCCTTGAATAATCTTGCTTCCTTTCATCATAATCATCATAAGGTGTACTTTATTTTGTTGAGAGTTCATTTTTTGAAGTATAATTTTCCTAAATATGATACTTCTTTATGTGATTCCTCAAAGGCATTTTGCTAGTATATTGTTTACCGCAGTATTGACAATTCGTTTTTTCCTTGTTTGAATTATACAAGTAATCCTGGTTGTGCGACCTCTTCTTCAAATTTAATTGGGGACCACTGCTTTTGTTGAAACTGCTATCTCCAAGTTTGATCTGATTGAAAAGTCGAGTGTATTTCTCAGTTAATAGTTTCTATTCATTGAGGTAATTGCTAATGAAGTCTGCCAACTTATAGTTCATAAAAATAATAACAAATTCTAAAAGGATTTCTGAAATAAGCTCAAGACCAATTATTTATATGATTATAAAAATAAAGGACTTAATTAATAATCTCAACTCTTTTAAAGGTTTTCACCTTTCAAAAGGCGAACGATTATAACTACATTATTGGAAGGGATCTCATTCTATTAATACAATAATTGATAAGCAATCCCTTTGAACCACTCATCAATTATTGGATTAATTAAGAGTAAATGTTAAACACTTTCTTGCTTAAATATTTTTTATTTAATCTTTCCGCATGTGATTCAGAGGAATTTGAATTAGCATCTATTGTTCTAAATAGGAAGAATTAAGCAGACCCTATGAAATCTGAATTTTTCAATTTATATAATTTAATTTAAATATAAGGATTATTATAACAAATATCGATTCTTTTCAAGCCTTTTTGAAATTATAAAATTAATTAGCGTGATTATTTGAAGACCAAATTCTTTAACTCTTTTTAAATTATTAAATTTTTATCAAATGCTAATAAACATTTAAACTAGAATTGATTTATCATTAAATTTAAAGTTGATATTTGATTGATTATTAAGTCTAATTTTATTGAAAACTTTATACATTATTAAAGTATATTAGGTAAAAGTTTATTTTCCAGTAAATAATTTAAGGATATACATTCAATAATTATTTGTAAATAGAAATAAGATTTTATTTATTGTGGTAAAATTACATTTTTTTCATCAAAATTATAAGATAATATAAATGGTTTATCACAAATTGTTAAAACACAAAATAAATCAAACATTAGAAAGCTATCTAAGATGAAAAATTATTAATTTGAAGAAGACTAGTCAAATTATCATTATACTATCTAAGATATCTCCTTAGACACTATAAAATTGACCGTTTACATAAAATTAAATTTAGTGAACTTTATTGAATTAACTTATCAATTCTCTATACTTTCAACTTTATGTGCTAATATATAATTAGAATTAATTTAATTATTAAATAACTCTCCCAAGATGCAATAATTATTTAAAAACTCTAATAATCAAATTAAATTTGATACCAAATATATCCTACTTTGCTTTGCTTTTTATTTTATTATTTCGATTAAATAATTATTTAACAATATATTTTATTTTTAAAGTAAGATAATTTATTATAAAAAATTATTCAAGTCGATGATGATTTGAATTCAAAGATATATTTCATGTTTAAGACTTTTATAATTTCTGATTCAGAACTGAAAATTAATTAGTCAAATTTATTTTATTATTATTATGCAAAAACAAGCAATCGGAATGACTAGGTCTGTAAATCTCAGTCGATAATCATCTATCTCATCTCAAACATCAAATTCAGATAAAAAACCTAAAATTAACTCGTACATTTCATTATCACCTCGCTTTGATCCAGAAAAAGGTTTGGCTTTTGAGAACAGTATCAAGGAAGTTAAAATAAAAGAAGATGAACCAGAATCTCCATAATAATAGCTCTAGGAGAGTTAGAGTTTATAAAAAATTGGAAAGATCAGGAAATAATCAAGTTTCACTTTAAAAGCATAAAAAGATGAATAAATGAAAAAAAGTCAATTCAGTAGAACATAAAGAGCAGATAGCTTAAATCCTTAGAAAAATCAATGAATTTTAATTTATTCTTTTTCATTATAAAGAAAATATTGTTAAAATGAAATCTATAATGTATGGCTTATGTATCCTTAAACTTAAGATTCCTTTACATATATTTTTAGAAGGTTTGTTTTTTGAGCAATTCATTTCTAATAAATTTAGGTACACTTTAATTGTTGATTAAATAATTAATAATAAATTTCATTGTTTTGTGGCTTTGCATAATTAAAGATATTACTAAATGAACTATCCAATCTTCATTTAAGCTTAAAAAATTTATTATCAACCTTATTCAAGTATATCTAGAGTGATGTTTAAGTTATTTTTTGTAAAATAAACTCTTGGAAACTCGAAATTCTTCATAAATTGTCCAATGGAATAGGATACCAAATAACAATGAATAGGGTTTGAGGACTTTAAGTTTATAGCCAACTAAATTTGCATATTTGAATCGATTATAAATATATATTTATATAGAATCTGTTCTATTCTGTGTTAATAATATTTAAATATAAAAATGAGTTTGTAATAGGAATATGATTACCTTTTCAAGATACTTTTGATTGGAAACTCAGCTGTAGGAAAATCGTCTTTGTTACTTCGATTTGCTGACAATGTGTTCAATGAAAGTTTTTTGCCTACAATTGGTGTAGATTTCAAGATTCGTACTTTTGATTTGAATGGGAAGACAGTAAAGTTGTAGGTACTTTTGGGATTTAAATTTAGATTTGGGACACTGCAGGATAAGAAAGATTCAAAACAATAACAAATTCTTATTACAAAGGAGCTCATGGAATTATATTGGTTTACGATGTGACTGATAAGTAATCATTCAAGGATGTGGAAAATTGGTTAGCAGGTAATTCTATTAAATACATCATCTAGAGGTGGAAAAGTACGCAAATGAAAATGTTGTAAGAGTACTTGTGGGCAATAAGGTTGATTTAGAAAGTAAGAGAGAAGTAACATCTGAAGAAGGAAAAGAACTTGCAGATTCTTTGAATATCCGTTTTATAGGTAGTTATGTAAATTAACAAAAGAAACATCTGCAAAGAACTCATCAAATGTGGAGAAAGCTTTTATTACTCTAGCAAATGAAATCAAAGCAAAAGTAGCAAAGAGCAGTGAAGCTATCCCAGTAAAAACAGGACCTCGCATCACTCCTGATCAATAATAGAATACGGTCAAAGATACTGGATGCTGTTGACACACATTATAACCATATTATTATTTATTCAATTTGTGGGTTTGTATTACGATACAATTATTTAAGGAGCTTAATAACTGGTATAGTCTCTAGATCCAACTCTATCAATAATTTATGATGACACATTATCTTCTTTTGGATATAAATTTCTATGATAGAATTATTACATTACTTCTCAAGATTATTAGTGATAATCACCTACTTTGTTGTTGTTGTTGTACTGTTCTACAAAGGCTAAAATTAATAATTCTAAGAAATGGGAGTGGGCGACGGTAGATTTTATGTTGAAGATTAATAAACATTAGAAGTTGTACTCTTTTAAACATAGCTTGTAGTTTAAACGATAGGCTATTGCTATTGAATTAGAGTGGTTGATGTTGTGATTTGTTATTGTTATTATGGTAATTTTTTGGATTATCTTAATTTTACTTCTTCTAGAATATTGATTTGAGATTCATATTCAGTAATCTAGATAAGAATATACTATTACCTTCTAAATCATGTTGTTTATTCTGACTTCTTGGTCTCTCTTTAGATTTTATAATCTTTCAATTTCTAATTAGAGAGTTTCAATTTAAGCTTCCAGTTCTCTTATTCTTAATTCTTTTGTTCTTACTTATTCCTTAATTACTAAAACAGTATTTGTATTAACAGAACTTGAATTAGAATTTAAAGTCATTTCTAATTCAATTATTTTTTGATTCTTTTGTTAAATAATATCAGTGAGTTCTTTAATCTTAGGTTCATCTGTAAGTACAACAGTTTTTTCAATTAATGATTGGGTATTCCTTGTTTCATATTCCTTAGTTCTTATTTCAAATTCCCTAATTCTAGTTTCGTAAATTGATATTTTATTCTGTTGTTCTTTAAGTTTTGCTTCCAAATCTCTAACTTTTGAGTCATCATAACTAAATTTAAGCGATTATGATTGGAATTATTGAGATTATAATTCTTTGATTCTTAATTCTAATTCCTAAATTTATCTATAGTAATTGTCTCTCTCTCTTCTTAAAGCATCATCCTATGAATTTCTAATAGAAGTTGTTTACAACTCTCTGACTTTCATTTCTAATTCTTATACTTATCTCTAAAAGTTATCTCTTTCTCTTTTTAAAGAGAGGTATTGAATATCATTCTCAATGTTAATAGTTGTTATATTAGTAACAGATTTATTTCCCTACTTGATCAAAGCATCATATTCAATTCTCAATTGATCATATTCCTTCAACCTAATTTCAGTCTAAAAGTAACGATTCTTCCAAACTTCTAGTTCTTGTTAAATATTTTACAACTCCTTAGATAAGTTTTCAACACTCTTATATTTTGAAGAATTTGATTCTACAATATCTTTGTATCTAAGATAATTTGCATTTTGTTCATTGTATTTAATTGATAATTCTGAATATGTTTCTTCAAGTTCTTTGATTCTCAACATAAATGTATCACAATCTTTTTCTAATTCTTCAATTTAAATCTCCAATTTCCACTTTTATTCTTCTATTTCCTCAAATCTTTCTGAATTAAACACATTAGCTGATAATCTGAATCCTTCCATTTCCTAATTTTATTGTTCAATTTTAGATTGTGCTGCTTCCAATTACCTTCTCAATTGATCTAATTCACTTTCATAATTAGCAATTTGTTGTTATTATTGAGACATTTTGGATGATTATTATAAACTCATCTACTAAGTCATTTACTAAGTCATAGTGAGACGAGTCCTTTGCATTTCCTACTCTTTTTCTCCTAATAAACGATTCAATTAATCAATTCTAGCTAATAACTTAGATTCATCTGATGTTTATTGACGTGCTTCTAATACTTTACATCTATCCTTCCATACTCCCAATTCATGAATTAATGCTTCTATATCAGCTTCTAATGAATTGACTCTATCATTCTACGATAATTTCACTCTTATTTCTTGGCTTTCCAAAATAACAGCATCATATTTTTCTTTCCACCTTTGAATTTCTAATCGCAACTCTTCAATCAATGATTCCTAATCACTTAATTGTTAGGATATTAAATCAACACTTTGATACTTCTCAAATTTCTTCTTTGCTTCTAATTCAAATAATTTCAATTTATTTTAATAATACGCTAGCTGTTTTAATTATTCAGCATTATCTTTATCTTTTTGTTCAAGTTCTGAGTATTTGCGTTTCCATGACTCTATCTCAATCATTAACTTCTCTATTTCTGTTCTGCTCTTTAACTCACTTTCACTTCGTAACATCATTAATTCCTTCTGAGTGGCTTCCAATTCCTATTACGTGATTAACAGTTCTTTTCTGAGAATGGTTACATCAGAGCTTGAACTTGATTTGTAAGTGGCTACTTCCCTCTTTAATTACTCAATGACTTCTCTAAATATGTGCATCTTAACTACCTCATTCTTAAATTATCTTAGATCAACTCTTCATAATGATGTTGTCTTTCTGCTTCTGACTTCTCGTAAGTTTTAGTGCGTTGTACCACCATGAAATCTTTGTCATCTACTTTCCCAAGCAACTAGGTTGAAGACCAATTGGCTTATTGAGGAGCCACTTAAAAGCTTTCTTCCTTATATCTTATTTGTTAGGTTTCATTATATGATGTTGTCTAAATGGTTTATTATTATCCTTATTGATTCATTGTCTAAAATGTTCTGCTATAATTCATTATTATTTTATTTATGAAGATACTTTTTGTAATAATCGATGGGGTTGCTGATGTTGGTACTCCTGAGACTTAATTTAAAACCCCCCTTCGAATTGGCTTAAATACCAACTATGAATCAAATTGCCTCAACTGGACTTGCTGGCTTGATGGATCCAGTCGAACCAGGGCTATCTTGTGGAAGTGACACAGCTCACATGAGCATTTTTGGTTATGATCCATTTACATTTTACAGAGGCAGAGGAGCATTTGAAACAATGGGCTCTGGAATTGATATGGAAGTAGGAGACATAGCATTCAAATGTAATTTCGCATATATCGAAAATGGAATTGTGAAATTAAGAAGAGTAGACAGAGAATTCCCTGAATGGGGTCTTCCTTTGATTGATGCTCTCAACACTCAACTAAAGACTCCCATTTAAATACAAGCAAATCACGCAACAGAACATCGAATTGGATTGAAAGTAGTGTCAAATCATTATTCGGGTGAATTGTCAGATGAAATCATAGGCACTGATCCACTCAAAGATAATCTACCCTTGAGATAAGCTAAACCAAAAGTACAATGCGAAAAGGCTATCAGGACTGCCAAAATTATAAATGAACTATCCGATTCCATACATTAAATGCTATCTGAACATCCTATTAATATACAAAGATAATAGTAAGGACTACCCACAGCTAACATTGTACTCTTGAGAGGATGTGGATAAAGAATTAAAGTTCAAAGCTTCTAAGAGAAGTATGGTTGGAAGGGGGCAGTCATTGCTCCTACAGCCATTATCTAAGGATTAGGAAAGACCATTGGTTTGGAATGGCATCATGTTGAGGGTGCTACAGGAGACTATAATAGCAATTTCATTAACAAAGCAAAAAAAGCAAGTGAATTATTAGAAAATGATTATGACTTTGTATTCTTACACATCAAAGCAGTTGATGATGCAGGACATGACAAAAATAAAGATCTCAAAATTAAGTATATATAGAAGGTGGATGAAATGCTTAATTATTTTGTGGATAACACTAAACTGCAAGATGCTGTGATAGCTGTTACTGGTGATCATACTACTCCATATGCTTATGGAGATCACACTTTTTAGAGTGTTCCATTTATCGTTAGCAAATTGAGTTTATTGAATGGAAAGAAGAATGATGTTTAATTTAATGAGATTTCATGTTTAAAAGGGTCTTTGGGTAGATTTTGTGGAAAATAAGTGATGTAAATTATAAAATAGTATAGTTCATGATTATAATTAAATAAATATAAAATATTTTCTGTTATGAGTTTATTTGAAGAAGTTAACAACCTTTTAGACACAGAAAAAGATAAAATGGCACATGAGTAATATATTTAATATCCTTAAGTACTTATAATTCATTACTTGACTTATAAAGGGAAAACTATGGGTTCTATGAAATTAATGAAGTATTCTTCGGCAACACCCATTCAAATTTAGACAAATACCTTAAAAAGATTAAGGAAACAATAGCTAAAAATACTAGGAATATTGAGAATTTTAAGAATGCTTATGACTTTGGAAGTATGCTTAGTGTTAAGGAAAAATTCAAATTGTTGAGCATTGATAAATTTTACAAGGGCTAAAACAAATTGCCAAAATGGTTTGATGAATATAAAATGGAATAATTAGAGAGGGCAAGGGAATACATTAATAATTTTGCTTTGCGTTCCTATAAAAATAGAGTTAATGAGACAGTAATGGCTGAAAGGAAACGACTCGAAAAAAAAGTACTTAATTTGATTGATGAAATTCATACTTCTTATACTGTAGAACTTAAATTGGAACCACCCATTTTAAAAATTTAAGAGTTACAACATTGTAAATAATGTAATTTTACATATTAGTACTTGAGGAAATGCAAGAATATGATCGCATAATATCTGAATTAGTTATAGTTGTTATGCATAAGGTGGATGAGGCATGCGCTTAGATAGTCAGAAACTTCCTTGAATTTCAGTCAAAATGTGAAACACTATTTAAATGAATTCATTTCATAAATTTATAATAACCAAATTTTTACTTGAAAATTTATGGACGAAGAAAAACCAGGTTTTTTTGAGTAGTTAAGATAACTCTATCAGAACAGGGAGAAAATAGAGTCCAAGATTGTGGGATTTCATATGCAAAAACAATTTAAGATTTCTCACCTCTATGGCAATGAAGAGCAAATAAATTGCATGGACTTAATTGACATTTCTGAGACTGAATCATTTATTATAGTATGTTCTGATGCTAAAATCAAATTATATTCACACACTACCAAATTAGATAAATTATTTGAGTTTGTCATTCAATTTGAAGCCAATGAACATCTTGATTATGATGGACTGAAAAATGAGAAACAAAAAAAGTTTCTAAGACATTCTAAACAACTAACAACAGGATCTGTTAAAGAACTCATAATGTTCTGCCATTTCGCATACATTCATGATCAATTATATGTATTTGCAGGTGGAGACCTAGGATATGTCTACCAAATTGAAATCAAAGAAAATCCTGAATATTTCTTACTTGAAGGACATCACAATGTGATCACAGGATTAGCTAGTAACAACAAAGGAGCATTTTCATCATCTAAAGATGGTTCAATTATTTAGTGGGATGTCACTAATAGATAAATTGTTTAAGTGCTTAGAGATGGAGATACGCCAGAAGCAGAAGTCTTGTGTGTTTCAGCTAATTAAGAACATGTGATTGGAGCATACTCTGATGGGAAATTGAAGTTGTGGACAATCTAGGATTATAAAAATGATAGTTGGACTTATAAAATTAATAAATCGCCTACTATCATATTTTAAGGTCCGTTGTAAGATATTTATCCTCATATAACTTAAATATTCTTATTAAAATAAACTATTGTAACAAAACATCTAAATGGTATTTTGAATTACTTTGTGTTCGATTTGTAAGGCAGAACCATATCACTTAGAGATTGGGAGATGTCAAATGAGAATTATTGGGAAAGCATAGATGTGAAATTTCCATACCTGATCTATACTTGTTTTAATCGTATGCAAGTGATAACCCTTAAAAAAAACAAACTCACTTATGAAGCTGAATTAGATGTTTTGCCATCTAGCAAACTGACAATATCCAAAATATCAAATAGATTGATTGTTATTGGAAGGATGAATTAATACACAATTTTATAATAATGATATATATGTATATTCATTGCAAGATTATTATCTATTAGTATTTTAAATAAATTTGTTCTTTAATATCAACTCATAAAGCAATTCCAAAAATTAATTCATTCTAATGGCGTTTTTAAATAATTAATATTAAAATAGCTAAATTTTGGATTATTATCATGGTGATTAACTAAATGAAAAATGCGTCATTTAGTATTAATTTATTACATAATGCGCATGAAAATAGGCATTAATTAACCAAATTCTTTAAATTCATGATCTAATTTATTAAATATCCAGCAAATGCACTCCCAACATGTTAAGTTAAGTGATGACCCAGAACTATCTGCAGTATGTTCAGCCCTCCTTCTTGCCTTCATAGAGAATTCTCGTGTTTTAAGATATTGTTCCGGAGGTGGAGACTACACAAACACTCAAAATGATTTTGGAGATCATTAATTAGAAATGGATGTTTAATGCGAATTAAATGTTAACACAGAATTGAAGAAGACAGGCTTCGTCAGTCATTCAGCAAGTGAGGAAACACCAGAAGTACAATTATCAATTAATCCATTTTTAGATGAAGCTTCTATCTGAAGGTGGAAAGTTCATAGTCACATTTGACCCATTGGATGGAAGTTCAATTATCGGAACCAACTTTGCAGTCGGAACAATTGTGGCCATATGGAAATCTGATGAAAATCTATTGATCGGAAAGAGAGGAAGAGACATGGTATCAGCCTGCTGCTGTCTCTATGGTAGTCGTACTAATGTTGTCTTCTGGAATGAAAAAGAATAAAAAATTTAAGAATACACATTGTTTGGTATCATAATAATTTTATCATTAGATGGAGACAAATAAGGTCATTGGGAATTGACAAAGGATAACATCAAGATTAAGCCAAAAGGTAAATTGTTCAGTCCAGGAAATACAAGATGCATTGTCGATCATATCCCCTATAGAGAAGTTGTTGATTATTGGATTCACAATGGCTATACTCTTAGATACTCTGGTGGCATGGCTCCAGATATTTGCTAAATCTTCCTAAAAGAAGTTGGCGTCTTCTCATGTTTTGGAGATGCAAAAAATCCATCTAAACTCAGATATCTTTATGAGTGCGCTCCACTCTCCTTCTTAATCGAGAAGGCTGAAGGAAAATCATTTAATGGTAAACATTCAGTTTTAGACACTGAAATTACAGGATATCAACAAAAAAGTGAAATTATTGTTGGAAGTGCAGATGAAATCGAATTTTTCAAATCAATCTGGAAGAAGCATGGTATTTTAAAGGAATGATGATGTAATATATATAAAATTTTATTATAAATTTATTTTTAAGGATAAATAATCATTATTTGTATTAATTTTTATAAAAATGTTTAATATATAATAATTATAATTCATTATTTTCATTAATCAAACTTAAATGTTCTATTAAATAATAAATATTTGAGAAATCTCAGAATAAAATTAGATAAAGAAAATTGATTTTATATTTTCTTATTTCCAGAATTTTTAGAAAATAAAATTACGATAACCAAAAAATTAATTCTGAATCATAAATTTATAAAATTGTCAAACATTAATTAGTATAATCATACTCCTCATATAAATAGAAATTATCTCAATGATTCTAATAATTGATGGCCAATTCATCTAGTTTAGGAACTTTCTTAGTTTATTCATAAACCATTTCTCTTAACTTATCATTCAATCCTTAGATTTACAGCTATTATAATTTGATTTTATGAGCATAATCTTTTTCCATATCTAATAATAGTTGATGCAAATGAGTATTTTCATTTTGTAGTTGTTTTACTTTAAATTCTAAAGGGGAAGAATTCTTAGAATCATCAAAAAATGTTACCTCTTAGACAAATGATGATTGTATATTATTTTACTAAGACAATTAGGATATAACCTGTTCCTATCTGGATATTTCTTATTTAAGATAATGTATTGTATTTTATTAATTTGCTAATTATTCTTATTATTATTAAATTTGATCGTTGATTATTCTCTTTTCATCATGAATTTATTTTTATTATTATAAACTGGCGTCTAGTTTGGTCTATACTTTTTTGAGTTATTATTATAGATTGCTATCTGATTAATTCTTAAATTCCTAAACCTATTTTTATAATCTATCAACCTATAGTTTAAATTAAATATTTTCATTTTTGTGTTTTTCAGAACTTTCTTGAATTTATCTACTCTCTCTCTAAAATCTTTGTAACTCTTATTCTTTCTCTTCTTTTAATATATTGTTACTATTTGACATTTATAACAATCGCTAATATAATCTTTAAGCCTCTTGCTTTAGCTGCGTATATTCCTCTTAATTTTATATGTATATGAGTTTTTGTTCTTCTATTAAATCTTATTATTTTTGTAATACAGATTATAGATTAGATATATCCTGTTTTAATGTACTATTTTCTTAATTAAGTTGGTTAAATTTTTCCCCTTGCAACTAATTTTCTACTATTTAATTATTCAATCTTGTAATCTCTTCCAAATGTTGTTTCTATTCTTAATCAATGTAATTTTATAAGTCTTAAATCTACTGTGATTATTCTTCAATTTAAAGTTCTTACTTATATATTTTATCATTTAATTGTTCAAAATGAATTAATTTGATTATTTTAAATTCATTTTTATTATTAATTTGCTAATACTCCTTCGTTATACTGTCAAGTGCAGATCCTTATTTGTAATACTCATCCTGTAATTATATTAACAGGTGTTAGTATTAATTTGCTTTCTAATTTAACTTATCATTCTCAACCATTAATTCTTTATATTGCTCTTCATAATTAGTCTAAATAGAACTATTTTCTTTTTGTTTAACATTTTCTTATTTTTTCAAGGTCTAATTTTACAACTGAATTGATGCAGCTATACTGTTAGTATCACCTAATAATTACTTAATCTTTTCAGTAATCTAAACAATTTATGAATTAAGCTATATATGATCCCCTATGCTTATAATTAATGCTTAAATTATTTATGATATTTCATCTACCTTTTAGTTATGCTAATTTTATGGAAACTTTTACTCATTACTTTTTTTAATTTTATCTTCATCTTTTTTTTATATCCTGAGTTATTAAACATAAATAGCTTGTTGTTTTAATTTCTGGATCTAATTCTATAAATCTTGTTTTGTTTTCTGAATCCTAAAGTTCAAATCATCAAATTCCTCTAATTTAACCAAAGCCGCAGAAATTTTACTACTCAAATCCCAAATTTTGTTTTATTCAATATAAAACTTATTTTATTTTACTTAATCTTATTCCTCATTTTTATTATTTTAAGTTATAATTTGAGATTATTGTATTTGTTGAAACTGGGTTTCTTGCACTTAATTTTAATAATTAAAGATCTTTTCTAACCTATTTTTCTCCTCTGTCATATAGAATAGAGCATCTTTCAGTTTTTGGCATTCTTAAATTAAAGTTTAATTCTCTTATTTCAATTTTGTAATATCAAATGAAAGTGATTCATTTTAATTTTTATAAGTTTTTTATTCATTATAAATGAACCCTTCCTTTTAATTTGAAGAATATTCAATAATATTATATTGTCTCATATTTTTTTGTAATTATTCAATATCATTCTGTTATTTGAATATTTAATTCTACAATTATAAATTTTCTTCTTGCATTTATTTGATATGTCCATCTAAAATAGTTTTATTCTAAATAATAATTTTTTTTTCTCGTTATTCAAACTATATTTAACTTTATAAATAATTTATATCTCTTTATTGAATAAAAAATTATGAGTTTAGATCATCAATTTGTTTTCGTAATTTGTTAATTTAATCATTTTAACAGCCTTCAAAATCCTCTATGTCTAATTTTAAATTTTGTCTTAGCTTTTGTAAATCAATTTGATTTTGATGATTTTCTTATTCCAAAATAATGATTTGTTATTGTTATTAATTAAGCAAATGAGTTTAGTTGGTATATTGTTTTTATAATTATAAGTGTAGCAATTATTTTGTTTCAAAATCTTTGACTTGCTCTTAATAATTTTAATTTTAATTAGTCAGTTCAGTAATTTATTATTTAAGTTGATTTAACTCTAATTCAAATGATTAAACCAACCTTTCTTTTTGTTATTGCAATAGCTATTACTAATTTGATAATTAAAATATCTGTTCTTTTAAATCATTTGCTTTACCTTAAGATAGTTGATTTTGAGAACCTTGAAATTACTTTTCAAGTTGAATTATTTTAATATTTGCTTATTCTTTTAATACTTTTTCTGTTGATAATTGTTTTTCTAATAGCGCAATTTTTGAGGATAAAACAGTATTTTAAGCCGATATTTATACTTCGCTATTTTATTGCATTTAAGATAACTAATTTTAAAGAAATGAGTTAAGTTATTTCATATCTTCTATTTAAAAGTTTAAATTCTAAATGACATCCATATTTTATATTTATTCACTATTTTGATTACAATCTTTTTATTTTTACATTTAATCAAGTTACTCTTTTAATGATAAATATTTGATCTAAATCATTTTTAATTATTAAGCTATTTCGATTTTCTCTTTTGTTAAATTTTGAATTTCTTCAAATTGATTTGAATTACTTAATTTCTATTATTAAAGTAATTATTCTTAAGTTTAAATTTACTATTAAAGTTCAGAAATAGAATCATTTAGTTGATTAGATAATTCTTATTCAAAAAATAACTTTTATTTTAGATTTTCTATTTCAATCTAATCATTATTAAGTGATTATTTATTTTCTATTGATATAGTTTAAGTCTCTTTATTTTAGTTTATTGTTTACTTTTTTGAGTTTGATTAAATTTCCAATAAAAATTATTCTGTTTTCTTAAGTTGCTATTCTAAATTTGTATTTCGCTTTTAAATCTCTTCTATTGTATTTTATTAAGTATTAGTCTCTTTTTACAACGATTGAACTACATGCTTTGTGAACTGATGTTAATCTTGTTCAAATTTCAATTTTAATTGAATATCCCGCAAATCCTTCATATAATCCTGCAGTTAGTGTTATAAAGAAGAATTTTATTATTCAAGGTGACTAATTTCTTCTGATTATTTTTATAATCTTGTTAAATTTAACATTTAATTTTCATGATCTTATTTTATTTTAAATACTTCTTTGTTTAATTCTGATTCTCTTTAATATAACTAAGATACTAAAGGTTCATAGTAATTTTGAATTTCATCTTATATTTAAATTAATTGTAAAAAATGAGTTTATTATTCATTAAGCAATTTCTTCTGTGAAGCAATTTGTAATAAAAAATCATTAGATTCATTAACCTATGTTTGGTTATCTAATTTATTATGATCAGAATTTGGCTATTAAATTTTATAATTTTGATATTCTTAAGAAATTCTATTAAATTTATTATCTCTTTAATTCTAAACTTTTTATTATTTTTCATTGATCAAAACTAAAATTTAGTTCTCTAGATTTTATAATTGCTCCAAAGAGTTTGAATATGTTTTTTTAATTTCCAATTCCGACCTTTATAGTTTCTGCTTGAATATCAATCGAAAATCTTGAAATTATTTGTAAATTAGATATAAACTATCATTCTCTTTAATCTTTTCTTCTGATTATTGTTAACTATCGAACTTCTACTTTACAATAGACACAGGTTCTTACAAGGTTATTTTATTAAAAATATGTAAATCTTAGATTTCAAATGACTTTTAGGATATCGAATCATTTTCATTAAAATGAGCCGTATTTCGAGGTAATCTCCTATCTAATTCATAGTTTTACTTTTGAGATTTGACATTTGCATCTATAGCTTTTAATCAATAAATACCCTATTTATTTTGAAAATTTTTTTAGTTAGATACTTCGTTATTTATGTTTTCTTAAGAATTAACTTAGAATTCGGTTGTATAAACATCAAATTGTGGTTGATGGGAGTTTTCCAAGAGTGTTTATTCCTATCTCTCGAAAACTCTTAAATTAGGTTGGTTAACGTTTATTCTAAATAGTAAATGACATACTTAATAGGCTTACAAAATTAAGCAGTCTCATTAGGATATATTCCTCTTACAAAGTATGGTGGATTCTGAAAGTTCTATTTTACTACAGTTTTTTGAATTGGTGAAAAATGATAATGAATCTAAGGTCCCTGTCTAGATTAAGGATAAGCGACTACATTTTATGGCTTTTAATGAATGAATTATTTATACCATCATAACTACTGGAGCCAACTATTATTTAAAAATGTTTTAATAGGAAAGAATTGTAGTCTCAGTCTTTATTCCATAAGAATGTTAATAAACTCGACTTCTTAAATGAGGCTATAAAATAGCATAAGGTTAAGAATAACAGTTATTTGGAGACACACTATAATATTTATGGAATCTCTTTAATTTTGGATTAGTAATAATTTAAGGTGACTTTGACAAATTATGATTGATGACATAAATGCTAAGGTTTCTAATTAATAAACTTTTTACTTGTTTTAGCACAGATATTATGACATTTCTTGTTACTTTATATTCAAAACTCTATTTAATAAAGAAATTTGATTGTTTATACTCTATTTTGATTAGATTTTTTGATTTTAAATCAATAAAATTTATTACAGCAGGTCATTAATTAAATTGATATTTTGATAATTTTGTGTTTCTCGTTATTCTTAAGATAAAGACTAAAAATTTATAGATATTTATTATGGTTAAGGAGTATTTGGTCTTTTAAAAAATTAATTTACTTTTGTATTTATTTATTACCTTCTAGGGGTTTCATTTCTTTAGTCATTTTCTTATATAAATTTATTAGGATTTGTTGGTTAATAATAGTTTTTAGTTTAAATATCTTCCTATTTAACTGTTTGATGATCATTACTAATTAATAGCAAATTTAATTTGTCATTCAAGAATTTAAGGTCTTTTGTTAATCTTTGGTTTTCATGAATTAAATTACTTTATTAAGAGCTATATTACCATTCCTATAATTCTAATTCTTTTTATTCTAAGAGTTAATTAAGAGTTGCTAATTAGGAATTTTTAAGTGAAAGTTGTGGATTATTTTATCTCAATTGCTGTATTTCTTCATTTTTTTGTATCAACAGTTATGAGTATAATTATTCTAAATCATTTAATTATTTCCTTAATTATGGAGCATCATCAAATTAGTAGTGAAGTTCCTAAATTTCCTTTTATAATTATAAATTTCTCAACAAAGAATTTTTGAGTTCTTGTTCAAATTAGAGACACTATTGAGTTATAAGCATATTCATTTCTTATTAAGAGCTACATAACTAATTCCTTATACTTTTCTAAAAAAATTTTAGATATCAAGGCATTTTTCTCTAGAATTTATTAATTCAATTCAGTATTCTGTTACAAGTATTCAACAATTTATCCCTTATAAAATAACTCTAAGTTTTACATATAATTTTAACCTCTCTTAATATAGTCTTACATTTTTTAGTTGTAGTAATCTATTTTTGAGTTTAAGATTGAATTTAATCGTTCAATTTCAATTGCCATTAAAATTATTCTCATTTTGTTGCCTTATAATTCATTTTAAGATTCTAAGGATTTATCTTGGTTTTCAGAAAAATTTGTATTCACTTCTTTTTAAAAAGCTGATAACATAAATAAAAATTATTTTAAGAATTTTTATTCAGAAATAAAATTAGTGAAATGGAAATTATGAATTCTTTATTAAAGTATTCTTGTATTTGGTTATCGTATATTCAATCAGGTTTATAGTTTGAGGTATTTTATTTAATAACTTTCAATATCTTATTTATATATCTTATAATTGTTTGGCTCATTCTTTTTTGATGAATTTTTTGAATTGATTATGCTTCATATCTTAAATATTCTTATTGATTTCTTCTCCCATTATTCTTGGACATCCATAAAAGACATGAATTTAAAAATAAGGTAAGTTTAGAATCAGATCTTAGGCATAATTATTACAATTTTCTTTGATAAATTCATTTTATATATTAATTTTGATTATATTGCTTTCACAATATTGTTCTTAGTATATATTATTGATTACTTTCATAAAATTAATCAATACTTTTTAATTTAATAAATATATTGGAGTTAGTTAAATTTAAAGATTTGTTTCCATGGTTTTAGATGAAAAATTTATGTGTAATTTGATTGTGCTCTATCATTCTGAATTAAATTTGTTTTTTTAAACAGCCTGTAATTTATTGAAAGAATAATTTATCGAATAATTAACTTTTATATTAATTATTTAGATGTAATTAGACATAAGTTATTTGAGACCTAAAAGTTAGTCATTTCCAAATAAGCACTCAAGTAACGTAATAAAATATAAAATCTAGAATTCTATATTAAATCTGGAACGGAAGGCATGATAGTTAGAAACATTTACGAAAAAGTTGATTATGAAGAATATGAAATCAAATCGATTGATGATTTCAAAACAAAAATATAAGTACAGTTACCCGATTCATGGAAGACAAGTGATTATTTAAAAATGCTTATAATAGCAGATTTTTCCATCCAGGGTGCATTATAAGTAATTCAAAATATGTAATTAGAGAATTTATAAATTCATCTAAGTTGGCTTAATTTATATTAAAACATGGAACCAAATATGGACTAATTGAAATGCGGAGAATTTTATATTTTCGGAATAGATAAGTAATCAAGGCCGGTCATAATAATAAAGCGCCTTGAGAATGAAAACTTTTAAACCTTTCAATATTTACTGGAAATAGTAAAGCGACAAGTGTTGATACCTTACTTCATTGAAAATTGGACAATCATTTATGATTGCTAAAATTAAGAGTACAATTTTTATGAAATTGACGTAAGCTATCTTAATAATTTAAGTTCGACTTTGATCACATAAAGGAGTTAATGATTAATTTTTGTGGAAATTTAAATAACCTTCTCATTGTGAATTCTAAATTAAATTTTTCATAAATTCTTAATTACTTACCAAACAGAAATCAAATTCATTCAAAGATTAAACTAATAAACAATCTCGATAATTTACAATAATATATTTCGAAAGAATATTTAGAAGAAAAATATAATGGAGAATGCTCAAATGTTACAACCTTCTGGTAAGGCATTTTAAATGATTTTAGGCCTCCTTAAATACCATAAGTTTCTGAATTGTTAAAATAATTCACATATGATTGTTACGAAGATTACTAATATGGATTAAGGAAACTTTAGGATTTTAAATGTAGAAATTTAAGAAAGTTTTCATCCTTGGGGAGGCTATCACATTAGCACTCAAAGTCAACAAGTATGAAAAAATCAATAGAATCTGCTACATCTGCTAGCCACATAAAAATATTTGTTCATGAGGAAAATGGAAATGAACTTATACAGGAGGAGATTGAGGTTCTTAATAATAAAGGAGATTCTGAGGTTGATAATTTAGGAAAAGTTGGTATAGATTTATATAAAACTGAATCAGTTGGTTTATAATTATTAGAAGAGAACAATAAAGGTTAAATATAAGTAATCCTTGAGAATGAAAATGAAATTGAACACAAATGCTGCTCAGAGAAATTTAATTGTATGATATTCTGATTAATTATATACTTATTATTCAATTTAATTTATGATTTAAATCTACTAAGTAAATTAAAGAATGTAATTATTCTTCTATTTAAAGTTGAGAATTAATAACAATGATTAAATTGATAATGTATCCAATTTATTATAGATTGTGAAATGCTAGTACTTAAATACTAATAAAATAATTATAGATGAGAGAATGCAACTTTCATTTAATTATTTATTTTCCAATATTTCTATAATTTTATAAAAATGGAAGATGAACTAATATGGTATTATGTCGATACAAGTGAGCAAGAAACAGAGAAACAAACTAAAGGGCCAATATCAATAAGAGATATCGATGTTATGTTAAGAACTAGCATTATTACATCACGTAATTAATGATCTTAACATTAGATACCTATGTTTATAAAGAAGGATTCACAGATTGGAAACCAATTTTCTTAGTAGAAGAATTAAAGAGTTTTTTAGATGAGCAAGAGCACGAAATGTTTTAAATCACTTGTGGCAAAGAAATAAAATCAGAAGATTAATAAGCATAACAATTATAGTAATAGAATGAAAAGGATAATGAGGCGCCGGTTGAAGAATTGGAGGATGAAGAATCATTTGAATAATTGAATGATGAGTAGAGAATGGAAATTTTGAAAAAGAAAATAGAAAAGAATAGGAAGAAATCGCAAAAGGAAAAAGAAAAAAAAAAGAATTAATGGTACACACCCAAAATAAATACAAATGTATATGTTGAAGGATTACCTTAAGATATAACTATGGAAGAGATGAAAGTCTTCTTTAGCAAAGCAGGAATAATTAGAATCAATCCAGAAACTTTACAACCTACGATTAAAATATATAGAGATTAAAATGGAAATTGTAAAGGTGATGGATTGATATCATATAAAATGGTTGAAAGCGTATAGACTGCAAGAGAAATGTTAGATGGACTTCATATTAGGCCAGATGTAATTGTCAAAGTAACAGAAGCAGTTTTTGAATAGAAAGGATAATATCGTAAAAGGGAAAATAAAAAGGTCGATAAACTTTAAAAGGCATTGGCTAGACAGAAAGAAATGACATAGATGGCAGAGGAAGGGTAGGAAGATGATGGAAAAGGATTAAAAATACTAATATTCAAAAATTTATATAGTCCTACATAAGCTTAAAATCCAGAATTTATGAACTAATTATATGGTGAATTGTTGTTGAAAATAGAGTCTCTGTAAATCTTTGTCCAAAAGTTAGAGTTTTTTAAAGATCATCCTTAAGGTAATAATTACAATATGTTTAGGTGTGTGTAAGGTGAGATTTCACTCTTCTTATGATGCTGAGATTTGTTTAACAAGCCTAAGTGGAATTGAATTTAATGGTAGAAAAATTCATATTTAATATTGGGATGGGAAGGAAAATTTCAAATCTAATATCGAGAGTAAGGAAGTTGAAGAGCAGAGACTAGAAGAATTCGGTCAATGGTTAGAGGGATAGGAGGATAGTGATAAGGATGAATGAAATGAGAAAAATGAATGAGTGTATGATAATTGAAATTTATTTATTTAACTCCTAAATTTTTTAATAATTTGATTTTGAATAAGGAATGAATAGAGAAAATGCAAACTAATATCGATCACCTTAACAAATACCATCTTCAAAAAAACCCAACATGGAAAATTTACAACCCCATAGAAACACTAATGAATTTATTAAATAGATGAAAAAAAGAGTAGATCAACCACCTCTTAGTGTTGTGTCTTAAAACTCTTAAATATAAGATGCATAATCAATTTTTATAGATGTTTCAAGGATTGAACAATAGTCTAACCATTCAAATAACAGTTTCTTGGACCCCTTAAAATAACCTATATTACCATAATGTCATAGATCAAATCAACCTTCCAATTGCACTACATAAAGAACAAACAGGTATGAAATGCAGAGAAATAGCAAGCCCTATTTAGATCAAACAGACAATATGGGATTATTATTGATTTAACAACAAATGCTATAATTGTAAAATGAAAACATGATTTTAAAATAGCAATTAGAGAAGCAGGAGAGTTAAAGATTACTGTTTTAATAATAATTGCTTTAACAATTCTAGTCCTAGCAATAACAATAATAATAACAACCAATAGTTATTAATAATAATATAACGTAGTCTGAAAAGCAATTATAATAATAATAATAGTCAAAGTCTATTCCTCCTCAAAACAATTAAGAAGAAACAGAATCTCCTCCAAAGAAAATACAACGTAAAAAGCAGCAATCACAAGCTATTTAAACTGATAAATCCGTTTAAGATTAATCAATTATAAACATTAATGAATCGTATCATAATTAATCCCTATGTAATAAACCAAAGCAAATATCATAATAGCAACAAATCAAATCTCACCAACAAGAAAAGCATAGTGTAGAATCTCTAACATTTGGTACTTAATTATCTCAAAGAAATTTGATATCTTAATAATCCTAATAAGAATTGCAAATCTAAACTCATGAATCCTAAAGCAAAAATTAAAGTTATCAACAAATTAATACAAATTCAATTGAGTTCTAAATAGACAATGAATAGAGAGATGTCTAAAATCAAAATAAAAAGGATGTTTAAAGAAAATATTCATAAATTGACTTAATTAATTCTTCTGTTTAGTAAGATAAAACTTACAGTATACATAATCCAGAAGTACGAAAACAGTCTCAACCAAGTGTTAAATTAGAATTTAATTTTGAAGATGGAACAAATGAATTAAGTAAAAAGTGTCTCGCAGATTATTTCTCATAAAGAAAGAAAACAGCCAATGTCGAAAGAAGAGTTTCAGTTTAGATGCCAATATAAGAGGAGGATTAGAGTTGGATAGTGAATGTTAAATAAAGAAGTAAGGAAGAATAGATCAAATTGAGAAAAGAAATGATGGAATATGGAAGAAGTAAAAGATAACAAAATAAAAGTCAAACTCCAATAAACGAAGACAAAAACAGTGGCCAAAAAGAATAAGTCAAGAGAGTGAAAAGTCCATTGATGGAAAGATTAGCCATGGGATAAAAGGCAAAAGTAATTTTGAACTTATTTAGGTTGAAGAAAAGGAGATGTTTGCATTAACAAAAAAAAATTATGAAAATTTACCTGAAGTAAAAAGCAAGAAGACTTAAGAGGAAGTTAACAAATAAAAGTAGCTTTTCATGAAAGAAAGATAAAATAAATTAAAAGAATTGGATGATGTAATAATTTTGTATTAATCTTAGAAAATTAAAGAAAAAATGAAAAAGGCATGAATTGATAGTTAATAAATTTTCTATAAGTCTACTATATCTATATATATATATCATAATTTTGGAATATATCCTATTTGCGGGAGTTCTCTTAGTGTGCATAGAGTTCTAATTTCAGAGGCTAATTTAATTTCTTGTTTGAGTTTATCTTTTGAGGTCTGAGACAGGTTTCTAAATATATTTCTAAATTTATTACCCTTGTTGTGCTAGATCTTAAAATACTGGTTAATATGGGAAAATGGGAGTAATATAGGATAAATCACAAATCACACCTTCAACCGAATGGCAAATATTAAAGGAAATAATCCCCAATAATTATCCATATTAATTATAAAGTCCCCCTCCACTATAACCATTATGAATGAAACAATCTGTTACAATTGACACCATCTAATTGAATTAGTCATAAATTATTTTAATAACCGACCCCTTGGATATGCAAGGCTTGTATTAAAATAGAGTATATAAATACCCGACAGCGTAAACTGTAGATCCTACTGCAGGAACTTCTGAAAATATAACCCCATCCTCTATATTTAAACCTTATGATATATAATTCGTTGCTTTTCCTAAAGAAAAATCCATATTATTTGAAGTGTCCTCCAAGATGTACGCCTCATGTTATTCTTCTCCAATGAATAACTTTGAGCCCTTCAAATTATTTGACAAGACATGGTTGGCTGTTAATATATAGCTTTATTTATTTAATTGATCATTTACTAAGATGCCACTTCCAAATTAACCAGCCCCTTAGGATATGTATTTTGTTGCATTTAGTATTTAATTTATGAAATCAGATCTGAAATAAGGAGGACTGAGTTAAGGGGAATTTTTATTAAAAATTGAGTTGATAGTTACCCAATTAACGCAAAATGTAAAATATCTATGATTTAATCTTGCAATTTTAATGTTTTAAAGTAGAATCCCTATATACTCTCCTTTAGAATTAAATATAGCTCCACCTTCTTGTCCTATTTAACTGACCAATCCCAACATTATAAGCTATTTTTATTGATTTTAATTTGTAAATATTTATGAGACATATCCCTTTCGACAATATTACTTCTGCATCACTTTACCTTTCAAAAAGGGAGATTAATTTATTGTTAAGACTTCCTACCCTTATGACAAAAGTGAGCTGCAATATTTTTATATGTATTTGATATCATTTGTGTTAGGAATTTCAAAATACATAATAAACCCCAATTCTATTTCGATAAAGCAATTGTTTAATTTCTCCGCAATCCAATCATCGAAATTTAGACAAATTAGATTTAATTTTATCTCCTTATCCTCTTATTACAATAAGCTAAATTTAATATGCTAATTTATTAAATTAATATTATAGGAATTTATGGCCTAAGCGAATTTGGCAATCACATAACCTGTTGAAACTATCAGATTATGATTTTCTTAAAATTTGTGAAAAGTGCAATTTTATTAATGAAATGTTTTCGATTAAGTGCCTATAGGATCTAAACTCTGAAGGACACTAAGGAATTTTGGATGTTAGGATTTAATTCTAATTATTCCTCCGCATTATTCCATTAGAGATATAATATAAAAATTATTAATTAATTTAGTTAATTAGAAATATTATCTAAAAATGAAATGCAAGAAAATAAGTACCGTTTTTATTTTTTATTTTGTATTAATTTAATAGAATTTATGAAACATATAGTTTACTTATAATTTCAAATTTATATCAATTCTTTGGATAATGTTATTTGGCAGATTGTTTGTCTTAATGAATAGTTTTTTTTCGTTTATAGTGATTATATTATCTAATATTGTTTAGCTTTTCAGCTTAATCTTTTTCTATCTAACTATATCGTGTTAAGGATGCTTCCATTGACAATATATTTAGCTATCATTTATATTCTAGATATACATCAAAACTAATTTTTTGTAGTTGAGATATCTAAAATTCAAATAGTGGAGACTTTTCTGAAAAATTTTGATCAATATAACTTTGGATCTTCAATAGTTTTCCAAGATCTAACTTCATTTTTAGTTTTTTTGGTATTATCTTAAAATTATCCTTATATTGCCATCCACTCAATCCCAAAAGCTGTTCAAATGAAGGCGCATACATCTCAATATCAAAGCTTTCTAAAATTTAATAAAATCTAAAATTACCTGCATTTAACAAATTTCCTTTAACAAGTGTTGAGTCATTAGATTAACCACTGATTTCATAATCAACTCGAACAAAAAGAAAATTACCTTTTATTTCCGTAACAAAGATATCCTGCAATTCTAATTTATTATCAATTGTTTTTGAAAATTTATCTTCATAATCAATCAATAATTTTTAATTTAAGATGTCAGTTTTCTAGTCAAATATATCTGGTATTTTTGAGAATATCTTACCTTTTCTAATCTTTAAGTCTGCTTAATCAAACATTATTTTAATTAGATTTTTATCTGAAGAGGATTGTGGAATAATGATCTAAGAATTTTTAATCAATATTTAATAATTGAATTATTCTTTATTTAACTCAAAATTTTCTTATTGCTTTAATTGCAATTAGAGTTCAAAGTCATTTTAATAGCGTTCAGCCAAATCTTATTTATTTTTTTCCAAAATTCTTTCAATTTATAATTTAAATGCATATAACTCATTTAGATATCTTGATATCATATAAAATTAGATATTTTCAATATGAATGATATTGTTCTCCAAAGATATTTTCATTTCATTTTATCCATTTTATTATATTAAATTTGGGTATTGCCCATATTCCCCCTTACAATATTAAGGCTTTAATTCAATTTATTTGATTGAAAGTTCCAATTCTTGATTAAATCTCTTTTTCATTTAAATCTAAAAGAAATTCAACTCAAAAAAATCACTCTCCTTTTCTTGAAGTGAAATCTACAAGTCTTCAATTTTAAGATCTAAGAATAAGTTGAGTGACGATTAATTAGATCTATCATCCTTAATATACAAATTTACAATTTAAGGTTGCTCCAAACCTAAAATTTCTAATTCTTGTAAAAAGATGTATTTTATTAAGTGCTGTCTTAGTGAAATAGATTCCTCAATATTGATGAGATAAAAACTATTAATTGCAATAAGTAAATCTTATACTCTCTTTTAGGATAATAAAATTTAGCCTTATTGAATTTACAAATTAACTTTTGGGTTAAGATTTTGAAATTCTAGAGTTATTGATATTGCAACAGGCTTATCAACCTTTCTATTATTCTCTTACTGGAAATTTGATTTATTTATTGTCTGTTTGTCTTTTTTTGGCATAGTTAATAAATTTTCTCTCTGTTTTGTGTTATTATTAATAATACTTATAGAAATGTCTTCAACTTAAAATTATAATGCATCAGATAATTTTGAAATATGAAGTAGTCTCATATCCACAATACTCACTTAATTAAAGCTAAACATAATGGAATGACACTTCATAATAAGTAAATCATCAAATTAAAATACTTAAGTTTGGTTTGTTTTTAATTTTGAATGGCTTTCTAGCATTGAAAGACTAGAATTTTTGTTATGCACACTTGTTTTAATGGGATTTAGAACTACATTCAATAATTCTATATTGAGCATAATCTTTAGCATCTGTAATTTAAAAAAGGATTCGTTGGATTTTAAATATATTTATTGAATGCTAGCTGAAACAATCATATCGTCTAAGAGCTTAATGGGGGTTTCTTTTAGTTTATTACTTAAAACTTAGTCATCAATACTGGTAAAATAATAAACATTGTCATGTACTTTTTAGATAATTGATGAAATTTTATTGATATTCTTAAAAGTTGTTAAAATGTTGCAAGCAGCATATTAATTTTAAAAAATAGCCTTGATAGTTTACAAAGAGAAAAATAATTTCGTTTTTGAATTTTTATCATTTCTGAAATAAATGTCTCTGCTTTAAATTAATTCACTTCTTATTGGTTTATTATAGTACAATAAAATATATAGAGATTGATCTGGTTGTTTGATAAGATTTTCATCTGATTATAAAATAATGTCTCCTTGTTTGTCGTCTAGATCTTAAAGACTGATTTCAGACTTAAACATATCTTTTTCGTTGTTTCTACAATAAAAGATGAATTTATCATCAAGCTTTTACCAAAATGTTTGTTGATCCTTTACCTTATAACCAGGGTCTATCAAAATATAATTTGTTTCCCTTCTCAGTCTTTCAGGTATATTGGATTAGCCAGATTCCCTTTTAGAAGGAGGTCGAAACTTTGAAAATAAATTATCTCCCAAATTGTGTTTTTCAAATTAGTTTCCTGAGCTGTCAATTTCCTAATCTAACTTTTAGGCGCTCCTGACTATGGCTCCATTATCTTTGAACTTAGAGGCTGAGCAATGAATCATAAGATTATCTTTAAAATATCCGACATCCCTGGTAATAATAAAAATTGGGAAGGCAATAATGGATTTGTAATATCCATGATTAGTTCCCTTGGGAGTGCTCTAGAATGTAATTTTTATTCCTTGACCCTTTTTTGTTGGTTGAAGATCTTCCAGTTTGCCAAACTTTGCACATTCTTAATTTAATATGTGAAACCATGAGTTTATGGATGGTGAATTATTTATATTTTCGATTCTTCCAAATAGAATATTTAGCAACTTAATAGTTTTCCTGTATTTGAGTATACAATGTTTACAATCAGAACTTTGTTCTTTGTGATCATGAAATAAAGTGTCCAGTTCTGCCTTTAATAGACTGTCCTATCCTATTCTTGTCTTTTGTAGAGGTAGAGTGGAAAATTCAACATTATTTTTTAAGATCAAAAGGAACTCTATAAAACATGTGAATGAATCATTGACTTTTAAATTGAATGAAGGTATTTGGATATATAATTTCTGATCAGTTAGCAAGGCATGATTTTCAATATTAGAAATTAATTAAAGAGCTACTATTTAGGTTTTAAGAATAGTTTATTTTATTCCTTTTATGTGAAATTTACTATCCCTTGGCTTTTTAGGTTACTACTAGTTTTATTATTAGGACTGTGCTTAAGAAGTCTGCTTAGCAGTTTTGTAAAGCTATCTAACATCAATACTCTTGGAAGTTTATTTTGAAAATTATTCAGATGATGGTTAGTTGGTATTTTATTTACTGATTGGTTATTTGATATTGGACAATGGAGTTTTTTTATCATCTTAATGGTATTCTTTTTCATAAGATTTAAGTTCCTCGTTTTTGGACTTATAATCAGGGGAGTAATACTTATGAGCTATTTTAAATTAAGCAATTGACAGCTTTAAGGCTGAGTAAAACTTATAGTGTTATTGAAAGAGAGTTTACTCATTCTTATTTTATACAAGAGAGAATAAATCATCAATTTTTGTGGTTGTAAAAGTCATACTTTTGATCTAAAATTTTAATTCAGTTTTAATTAAATTTGATATTTGATCAGATACAATTCTTACCTTAAGTTTATCTTTTAATTAGGCTAAAAATTTGATTTAATGGATTCTATAATGTTCTTATGCTAATGGCTTTGATTTTAAGATGCATTCTAATAGTTTATGATCTTGTGAGACATAAAATTATCTTTGATTCATCAACCTAGAATCTAAGCCTTTGGAAAAATCTAATAAGGATATCAAACTTTTAGTAGATAGGAAAAGTGAAAATCGTTAAAAATGAATAGTAATGTGTTGATTGGATTATTCATCCATGGATTGCTGAGTTGAAATCTTCTTCCTTTTTTCACTGTTTGGGGATATTTTATATTCTGACTTTTGACCTTCTAGATATAGTGATATTACTAAATTGTGAGATGTGCTTTCAGTTGAATAGGTCAATTTATCTTTAAGATTAATGATACACAATGGGAATATCTTATCACCAAATTCTTCAATAAATGATGCAAATAAAGATTTCTTAATGATATCAATTAATTTATTATGAACTTCTTGTAAGAATCGATGTTTATTTGAGCAAGTTTGCCAATATTATTCATTTTCCCCCATTGCTTGGTTTTATTTATCCTAATTTTGCATTGCTGCTTACTTTAACAATGCCCATCTATTTTCGTTTTTCTAATGTTTAATAACATGCAATAACATAGAGTCATCGATTTCATCTTTTTCCTCTTTGTCATTATATATGAAGTATTTATCATAGCTTTTAAATTGATCTTAGGCAAAATCTTGAAAGGCATGCTTATCATTTTCATAATCAATCAAAAAACATTTTATATTATTCATTTGATTCTGAACCAAAAATTCACATAAAGTTTAAAAACATATTTCGCTACTTGAAAAATATTACTAATCCTTTGTAACTGATACTTCAAATATATCATTTACAAACTCAGATAACTTTGCTCTAGTAAAGTTTTTAGTTTAATTTTACTATTTTCCTTGTGATTTGGAATCATCCCATTTATTATTTTTTCTTTCAAATAAGGGAGACTATCTATCTGCTTGATCTTCGGAATCTGCTGTTTCCTCCATTAGTTTTGGCATCATTCCTGGAGATAACATTTTGATTTCTCCAACAATGATTGCCTTACCTTCCTTCTCATTAGTTTTGATTCTTCCATTTTAATAAATAGAAATAGGTATTTTAATTCCTATCATACTCATAATGAGGATTAGCTTATTGCTTTTATTCGATTCCATATTATATTTGGTTAATGAATTATTATTTTTTTAATCTTAACTTGATACAAGAGAAGATTAAGAGTCATCTTTATTAAGATCTTCCATATCTTCAAAAAAACTATCTATTTCTTTAGCAGTATGAAAGGATCCTTCGTCATTCCCCTTCTGAGTTTGTTTAATAACTTCTGATATTGAGTAACTTTGACTAAATTATGAACTCTTTTTTTTATCTTATTATGGTCTTTTAATTAATTGAATGCATCTTTTGCATTAGCAAGAAGAGAATATTTTTGTGTTTTTAGGGCAATAAGCAGCAACATTTGGAGGACGGTTTTCTAAGATTATCAAAAAAATGGAATGAATATTTATTGAAATCCATGTTTTAACTTAATCAGGATCATTGTTTTAGCCTTTTAAATAACTAGAAAGTACTTGTGTTTTATCTCTCTCAAGGATTTCATATAAGTTAATTTTTTCATCATCCTCCAATTCAATAGGAATATCATCATCCCTTTTTTTCTAATCTTTAAAAGAATTCTGATTATTTATGGTATTTGTCCATATTTCCAATACAGGCTTTACACTCTATTGATTTTATCCATCTTTTGAAGAATGATAATACCGTTTGGCTTCAATTCTAATTTCTTAGAATGCCCATTCCCTGTATTTTAATAAATCCTTCAGAGACATTTGCTCCTCGCATTTCTTAAATTTGGTTTCATCCTATATAGTCCAACTTGTTAACCAAGGAACCAATATTATAGTCTGCTTCCTCTTATACAATTCAATGTATCTCTTCATCAATACTAATCTTCTTGAGCTGTAACCTAAGTCCAATTTGTGATTCTTTTGATTTTGCATAACAGCATTGATCAAGTATTTCCACCATTCAGAATAATTAGCTTTGACTTCGCATTTTGGGCGGAAATGGAAATTATCTTAAACAATTTCTAAATTTTATAGTACTTCATTTAATTTCACTAAATAATTCTTTGATTCCTTATTGATTTAAAATATGATAGGGTTATCAACTGTAACCTCTATGCTTTAAATAGGTTATGACAGCTCTTCTTAATTCTTGTACATGGTTAATTTTACTGTGATATCAATAGAACTCAGTAGATGCTATTCTTCCTTCTTCTTTGGAATTTTCAAATAAGTGATCCCAAGTTTCTTAATTTCTATTAATTTGTAGATGCAATTTAAATCGCTATTAAATTTTTGCTGAAACTATTTGTCAGTAGCCTTTATATTGATATCTGCCTTTATTTTTAATTAAGTCTCGTAACCAAAAATTGAGAAATTATAAAATCTTAAGAAGAATGATTTCACCTAAACTGACATATTATTGTAAATTCCATCAACTATCTTTTGTATCCAATTGGGCGGAGATAATTATTCAAAATATTTCGCCATTTATTCCTCCCAAATTTTTAATTTGTGCTTCTTCAAATTCTCTACTCCTTATTATGATTGTTATTCTTTATTTGACACAAATTAGTTGGCTTCTTAAATTGTGCACACCTATAAGTCTATCCCTTCAATTATCATTTCTGGCTATTAGGATTTATAGTTCAAAGGCATCTAGAATAGTAGTACTTAATACATTTATAGTTATTGAATTTATCTTTCCATCAATGATATACATAGGGAATGAAAAATTCAGTAAGGCTTATTTCTTAATTTACAAATTCTTTAGGATGATGTTTGATGAAATTCCCAAAGAAAACTATGATATTTAGCTTAACTTTATACTTTAGCCATATTATTTTGGGAGAAATCTTGCAAGTATTCCAATAAGTATGATTAAAGTCTTTTCACAAAATATTCTTCAATTTCTTTAGCCATGTCAATAATAATAATAAATAATTATATATATTAAACATACATATTGATCAATATTTCATCATGAGACTTATTTAATTTAAGAACCTCTTGTGCTTTTTCTTACGATTGGTTGAGGTGGCTAATTGCTTGATTATTTATTGTTTTTTTTATCCTTCATGCTTTTGATGAACTTCCTAGCCATCATCATAATCCATAGTTTATTTTCATCTTATTTAGTAGCCCCTTTGTTTGGTTGGGATCTGTTCTTCACTATTTCATAATGTCTTTCCTTCTATTTATTGAAATCCATTTATTTTCTTCTCATTTCTTCGACTTCATTCTGTAATCTCATAAAAGTATGAATATCCTAGCAATCCATATCAACCACAATCTCCCTATCGATCTTATATTCCTCCAAAGTAGCTAATTCATTATTGAGAAAATCTTAGTTTTATTTTAAACTTCGTAACAATTGAAAATCTTTTTTTATCAGTGCTGGTCTGAATGCTTTTAACACTTTTTATTTTTTTGTTATGACTGAATGTTTTTAAGATTTGTTGCTATTCACTAATTATAGAGTGTTTTACGATTATAAACTGATATTATGAGAAAAAGCCAAATTTTTGAGATTTTGGCAAGCATTTTAATGTTGTTCTTGATTCGAATTCGCATTTTATTCAGAATGTTAATCATTTTCTAAATCAGAATCAAAACTTTCTGAGCTACTGAAATCAGAAACTTCAAATACAAATTCTTATTTTTTTTTCTTTCGATATTCTAATAATTAAGCATCATCCATTTAACTATCTGAACTATCTTATTCATCCACTTCGGTTTAAAACTTTTCTTTGCCTTCCACGTCTTAATTCTTATGTGCATACTTTTTCTTAGAATTTTAGAATTAAAACTTGCATTTCTCCTAAATGGATTTTCGAGATTGGGATCGAATTCTTGTTTTATGTTCAGGATCTTTAGTTATCTTCATCTCATTGCTTACTAAATTTTAAAACTTAAAAGCTCCAATTCCAATATCCATTATAATTTTAATTTATATTATTATGCATAAATTCGTGACTCCAGAAACATTTGTACACAAAGTTGAGAATGATTATTTCATCAAGAAGAAGCACAGTCCTGATTTAAAAACGCAGGAAAAGAAATAAAATGAATTGAATTTTGAACTCTACCAAAACCTTAAAGATTTGAGAAACAATAATTAATTAATACAGAATAAACAAGGCTCACTTAAAATCATCAACCCTTTGAATAAGTAAATCAACATGATGGAAACCAAAAAATAGCAGCAAGAGAAGAAAATGAGGGATACCCAATTCGAATTGAAAAAAAAGAGTATGCTAAATGAAAATCAATAAAATTTACAATCTGACTTAAAGAATTTAGACAAAATAAGTGTTAGCGCCTTTAAAGATTTTAAAGAACAAGTTAATCTTTATAATAAATATTATAGCAACAGCATTGGATAGGAACCAGAAATCAGTGACATTCAGTATGAGGACTTAAACATTCCTTATCAATTTGTAGACAATGGAAGTAGATATGCTTACAGAGAAAAATTAAATCATGAAATACCAGAAATTAATTATTAGAATAACCAAGCATAAACCATAATTGAGTAAATTGTATCCTACTATAAAATCTTAGAACCATTCCCTAATTGAAATTCTCGGATGAACAATTGGAGAACAAATTGCTAAACAGATTAAAATAACATATTGTGGTAAGACAGTTAGATTAAATGGAAAATGATTATTTGATTGCAATAAGAAATAACGATTTATCAGGGCTAAAACTGATGTTGATTTCAGATGAAACTTTCATTCAGACAAAGGATTTTGTAATATTACGATAATATTGTAGATAGGGTAAACAGGCTTGCATTTGGCTGTCAAACGCAACTACTATGATATATGTTAAGAGCTGATAAATCATTAGGTTGACGTCTTTGCAATTGATTATGTAAATTCAAAGTCTATAATAGGGAAACAGAACAGGTAGGTAAATGGCAGAGAAGTACAATTATTTTAAGGTGGCGAAGTTAATACAGATGGAGGAGGATTAGATCAGGAGAAATTTATAATCATGAAATACTTTTATTATTAAATATAATTTAAAATTAATATTTAATTGTAATAAAAATCAGTGATTTAGTTGGTGATAATTGCAAAATAGGTATTTATTTTATCGAATCATATATATTATAAATGAATTATAAAAGAAATACTTCAAAAAATGATTATTTTTCTAATTTATATTAAAAATAATGGATATCGATGTCGATAAAGTAAGTTATTTAAAAGTATGAAGATAATTGAAAAACTTTTAGAAAGCAAAGGAGCTAAATAAGGGAAAGCGGTGAATCTAACTGAAAATGAAATACGTTCTTTGTGTGTAAAGAGTAGAGAGATATTTTTAAGTCAGCCAATGTTGCTAGAATTGGAAGCTCCAATAAAGATATGTGGTAAAGCGTTCAACTTATGTAGGTGATATACATGGGCAGTACACTGACTTATTGAGACTATTTGAATACGGAGGGTTTCCACCAGAGGCGAATTATTTGTTTTTGGGAGATTATGTGGATAGAGGAAGACAGTCATTGGAAACAATCTGTTTGTTGTTGGCTTATAAAGTAAAATACCCTGAAAACTTCTTTTTATTGAGAGGTAATCATGAATGCTCATAAATCAACCGTATATATGGATTTTATGATGAATGCAAAAGAAGGTACAATATAAAATTGTGGAAAACCTTTACTGATTGTTTTAATTGTTTGCCAGTGTGTGCAGTGATAGATGAGAAAATTATTTGTATGCATGGTGGGCTTTCACCAGAATTGACAAATTTGGAGTAGATTCACAGAATAATGAGACCGATAGAAGTTCCAGATACAGGATTGTTGTGCGATTTGCTATGGTCAGATCCAGAGAAGGATGCACAAGGTTGGTAAGGTAATTAATAATTTATAATAATATAAAGATAACGAGAGAGGAGTTTCATATATCTTCGGAACTGATGTGATAGCTAATTTCTTGAAGAAAAATGATATGGATTTGGTTTGCAGAGCTCATTAAGTAGTAGAAGAAGGATATGAATTTTTCGCAAAAAGGCAATTAGTAACACTATTTTCAGCTCCGAATTATTGTGGAGAATTTGACAACTCAGGTATAGAATTCATTTAATAATAATTAATAGGTGCATTGATGAGTGTGGATGAAACGTTGATGTGTTCATTTCAAATTCTAAAATCCCAAGACAAAAAAAATGTTCCATAAAGTAGACCAAGAACACCCAAATACGTTAATTGATATAATAATAAATGTTATTTAAGATAGAAATTAAACTTATTAAAACTGTCATTTCATTAAAACCATCTCCTATTAATATACTTATTAATAATACTTCTGCTAGACTAGGATGTATAGGAACAGTGTTATCAAAATCTTTCTTTGTGCATTTTATTTTCATAGCCACTGCTAAGCCTTAAGTTACCTCAGCAGCTTCAGGTCCAACGTATGATATCCTATGATTCGTTCTGACTCCTTATGAACAATCAATTTGCCTCCACAATACTTTTCATCGTCTCTCTATCTTATTCTCCATTTTTTAGTTTTTGTTTTAGTCCTTTTAATTTTTTTTCCATCATCCCCATACTTTTTCTTTGCTCTCTCCTCTTACAATCCAATACTTCCATACTCAATAGTTGTTTATATATTCGTATCCACATCATCATAATCCATTATCTCATTACTATCTCCATACATTCTTTTGTCTAATTTCCTGCCATCCATTACTTCAATAGGTGTATACTCTTATCTTTTCAAACAACAATCTCCAATTTCGTAAATATTATCTACTGTTGTTCTATCGTATTCATCAGCCATGATCTTATAGTTTCTAGCATCAATCTTAACCCCAATCGACTCTAAATTCAATTATTTAGTTGATGCCTGTCTGCCAATTCCATATAATACAGTATCATAAATATCCTCCTCTACCACTCCATCACGCACCCACTTAACCAATCTCCTCTTCCCATTATCTACCGCTGAAATAGATTACAATAAGGCTCGCTTAACAAACTTTATTCCACCATCTGACATATATCCTTCTACTTTCGAAGCCATCTCCTAATCAAAATTCCTCATAACTCTTGTTCTAACTAAAACTGTTGTGTCAAACCCAAAACCATGAATGAATCCTGCACATTCTAAACCTACATATGAAGCCCCTATAACTAATGTCTTTCCTGGAGGAGTCGTCTATTGAAATACATCCTCTGATGTGATGACCAATTTTGGATCCTAATATAGCATAGGCCTTGATCCAACACACACTATTATGTTTTTCGCACTTATTATTTCCTTCTCTCCTTTTACATCTGTAAGCTATAATAATACATTATCAAAATCTAAATCTTACTTCTATCGTGTGTCTGTCAATAAATTTAGCGAATTTGTTATAATAATCGATACCATGATCCTTTAAAGAACTTTCCTATCGCACATTCAATTCCTTTATATGTTTTTATACTGTCTCAATCAACTATTTCCAATTATGCTTCCCTTCACTTTCTACCCCCTAATATCCTGCTGCTATTTAATCCTTCCTTATTTCACCCATTTTGGCTGAGAATGGCATCAATTTTGTTGGCACGCACCCAACATTTACACAAGTACCACCTGTTCCCCAGGTTGTAGCATGAGGACTTGGAGTTGCGTAATCAGCAATTCCCACCTTCTTCCCCAATAATGCTGAAGCTTTTGAAGATGCCAAACCTCCTGCTCCTCCTCCTATGACGAACAAATCGTACTACAATTTCTTTAACATAATTTTAATTTTGTATAAAATATATATTTACTTCTCAAACTACTAGTTTTTATTCTAGCTCCCCTAAATATCTTCTAGATATATTATTGAAACAAGGGTTTTAAGGGAGGTCTGTATATTTAAGAAAATTTGAGTACATTTAAATGAACACTTAAAACCTTATCCTAAAGATTTTCAAAAAAGTCTCTCAGATAAAGGTTCATATGTTGATGCAACTAAAATAAAAATGGCAAAAGTAGAAAGATTATAAGTGTGCAGATTTGCTGTAGCATCTAGGTTATAAGTTCTGAGATTGCAAATGCTGTTACAACTACTCTTAAAATTGAATCATTAGAATGTTTGTTCAACATTTTCAATGAACAAAAATTCTAATTGTTTATAAAATTTTTCATAGTATTAAGATTATGATGTTTTAGGTTTAGGATAATAAGGCTGATTAATTTGCAATGTAATGTCAATTGTTGTAATTTTAATAGCAACTCCTTTTTATGAGAGTGATTAGTTTTAATTCATAAATTTTTATTTAATGTATTCTCTTATTTTTTTAGTCTACATTTTTCTCCAAGTGGCATCCCATCGATAGACATCTCCTACTAGTAGAATCATTAAAGAAGTGATTAATGAAGAACAATATTCTACTAATGTCAATTCCTCTTTCTTAATTCAATTTGCAAAGTATGTATTAAAATCATTAGTTACTTTGACATTATTGATATATCATTATCGTCCTTAAATTAAGATAATTTTATTAAAGTAACTAAAGATGATCCATAAACTTCTCATTTAAGTCATGGATGTCGACCTTATGATAGAGAAATATTGTATAAAAAATTATTTCATTTCATTCCATTATTTGATAATGAGACTATAGAAACTATCCAAGGGAACATTAGTTCACTTTACTCATCTACTTAGAATATATTTATAGTAAGAAGCGATCTCAAATTGATCATAATGAAATTGTTATATGACTAAGAGTTATAAGAGATTATCGATTTGTAAGACGTATAACATATAAACTTAAATTCTGTTCTAACTAAATAGTCTGGAACTTAGTAAATATTAGATCCTGTAATCAAATGTTATGAATATAACATTTAGTTTGTATATTGTTATGTGTTGACATAACTAGGTACAATACATTTTTAATATAACTAAGATGAGTAAATTATGTTAACATATGAAGAAATAAAATTTTGATTGTTAAAAAAGTGACAGTAGAATTAAGTTCTAAAGTGTTGGATGTCTATTTAGAGAATAAAAATAGAATGCTATTAGTTTTGAGCTAAGGAGAAGTTTAAGTGTTTTAATCGCTTCTTGATGGAAGTTTAACTTTAATTTAAAAATTGACACCAATTCAAGAAGCAAATTTGCTGCAAGTTAAGACTAATGAAAATGGAACGCACATCTTTATTCTTGATTAACAATATGGCATTTATATATATTAAATTGATAAATCGGATGGTGAAATAACTCTGAGTGAACAGAACATTTAGATTAAAGGGGGCAGAGCATTTGATATTTCTGGAAATAGAATGTTTATTCTGTTGGAAACTGAGGATGAGCTTCCATATGTTTTAGAGTTGTTTTATGATTTAGAGAAGAGAGAACATTATTTGAATAAGATTACATCGTATGAGTAAGAGGTATACGATTTGTATGTGAGTGAGAAATTAACCATTTTAATAGGGAATGATGTGCACTCAATAATTGAAAACTCTATTTATCATAGGTTTTATGAAAAGGAAAGTGAAAAAGAGTAATACTTCAATCAAGTTGACTTAATTTAGGTGGATAGCTTGAATTTGCCTTGGGGTAACTAAATAAAACTGGGTTATCCATTTGAAAGTGGTCTCTTCTCTTCTATGAAGTTATTGTATGATGAAACATATATGGTGTCCATTTCAGGGAAGGAAGTTAACGTATTTGTATTGAATTCTGTATCTCCTTGGGTTTTATGCATGGCTGAGAATACTACAAAAGAAGTATGAAATGCTTAGAATGTAGTTTTATTAATTGAGATTGAAGGCATAGAAATGTCCATCCATGAACTATGAAAATGAGAATCCTTTCATTATATGTGAATCCAGTAGAAATTTTAGTTTCTAGGGGTTGGAAATATATTTTTATGAAGACAATTCGAAATTATTCTTGGCCATAATCTTAGGTGTAATATTAACAATAATTGGGTTATCGATTGTGTTGATGTTTTATAAAAATAGATATTAATAACTCAATATTTAAGAGGAGTATGGAAGCGTTGAGATAACATAACAGCAGGAAAATGAACTGAAAACAGAAAATCTGCCAACAATAGTATGAATTGATAGTATTAAAATGAGTTTTATATATATAAATCAAATTAATGTCAGAAGAGAGGCTCTTACAAGAAGAAACTCTTTACTCACATGGCCAATAGTATTCGTAATAGAAGTAGAACTAAGGGAATGTAGACGAGCATTAATTTGAAGTTTAGGAAAACGAGAAGGATGAATTATTAAAGAAATTAGAAGCGTTAGAATCTAAATTGAAAAATACCATAGACGACAAGCCTTATAGTGAATTGATGAGGATATTAATATGGGAAGCATTGGGAACTGCATTTTTTGCTTATGGGATAGTGTGTTCAAGAGGAAATGATGTCATGTTAAGTGTATATCTGTTTGGAGCAATATTTTTGATCGGTAAGATTACAGGAGGCCATGTGAATCCTGCGGTTTCGATGTCATTTTATAGTTCGAATGAGATAAGTGCATTTACGATGAGAGTCTATTGGGCAGCTCAAGTGGGTGGGGCAATTGCAGGAGCTTTGGCTGCTTTTGTGATAGTAGGAAGAGTCACCTCTCCATACATTGAGACACAGCCAATTCAATGGATGGTGGCTGATTTTTGCGGAGAAGTACATTATATCTTGTGATCCATTAAGGCTTTGGGTACATTTGTATTTTGTTTGTTTATTCATATTCAAGTGCACCCACAAACGTAATTAACTGAAAACAACTTGATAGGGATTGGCATTATAGCAACTGCACTCTATTTTGGTAGAATATTGACATTTCATACTGGAGGTATCTTTAATTTTTCTATGTACATAGGTTGTTTGAATCCAGCGATGGGAGTTGGATTAGGTATCTTCGAGTCACTATAGGATGGTAATTGGGATCGATTGATTAATATTTGGATCTATATCTTTGGACCTCTTTCAGGAGCCTCTTTGGCTTCGGAGTTTTACAGAAGCGTTTATGTAGGTTTATTGCCTAAGAAAAAATGAATATTAAATTTAATATATACATGAAGATAATCTTAGGCCTTTTAGCCATCCTCTATGGGTTAGGTTAATGCAATATTATTGAAACTTCAAGACCTTGTACTTGCCAATAACTATCTCAAAATGATTGCATAAAAAATAATTCTTGTGCTTGGAATAAAACATGCGATGTCAAAACTATAACTTAATCCAAACCAAATACTTATTGTAGCTACTTAAATGAAGCGTAATGTCAATTAGACGACGTCTGTTAGTGGGTCAGCAGCCAATGTACCTTTTTTACAGGGTGCACTGCTTATAAATTTACAACTGATAGGGACTGTAGAAGCATGAATAAGAGATGCTATAAATCCGATCTTAAAAAATGTATTGAGTTAAGTGAATGTATCGATTACACAGATTAAATTGTGTGTTTTATGGATGTAAATAATAGATATTGTTATTGGGATACAAAACTCAATAAATGTTCCAAGGCTATGGATTGCCCATCTTAACCGTCTGCTTTGGATACTGATGCCTAATGCAGATCCTAAATTCCTACTTGCACAACCAAACCAGGTGGTGGGTGCATTGACGCATAATCGAGTTGTTCTGACATCACTCTTGAAATCTAATGTTTCTATAATAAAGACCAATCTGCATAATGTTTTTGGGATAGTTCTCTCAATCCTCCTTAGTGTAAAGTAAAGACCTGTGAAAATGCTCCAGTGACTTTGAAAACAGAAGATCAATGCAAATAATTTTTAGAATAATGTACAACTCAAAAGGATGGTGGTTGTGTATTAAGATCATCTTGTGATGCTGCAAACACATAAAACGCATGCATTAAAGATTATTACGGAAATGATTGTTTTTGGGTGGATGGCTATTGCAAATAAAAACTGTGTAGCAATGCCACCAAAGATATTGTTACTAATGTCGGTTGTTAAGCAATTAGTGCAAATTGTATAACCAAATCTGGTGGTGGTTGTATGACCAATGGGGAATGCTCAATTGCTAATGTGGATTACGCATGCAAAAAGAACTTAAGGGGAGAACAATGCTTTTGGGATTCCATCACTCAATCATGCAAAGATAGAACTTGTAGCAATGCCCCTTAAAGTCTATCAACATTCGAATAATGTAGTAAATTTTTATCTACTTGCACTGTTAACTCACTTAAATAAGGATGTGAAAATAGAACTTGTGAAAATGCACCCGTATTTGTCACTACTCTGATTGGATGTCAAGAATACCATAATGTATCTTGTATTCCCAAAAAGGATGGTGGATGTGTTACTATCAATACATGTGAAGAAGTTCAGTTAGAAATTGGTTGTATCGTCGATAATTTGTAACGTCCTTGTTTTTGGAATGATGGTAAATGCTTACTAAAAGTATGTACCAATATTCCTAAAACTGTCTACGACCAAGAATCATAAAGTTAACAACCTGTCACTCTCGACCATTCCAAATGTAATGAGTTTATGTAAACTTGCACAATCAATTAATTAGCTACGAATTGCATTAATTACACATGTGACAATGTTTAAGATTATAACATATGTCTCTAAAACCAAAAGTGTTATTATCGTTCAACATGCTTCACCAAAACATGTTTCACTGCTCCTTTATCATATACTACTCATTAATAATGTTCTCAATATAAGAACGTATGTACTATTGCTCCATCAGGATAAGGATGTTCTCTTATGTTATAAGCATGCAACCTATATAAAATTAAGACACAATGTGTTTAATCAGCTACTAGTGCTTGTGAATGGCAAGGGAATACTTGTGTTGTGAGATAATGTAATTTAGCTGATACTTCATATAATACAACTTAAAAATGTCAGTCGTATCTATCTGGATGTGTAGTCAATAATTAAGAAAAAGGATGCACTCCTGAATTTACAAGATGTGAGGATAGTCAGATTCAATAGAACTGTACTTTGGATGTATGCGAATGGAAAAATAATAAATGTGTTACTAAATCATGTAGTAACCAAAAGACTAATTGCACATCATATAAAACTCCTAAGAAGTGTATCAATAATGATTCCAAAAATTTATGTATAGATGTTCCAGCCACCTGTACATTATTACCAAAGGAATATTGCTAAGAAAATATCTCTTATGACTTGATTAGTAAATATTGCTATTTGGATGGTAGTAATGCTTGTACAGAACTTACACTATAAAATGAGTGTAGTAGTTACACTTATTAGATTTCATGCATTAAAAGGATCAACAATAAAGGTAATTGTGTTTGGGTTAGTGGAATTTGTTATAATGATGACTGTGCTGCTTTGCCAAATACTTATACTACATCTTCATAGTGTAAACTAGCAATTTCAAGGTGTATCTTAAACAACACAGGCTCAGGATGTATGAATAAAGATGAATGCTCATCTTATAATGATAAAAATTGTGATTAATTAGATAGAAATGGTTAAGACTGTGTTTATAAGAATAGTCAATGTCAAAGGAAGTCTTGTGCAACAAGTTCTGATACTAGTCATATTGATTGCTATAAATACATGTCAACAGGACTAAAATGCACTGTAAATAATAACAGTAATGGCTGTGTTGAATTGACATCATGTACTAATTATAAAAAAGAATCATAATGCGTTATAAGTAACACTCAAAAGGATTGCTATTGGTCTAATAATAATTGTTATGAGAAGAGCTGTTCTTTGAATACTACTTCAACAACCCATGATTAATGTTAATCATTCATGAGCAGTTGCACTCTAAATACAAATACAAATCTGGGATGTATGGAATTTCCTGAATGTTAATTGATTTCAGATCCATCAATATGTAGTTCCAGTTCTAAATGTGTCTATCTTTCTACCAATTGCATTGTAAAGACTTGTGAAAATGCAGTATTAACTGAATATAATAATAAAAATTGTAGCGATTTGCCTTTTGAGGGCTGTTCTTATGATAGTAACTTTTGTAGCACAAAGACATGCTCATAATATGAATTCAGTACTGATGAAGAATGCATTTAATAGAATTAATATTGCACTACCAATGGAAAGACTTGTACAGAAAGATTAGACTGCAGTAAGGCTGTTGCAGAATAAGGATGTAAAAAAGATATGTATGGCAATCTTTGTCAGTGGATTGAAATATCAAATATATGTACATTGAGGAATTGTTCTACTGCACCCACGTCATTAACAACTGAAATCTAATGTGCATAATATTATGATGGGTGCACAACTAAATAAGGTGGAGGATGTACAGTTAAATCTACTTGTTCAGCTGCAAATGTCTAAGCAGCATGTAACATTTCAAAATATGGAGATATATGCAGTTGGGATGATACCATCTAACAATGTAGAAATTAATCATGTGTTGATTTCAATGGGTTTGAATACAAATCCTGCAATAAACAAATGAGTAAATGCACCACCAATGGGTTTGGTAAATGCACAGATATTGTCAATTGTAATTCATATTTAAATGCATAATCCTGCATAATCGGAGCAGATGGCCCCTGTCTTTGGGTTACTGGAAAATGTTATTTATACAGAGACTGCACTAGCATCAAATTCAAAACACATGAACTATGTCAACAGGTTAGTGATAAATGTACCACAGATGGGAGCAGATGTGTCTCTATCACTGAATGCAGTCAATCTAATATTTATGGAGGATGTTTCTTGGGAATTGATGGCAAATGCATCATGACATTAAATGATAAAAATGTTAAAGTTTGCACTAATTTCACTAAATGTGCTGATGCCAAATTCAAAACTCATGCAGATTGCTATGCAGCTAATCCTGGATGTACAACTGATGGAACATAATGCATTGAACTACTCGTTTGTAAAGATTACAAGATATAGGAATAATGTTATTTGGATATCAAGGGACCTATCTATGTAAACAATAAAATTTAAGCTACTGGAGTTTGTAAATGGGATGGATCCTGTAGACCATAAATTTGTGAAGATCTGGTAGGAACTACACATTCTATTTGCAATAATCAAATGATGACCTGTACTACAAATGGTACTATTTGTTATACTATGGACAAGTGCTCAACTTACTCTTTAAAGGATTTATGTACTAATGGTCTTGGTACTGATGGAAAATGCATATATTCAACAGAAAATACAAAATGTTAACTTATGACATGTAGTGACATTACTAACAATATTTGTAATATTCTAGATAATTGTATTACAGATGGTACAAAATGCATTTCTAAAACAACGTGCGCTTCTTATACTAGTTAAGTAGCTTGTGAAATTTCGGGAACCGATGGAACATGCCTTTGGAATGCAACTACTAAGAAATGTTCGTTATTTTCAGCTTGTTCAAATGCTCTGGATGAAAATCAGTGCAATAAGATGAATACAGTCTGTTATTGGAATGCTGATTCCACAAAATGTGTTGACTTAACTTGCGATTTGTAATTTAAATCTAAAAATAATTGTATCAACATTTCTACCTGGAGTCCTTCTTAAATTAGAGCCTGCAGTCTTGTAAATGGTGTTTGCTCAGAAATAGATCCTTAAGCTTATGGATCAAGTGAATGCTACTAGTTAACATTGTTTACTTACACATACAACACTTCCACATAAAAATGCATGTAATGTTCAACTTCAAACAATAATTAAACAAATAACACTATTAATGACACTATTAACAACAATACAGCAGATAGCTTTTAATAGTTAATTGTCCTGGGACTTTAAATATTATCGTTATTCTTAATATGATAATTTTTAGCTTTATACATAATATAAATAATAGGACATCATTAGATTATTCCTAATTTATCCCACAAATTCTCATCACATTTGTATCCATTTACTGGGTATGTCTATGTTTATTACTCTGTCTCATAAATTTGGTCTATCGTTAATTTAAATGCATCGTCTAAGTTAAATCATTTATTTACTAAGCATTCTTGGTATCAGTTATTTGAGGAGAGGACTACTCTCTTCAATACAAGGATTTGTATTAACTTCAATTAGCCAAACATGTCCATTTTTATCTATCATAAAATCATAGCCTAAAATTTCAAACTAAAAATTCTTTCTGCATTCATTCAATCTATGATAACCTGAATCTATTGTTAGTTTAACTATTCTTTTCATTTCTTAGATTATTGTGTTCAATTAAGGTTTTTAAAATTTTAAATAGCGTTACATGTCGCCAAAACTGATTTAATTACCAATTTCATATTTCCCATAATATGGATGATGCTTTTAAATTGCATTGTTAGTCAGATGTATGTAGAGATTACGAATATTATTAATGTCAAATCTTTCAGTTGCTAATCTAAAATAACCTTCACGAAAGAAATAATAATTTAATTTGTGATCTATTAACACCCATACTCTGATGTCAAATTTACGCTAATTATATAATAATGGGGTTTCGAGATATTTTTAAAGCACAATTTATTTATCTTGATCATCTATAGATAATTTGATCTTCCTTTTATTATCCAATGTCAGTGTTATCGATTTTTATTATTTAACTGAAGTCTACCCTTTTTTATTAAGATTCTCCATCAACTCAACAAATTAATCTAAATCATTAAATAATTTAATTCCATTCCCTCTATTTAAATCTGGTGGTTTCATTAGCCATATATTTAAAGATTATTTACTGCACTAAGTAAAATATTCCAAAAATTTCATCAAATCAGTTTAAACATGCGCTGAGTCCAAATTTATAATAAAAGTCTTTGGAACAAGATCGTCCATATTCATCTTAGTTTTCTATACTGAATCATATGCTATCTTACATTGCAATAATTTTCGAGAGTGTGAAATAAATTATTCTTGTTGGTAATCACATAATGGTGTTCTAAATGATTAATGGTCACTTTTTTGCTCTTGAGCTGTCCCAATTAAAAATAATTAAAATATTTATTGCTTTGCTTCCAGATTAAATGAGCACTAATATAAGTATCTCTTACTTGAAAGGAGTTCTCTATTCTTAAAAATTCGGTCTTTTAGATAGAATCTACCTAACTAATTCTCCATTATTCCCTTCTCCCACATAAAAAAATGTCTATCTTTTAAGCGTAGTAAAGGTTGACCGTAAATCCTAGGTGCTCGAGAATTATTATTGACTTTTCATATAATTAATATTATTTTATAACAATTTTGACATTAAGAGAAACAAAATTAAATATCTCATATTCATTCATTAAATTCATTTGCTATGTGATTCCGATAAAACGTACTTCTCATTTTCATATCCTTGATGCTGCTATTCCCTAACTTGATATTATTATAATGATCAACATAATATTAGTTTCGATTAAAAATACTGTTATTACTCTCCTTGTCATTCATCGGAGTTATCTCACTTGATTTTGAATAATCTAACATTTGTGATTGATTTAACAATTGAGTTTATTCCTCCTATCTTCTTTTTATTGTAGGGTTTACTCCCTCTAAAGTCGTATAGTACATCTCTAATTTATCTTTTACGTTATATAGTTTCCGTCTATCTCTCTCCATTTACTTTTCCTCTTAATCCAACTCTTTTCTACTTTTTAATTTGGATTTCTGAGGCGATCTAACTATTACTCCAAAATGGTTTTTCAAAAATGTTATGGTCTCATCTGGACTTCGCATTCTCAATCCTCCCTTTATCAAGACCTCTGAATCACTTTGAATTTATGATGTATCTAGTAATTTCTATTCATTTATCAATTTATTTTAGTCTTCAAATAATGAATCTTTTTTTTGGAGTAACTGTTAAGTTTTTAAATTTTGAGTTTTATTTAGCTATTTTTCTAAAAATTCTCTTAACCCTTATTTTTTTAATTCAAATATTTTTTCTTATTTATAAAGAGGCATTGAACTCAATACTTTTGTTAATACCAAATTATCTTTATTACATGAATTACTTAATACTTCTGTTCTATATTTTGAATACTAAAACTATCTTCTTTAAATGTTATCAATTATTGGAAATACTCTATCACTCTCTTACTCTTTGATTCGATTTTATTCAATCTTATATTTTTATAAACTCAAAATAACTTACCTACCCAAATAATTCATCCACCCTCAATAAAATGTCCTTGTTTTACACCTTAACTTTTTCCTTTTTGCCACGAGTTTCAAGCGTATTTTGAAAAAAATTAATATTTCTTTCCCTTACATCTGAATTCATATTAAAATAATATTATATTTATATTCACTCACATTCAATTGTTGCAATAAATAATCAAGTACTTTTTTTAATTAGTTATTTTGGATGTTGTAAATTAGTCAAGTTTACAATACTTTGATCCCATATGAGTTTTTGCTAATTACATATAAAATTAGTTTACTTCAGCTATTTATTCTTTTTGAAGACTACAAAATTTTGTAAAATGCTGTGAGAATTCTGATACTGTATTCTCAAATAACTTTGTTACCTCCAAATATGATTAATTATTAAAGTAAGCAAAAATATTTTTTAAATCTTCTTAAATTATGGTCTCTTATGGTAACATAATTTAAAAACTAAATTCTTTATTCTAAGTCAAGTTGCTATCTTAAAAGGCTTTAAGTTCAACAGCTGAAATTTCCCATCTGCTATAATCCTAAGATGTAAATAGTTTATTCTTTTTATATTCTAATCGAGACTTGAATTTTTCATACTCCTATTAAGCATGTTCTTTCTATTTCATAAACTAAAATAAGAGGATTAATTTACTTCTTTTAATACCAAAACTGAATGATGATGGAATTTAAAAAAGTGACACAATTCCTCCTAAACAATCTAGATTTGAGATGTTAAATTATTTCCCCACTAAACAAGCATGTTGTTCATTGATATATACAATATATCTAATTATGATATCTTACCTTAAGAAATGGATTAATTAAATTTATTTGATAATTGATAGAGTTCTGCGCAGGTTGATCCCATATTAAAAATAGTATTTGATAGTTAATCAAAATCAAGCAATAATTGCTTAGAGTCCTTTCTTAATTTTTTATAACAGATATCAACAGAATTAACCAATTAAGTTGCTTCTAAATTGTAAGTATTTAAGTTGTCATTTATTTCTAATTAAATTTTACCATCAATAGAAATAATCTATTCTAGTTTAGTTACTTTTTGAACTTAAGTACTCAATTTTTAAATTTACTTCAAATCTTTTTCTTCTTTGGATGATAGAAAAGCATAAAACCATTTATCATGCCTTAGTAATTCACAATTAAATATTGATTTTAGGAATTTCTAATTTGATTTGAAATAATTACTTCTAAAAATTTCATACGCTTTTGAAGATATAATTCTTTCTCGTTCTTCAGAACGGTCTTTTTTGGTAGAGGAGGAATCTAATCTAATATTAAATTATACATTAATGCCAGGATAAATTTTGCAAAATAATTCCCTTAACCATAAGAAATCACTATATCTTCGCTATACAATCCAACCTATTGGATCTGTTTATACAGTATAAGAATAATATGAAGATGTGAAAATACCTCCAGGAATTCTTTAATATTTGGTTATTTAGACATTTATTCCACTTTATAAAAATAGATCTTTTTTGTCTTGAGTTTTGCATAAATGGATTTTAGAAAAGTTTGATTTGACATCGCTAATCTCTTTGATCAGTTCATTCTAAAGCTAAGATTATGATTGCTCTTTCATTAAGCTCTAGGATGTTGAATTTAAATTTTATTCATTTTATTCTACATTTTACAAGTTTTTCTCATCAACATCCGATGATTTACCAAAACCTACATTTTGCATCTATTAATCTTATTATGGTTAATTTATCTATTAAAATTAAGCAATTGCTAAAGATAATTCTTGATATGTCCACATGTCGATGTCTTATCCACCTAATCGTAAATTTATGTTTGGAGTGTACCGTTCTCTTTCTATTATTCCATGTAACTAATAAATGCTTCACTATCATATCCTTTATCAAGTATTTCTGCTTTTAATAGCTTTTCCTTTTATTGTACTTCATCACAATTGTTTTATTAATCCATTAATAATATTTAATAATGGAATATTATACAGATATTCAAAATGAGCTAAAACAAAAATATAATCAGCACTATAATCTATATTAGGTATAATAACTTTTTAATCATTAGAAATAATAATTGGAACGCAAGATACTTTGCTATAAAAATAATAGTGAAGACCCTCTTAAGTATCAACAATGCATTGAAGATTTGAATACAAGAATGAATATGAATTCCACTACACTTAGAAATAGATTCAATCAAATAGAAATAGATGATAAAGATTGTTAAGGTAAATGCTATGATGACTCTAAATGCATTTAACGATGTGAAGAATAATCAAGAAAAAAAGCAATTTAATTATAAGAATAATTTTATAAATTAATGTTATAAGAAAATCCAGAATACAAAAAATTGTAATGAAATGTATTATATAATATAATCTATAAACTCAGAATATTGTGCAATCATCAGTTTATGTAACACTTTATTCTTATTATTGTTCATCAATAATTTGCTTTTCTTAATTAGGTTAACTTTCTTTAAAATATTAGTGCTGATTTGTAGTTTGTTACTCCAATTAGTATGGTTGATTTTATTAAAATTATGATAACAATCGATTCATTTATTCTTCATGAGTTGATTCTAGTAATGAGATCTTTTCTTCATAAAAAGACTTTAATTAATGAATTTCCTATCCCTCATATTATTTAAGACTTTGATTAATTTCTTTATTAATTCGCTCATAACTCTACATCTAATCAAAGTACTCAATTTTTAATTGATTCACTTCTACAAACTTCTGTTTTAAATTAAATAATTCTTTCTCCTTATGCAAAAGATTATTTCTAATTTAAATATTGTTTTCTTATAATTCTTTGTTAATACTAGTTTAATTATGAGTTTAAGCATTAGTTTAATTGTTATTTTAATCAAATTCTTTTCTTTTCAAACCTAAAATTTGAACATTTAAATCATCTATATGCTTATTTAATTTATCTGATTGTTCATTTTATTTGGCATACAGCAATCTCATTTCTTCTGTATTTTTTTTTTACTCTTCAAGCTATTTCTTTAACTCTTATGTTTCTTATTCTTTCTCTTCGAGTTTTACAGTAAAGAAGGAATTTTATTATTGTAAAAATGAAGTTTTTTTTAATAATGAAACCCTATCTTCTGTTAGTCGATATACTTCTTATTCATATTCACTATTTATTTTCTCCTTCAACTAGTTTTCGAATTCAGTTTTGTTTTTTTAATTTTACTGTAATTGGATTTATAAATTGTTTATCTCAAATTTTAACCCACTTATTTCTGAGTGTAAATTAGAAATTTGATTTCTATAATTCTCCTCTTTCTATTCAAAAGCCTTAGTTTAGATTTCTTTGTTGTCTGCTGTCATCTAATTGTTATTTGATAATTAAGCTTTTAAACTACTAACAGTGTTATAATTATCCATTTCACTTTATTATTGTTAATCAATATATCTTTGAATTAACTCTTTTTATTATGAGACTTTTTCTTCTAACTCCTTTATCAAATTAGATTTTTCTTATAATTCTCTTTGAAAAAATGTTCTTTCAGGATCATCTAATTTCACTGAACTTCTACTTATCCTTGAATTATTAGCATCATATTCTAAATCTTGATCCTATTTTGCATAACTGATTGAATTTCTTAAGCCTGACAATTCTTCATTTTGCCTTTTGATTGCTTAATATAACTCCTTAATTTAATTCTTATTGCTATCGTACTTTTCGTTCTGTATCATATACTCTATTTTAGAATGTTAATTATCTTTTAAGAATCCTATAAATGAATCCAATAAATATTGTAGTGCATTATCACAGCTTGATTATCTTTGTTGTTATTATTCCTCTTTCTTCACCTATGATTATTATTATGTGATAATATTTGAAGATTATTGTGGTAGTTACTCCTTGCTTGTCAAACTAGTCCTGTATTTTCTTTTTTGCGTATCTTCCATTTATAAGAAAGTCGTTAATTACTCCAATTAAATGTTCTTCATAATTTAGTGTGGAATTTCATCTATTTGTACCTCTGCAATGACCTTCTGTAATTCCAAACAGATATTAGCTAAGAATTTCTCGTAAATAGAAAACTATTTTAAGTAGATACAATAAATATACTTCTCTATTGATGAGCAATTGATTAAAGAGAAAATATCCAACATAGAATTCTATGTGATTAAACATAAGAGTTGTAAGGATATCAGATGAATAAGTATCCAAAAATACTTTTAATTTAGATCTCAATAAAGAATCGATTTTAGAATTCGATTATTCTGTTATACAATCTAATAAAAATTTGACTTCTTAATCAATAGGCTTGTTTTCTTCGACATCCAATTTATGGTATTGAAATCTTGAAGGTAGTACCTTTTGATGTAAAAACAATAATAGTAATAAGCAGATGGCCTCATCGCAAAAATACAAGATGTAGGTAGTTATAAAGACCAGATTTCTAGTTAATTTAATAGGGTTTGTTTAAAAGAAACAATGCAAGACATTTGATATCTTTGTCAATAATGAAATTTCCTATTCTCCTACACACATTTTATAGTTCCATTCATATAGAGAATAGTTTAAGGTTTTTTTATTCTAAGTGGATAATAATGGAATTCACATACCTCTTTAAAATATCTCTGAAGATTGGTTTAAATTTAATTTTTTGTTTCGTTGCTAGCATTTTTCAAAATTTAAGATAAAGATTTTTAATATTCTTCTTATGCCTTATCTATTGCAAAGCTGAAAAATGAATAAAATAATACTCATCTCCCTGAGCCAGATATGCCCACCTTTTTCCAATTCCAGACAAATGTCCAAACTTGCATTTTTCTACTTCCATCTACTATGTTTAATGCTTTGAATCATCTTTGCAATTCTTACAAATTCTATGAGGAGTTTTTAAATCATGAGATGCAATAATTGCCTTATCAGGAGCACAGTTGTAACACACATATCTAAGACATCTTTTGCATTGATGTTATTTGTGTTTCCTTTGATACTTGTAAAACTAGTTAATACCAATCGAAAGTTTAGTTGCATAATTCACAAACCTCATTTTTGTTAGTTGAACTTCCAACAAATGTTTTATAAGTGAATTTAGAACCAATCTTTTCCAACATTTATCTATATTTTATATTATATTAATAATTCAATAAGTTTGAAGCAATTAACATCAAAATTCAATTTAGAGATTATGTTTTGAATAATATATATATTTATTAAATGTCTTAAGATCGAGGCTATGATCATGGATTATCAGGGTAATCCTCGCAATCCCCTTCTCATTAGCAGACTTAGAAAAGAATGGATTAATTTTCCCTTGATTTTTTTATTGAAAAGAGATTTATCACTTAGGAGGATTTGAAACCAATTTTGGAAGATGTTAGAGTAATCAATCAACTAGAATAACTTAGTGCCAATATAATGTTGAGTCCATCAACTTGAATCCCAAGAATTAAATTCCAGCCTTGGAAGGAACAGCTTTTTCTATAATTGATCATGATGAAAATAAATTAAATGCAAGATGTGATGCAGTCAATAAAATCTTTTAATTAATAGAACAAAGAAGTAAACAAATCCTAGAAATAATTATGTTGATTCCTGAAGGTAAAATCAATTAATAACCCAGGGACTGTCTCATATGTAATTGGAACCCAAGGGAAATAAATTGAGCACATTAAATTAGAGACCAAAGCCCATCTCGTAATTAATTAACCAATCTATGAGTTCAAATTAAGAACAGTGACAATTATTGGTAAATGCTATTTCAATATCATAGGGGAGTCTTCTCGCATCTTTTATGCAATTAAATTGATCATAAAGCAATTGCAAGAAAGAGGAATTTCAAATGAAGATTATGCTAAAAAGGCAGAACCCCTAGATCCGAGAAGAGTCATGACAAAAGTATTTTGAATTATTATTAGAGGCCAAATTTGCTTTTTCGAATGTGATAATAGAATATATATTAAAAAATAGAGAATTAGAGAAAAAGTACTCTGTGAGATTAAAGGGCAAATCTATTAATGATATAAAAATAAAAGTATTGATCAAAAAGATAATTAGAAAAACAAATTGAAAAAGGATGAAGGAATATTATAAATTGATGGGACATTATTCAATGTTTAAGAGGCAATTTAAAATATAATAAAGAAAGTGACTCAGCAATTCAAGAAGAACGAGTTCGATATAAGAATAGTAATGCCTGCTAATTTTGCATCTAAATTAATTGGAGCGAGTAAAGAATCCTTTTATAATATATAATAGAGGGATGTTAGATTAAGGAATTAGCCAATAAAGCTAGAGGGGCATAAATAAAGGTGCTTTCAGATAAGGATGACACTGATGTCGGCTAAGGTTAGAATCCTAAGGAATTTTAGATTGTTTGGTATAAGTGACAGGATCAATGGAAAATAAATAGGAAGCAACAATCTTGATTTTGGAATAGATTGAATGTTTCAAGAATGGAGGACCTGTATATAAATAATTAATAAGATCCTTGAAAGTGGAAAGTACATAAATGAAAACTTCGCATAATAATACAAAAACTCAGTGCAGGTCTAAGACATGAAGCAAAGAAGGTTAGAGTGGAAGCATTAATTAGGTAGACAATAGTCATCTTCCTCGCGTTCAGATAGAAGGCAGAGATCAAGGTCGTCGAATAAAAGGTAGAAACATGCCAGAAGATCCAGGTCTTCAAGGTACTTAAAGATTATAATCAAGTTCCCATAAACACAAGTCCAGATAGTAAGTCCTCAAGACAAAAATAGTTGTCAAGCAATCTCTAATTGATATGATGCATAAATATTTAATTAGATTTTGTCAGGATTTTAATGTGAAGGTACACACTCTTCCTTCTGTATATTATATATTTGATAAATAGGAAATAGGACAAGAGACTATTGTTAAGATAAGTGGAGATGTTAGAGGTTGTATAGCTGTGATCTAATATATATTAAGTGAGTAATGTAAATTGTCCAAAAGATGAAAGTTAAAATAAAAAAATACATAATTCTCATCATATTAATAAGATTAATTTCAATTTCTGAATTTCTCGATTTCAAATTGGATTCATCTACCTTTGTGTAATTTATAGAATCAATAAAAATAAAGTTTTATTACTATTCACACTAACAATGTTATATATCAAAGGAGAATCATCTTTTTATTTATATTCATTTTTGATATATTCCCCTTTCATTGTATGTATTAATGTTTTTAAGGCATAATTTCTAAGAATATAAGAATTTCATAAGCATATCGTGTTGGTTTTATTTTTTAAACCATTCCTATTATTTATTGTTGTATTTTAGTTTTCGAATATTTTGTTCTTATTTTAGAATCCAGAATGATTATTTCTAATATATAATTTATATTTATTATTATATTTAATAATACGTAATTGTACTTAATATGTTTACGCAATAATCAGTTGAATTTGCCATATATTTATTTATAGAAATTAGTAATATGATTTATAAGATTAATAAATAGTGACGTATGAAATGCTGCTAATACCTAAATTGATTGTCGAATTAATACTTTAAAAAATTAAATGTCTGATTTTATTCAATGGACATATGATAATAGACTTCAGATCTCTATAGACTTAGCAGCTGGTTCAGTTAGTGGAATGTATTTGATAATTAATTACTCTAAATAGAGCAAATTGTATATCAAGTCATCCATTAGACACTGTTAAAGTTAGGATGCAAATGTCTAATGATGGAGTGTTGTCAACTTTAAGGAATATTTTCAAAAATGAAGGAACAAAGGGTTTCTATAAAGGAATGTCATTTCCTATACTTTCCATACCTATTACAAACGCGATAGTTTTTTCTGTCTATGAATTTTGGAGATCATTTTTTATTGGAAATTCGAACAAATAACTAACATACTTTTAAACGTAATTTTTTTCGAGATAATTATTAGTGCTTTTTGTGGAAGTATTGCAGGCAGCTCAGCAGCCTTTTTTTCATGTCCAATAGAGCTGACCAAGTGCAAATTGTAGATGCAATCAACAGAAAAAATATATAAAAATCCTATGGACTGCATTCAATAAGTAAGTTTTTGTACGACAATATTTTTAGATATATAAAAAGGAAGGTTTTAAGTCCTTATTTCGTGGAATGTGTGCTACTCAATAAAGAGAAATTCTAGGTTATTCGGCTTAGTTTGCAGTCTATGAATTGATCAAAGACTTCTTATGTGGTTTGTCTTAAAAGGCAGAACCATCCACAACAAATCTTTTAATTTCAGGAGGTTTAGCCGGAGTTTCATGCTGGACGATAGGATATCCTTAGGATGTATTTGTCCTTATTAAAATTTAGACTATAAAGACTATTTTGTAATGCTAAAAATCAACAGATTAAGGCATTTATAAAGTTAGATTTTATGATGGGGGTTTTTTAGATTGCTTAAGAAAAAAAATAATCTCGGAAGGACTTAGATCAATATGGAAAGGATATTCTGTTTGTATTTTGAGATCATTCTATGCCAACGCTATCGGATTTTATGCATACGAATTAGCAAAAGAAAATATTACTTCGTACTATTAATAATATTGAAATCTGTGAATAATTTCATTGTTTATATTATACTCAATTCAAAAGAAAGTTATGAATTCAGTTTACAAACATCTTGTCCTAGTCGATATCATCAAGTTTTTCTTTGGATTTATTCATTCTCCTAAGTATGATAGGATTTTTGGAAATTTAATAAGGGACCTTTCCTCTTCTAATTTCGTTGAATTCAGCCAATGAGCCCACACTCTTTAGATATTGCTCAAAGTTGTCGTTTGTTGTTTTAGTACTATTAATAGAAGTAGAGCAGGATAATTTTTTCTTATTTATCGAACATCCCATTTATTAATATAAAGTATGTAATTTAATTTTAAACATTCATTGATTAATAATATAAAAACATTTATTTCGATTTAAACATAATTACTTGAATTTAATTATCAACATTTTTCTAATATATATATAATATTATGATAATAACTTAAATAGTATTATTTAAAAGCAAAAAAGGTAAGGAATTTCTAAAATAAAGCCAAAATTGATTTTATTGATATTATTCATTCAAAGGCAGGATCACAGAACAGAACTGTAGGCAATTTAGGTGCTTAAGAACAGTTCTAATAATATTTGATTTATAATAAGAATTCAGTAAATGGGTTTATTAGATCTTTATATAACCTATAACTAACATGATCCATTTCATCTGCTAAATGCATGATGCATTAACTTGCCTAGCAATTTTCTAATTTATATGTAAGAAAATACTGTATAATTCCTGTGCCTAAGTATATGGAATGATGTTGTCAGCTTTACCATGTAGAATAAAGGTAGGGATCTTAACTTTTTTAATTTGATCTAAATTGTCAAATCTCTATCTGATAAGATATTAGGCCCATGATCCTACATAATCTCTGACAGCTGCTTTTAATGATGTAAATGGAGACATCAAAGCTAGACAGGCCGGCTTGTATTTACTAGCAAGATAGGTGGCAGGTCCACTACCTATGCTTCGACCAAAAATAATGATACGATTTTCATTATAACCCAATCTTTTGGTAAGATAATTGTAAACGTATTCAGCATCTTTCAATATGAATTCTGCATTAGGCTATTCGTTTTTGTACTTACCATATCCTGGGTATTCCATGGCTATGGCTGATACCTAGGGCTAATTATGGTATAAGTACTTGTAAGTTGTCTCTGAGATGAATAAGGAACTTATATGATTAAGTTATATCTTCGCAATTGGCATGGAAATACATTACAATGTTGGGAGAATGAATTTTTGAATCTACGTACATGCATGGGATATGTCCGAAGATATGATGCGATTCTCTGGAGTTGGATCTTTGAGGGATGGGTTCATCTTCTAACAATTTTTCTTTCTTTTTATCCATTAATTCTTTGGGTAATTTAATGAGAGGTTGACTGAAACAGATGCTTTTTTCGTATTTGGTTTTTTTGATTGGATAAAAATTGGATGACATCCTACACAATTAAGGCTTTTTGGTTGTAATTTAAATGGATTGCATGTTTAATTTTTACAATTTGGACGAAACATCAGGACTTCCCTCGTTAGAATCAAATGAGGGGGAATTAATTTCACTAGTTTATCTTCTTCTCTACCTCTAAGTAAGAGGTTTGCAAGGAAAATTAGGGATGGGTTATAATTGAGATTCGCTATTGGAGTTGAATAAATAAAGATTACGTGGGTTCTTCATTAAAGAAATGTTCATCTTCAAATTCCAATTCGCTCTACTTAAAGTACATTCCTCTTTTTTTTGTTGTTCTGGGGACGTAATTTTAGAAGGTTGGATAGAGTTTTTTGTACTTAGGAATCCATAATATTTGTCCTTGTTCATGCTCATTGGATATTTGTTTTGGAGCAGGGAAAAAAATGAAGTCTAGGTCCATTAATTAATATTATTGTAATTAATGAATAAAGAGAGTGAGAAATAATTAAATGAAAAAGGAGCAACCAAACAATTGCAAAAGATAATTGGAGTAAGAACACACATCATTATTATAAGTCTAGGCCCATGCCCAATTACATAATGTTTGATGGGGAAGGCAATTATGGGAGAAAGTAACTGTAAGGTAATTTTACAAAAACGAAGACTTAGATCACAAGAATTTGAAAGTGTAAATAAATTTGCATTGGAAAGGGGAGGAGAATGTTGAGGAGTAGAATAAGAATTGTGAAACTGAAAATAAGCAAATCTTACCCAAAATTTTGAATTTAAAAGTTATTTTTATGTATTATCTAATAAGAAGTCCTAAGATGTTGAACCAATGAAGACAACAATCAGTATAGGTAGTTTAATATTTGAGAATTTAAGAACATCAAAAGAGATTTGGTAAATACAGTCTGAGGTATTTACAAAAAACAAACCCATTTGGCAACAAGGATGGTTTGCAGGATGATAAATTTGAAGTAAGCTCAGCGAGATATGGGAAATTCTATACAAATGAGAGCGACCATAAAAATTTATTACGGGAATTTGATAATAAATACTGCGTCATCCCTGTCTAATAACCTATATTAAAGTATCATAGTTTGAAATCATCATTATTCAATAATAAAAATTAATGAGAGGATTTATAATACGCTTTGCATTCGCTGAATAAGTCTCCATACAATCTCAGACTTATTTAAAAAGATCATACAAGGAAGCCACTGTGGAAATGGCCATAAACCCAATCAACCCATATCACCAATGGTTCATCAAAGTAATCTTAAATTTTATATTTTTAGCTTGATGGCAAAAGTGCAAAGACTCAGCAACGCAACATCTTGGCAGTCCCTTCTCCATAATTGGCTGCCTGCATTGCATCAGAATTCAATCGACAGAAGGAATACTTGAGTTTCAAGCAAATGCCTCTTTTAATGCTCGCTAGAAATGCTATTGATTTAGATTACGATGCAACCAATAGAGAATACATCGAAAAAGCTATTGTTAACCATTTAGAAAATGATGTTATTCTACATCGTAAAAACTAAAAGTCGTAACTTCTCCAAATTCAGTAACAATAATTGGATCCACAATTGAGATTCTTCAATTCTAAATTCGGAATGGACATTTAATCAAATGATGGAGTTCAGATTGGATCACTTAGCCAACAAAATATAGTCAAAATTGAATCCTTAATCAGAGGATTGAATAATTGGTAATTAGTCAGTCTCAGTTCTCAAGCAGGTATAAAATTAATATTATATTATTAGATAATCTAAAATCTTGTATATTGGCTATCCAACTATCCTATGGTCAAGTTGATTTAGAGAAAGCCTTGTCTCTATGCGATATTGAAAATTAATTTAATAAGAAAGTCATTGAAAATGAGAATCCACAAGAATCGGATAGTGAAGATAACATAATTTCCATGAATGTAAAAGCTGCCCAACTCTTCTCATCGCTAATTTATTCCTAAAGTATCCTCTATTGATATTTCTGTTTATTGTATATAGAATGAAATAATTTCATTAAGATTTTTAATTACACAAATAAATAAATGTCAACTAAAATCAATCAGGACTTAAAGGCTTTCGGCTAGAATGTAGATATTGATTATGAAACTCTTGTTAAGATTTCTGTATGTGTCTTCCTATCTACTCTCGCAACCGGTGAGGGACCAGGAACTTACTTAAGTGGGAGACTTTTCCTTAGATCCACTTTAGGCTAAGGCTTATATTGAGGTTCTCTTTAAATGTCAAACGGAGTCAGGTCTGGTCCCAAGTTGCTTGTGATGCATCCATATAACATTCTACGCTCACAACAATTAATTACGTTTCATAATCGAGTAATTACAGTAAGAACCCTGGGTTTGGCCTTACATATGGTCTTTTTTATTTTAGAAATCTTAATGCTTGTTCTACTGTATATTGATAGCTTTTCATGAGATAGGCCAGTACAAGGGTAGCTGATCTCGAGATGCCTGCTGCACAATGAACAAGAACATTTTATTAAGATTTCAATGCTTTTTCGATGAATAAGAAAGATCTTTCGAAAACATTACTGATTTGAGAATTCATATTGTCATGAATGTCCAAGTAAATTTATTTGTATTTAGGACCCATCATGATTTCTATGTATTGAAACTTATTACTTTCTTCTGTGCAGATGGACAAAATGCAATTTACGTTATTGATTTCCAAAATTTATTAATTATGTAAGCAATCCAAATTTCCAAGAAATAACTTTCCTCTTTCTTTCTCTGACAACACTAAACTAATTGGTTACTCTCCAGGTAAGGTGTATTTAAGCATATGCAAACCCTTCATTATAAATAAAATTTATTTAATTATTTGAATGCATTTCACTACAATAAAATATAATCATAAGTATATTTATGTTAATATCCACAATACTATTGAAGGAAAGGAATCAAAACATATATTATTTTTTATCTTTTAAATCAATTTTGACCGTCTTATAAGTCCTTCTAGATGCAATAGCACAACCCTAATTTATCGCATATGACACCTTCGCAATTCAATACGAAACCCTTGCAACAAGGACAATCTTTATATTTTTCTAATAAATCCATCATCTAATCCGGGTCCTCAGGATCGATATCGAAGAATAGCTGATTATATTATGGCAATTCAATACTTCTTTTTGTTTTTGAAGCACATTAATTTCATATTCTTCAATTTGTTTATCAGTAAGCTCCTTTGGAATCTATTATTATTCCTGTGGTTTACTACAGAATGGGCAATTTTAGATGCCATGAAGATGATAAAAATTGAGTTTGAATTCGATACAATCAGGAGATGGCTTAATTTGAGGTTCTTGCTAAATTTCCTCTTATTATGACATTAAATTAATAAATGATAAAAAGAACCTTTTTTGGACTTTCTCTAAGGGACAAACAGAAATTTACCTACAAAGAGGAAAATGGGTTGCTCTGTTATACATTTACTTAAATAATTTTAGTTGGCTAAGGCGAAGCAAAGATTTATGGACTTTCTAGTAATAAGAAGATTTTGATTGCTTCTTTGAAAGGAAAACAAAACTAATGCCAATGCAAATTTATCATGGATGAAAATAACTTTACTCATTTAATATGTGTTGGGGATGAATCTGCTTCGGTCCATGTGTTGGGATATAAGTTAGGAAAATAGGTTTAGGAAATAGAGGAAAATTATTAACAAGAAAATTTGGTGTTCTAAGATGAATTTAGAGCATTACAACCAGTTGAAGAGAGGGAATTAGACTCAGATGAGTTTGAGTTGCTTTCTAAGAAAGATAAAAAAGAATATAAAAAAAAACAAAAGCAAAAGTAAAAATAGGAAAATTATTGAGTAATAGTGTTTTGTTGTGATATATTAAAAATTATTAGTTAAATATTTTCTTTGAAATGTTCAAATCAATCTAAAAATGGAGAATGAGAAATTAGCTTAAGCTCTACTTTTTACTGTTGTCTCTATTCTCTACATTATTGATTGGGATTATTCTAGTCGTCACTCAGAATATTGTGTATTAAGAGTTAGTTTAGATTACATAATAGATATCAACCAAATTGACAGAAAATTAAATTTCAAATTAGTTTGAAGCACAAATGCATATGTTTTTCGATGTTATTAATAAAAGTACAATATCCTCATATTGAAGATTATAGAGCTCTTGATACTATTGCAAATTTATTTAAATTTGTGTAATCTGAAATGACTTTCGTAAGCTCCAAATGCGATTAATGTCCAGTAAACTAAACTTAGAACTATAGGTAATCAAATATTTGCTATAATATTTTCAACTAAAAGAGTGGATAGGAGTTGAATTAAATACAACAAAAACATTTATTCTACTATTTGAAACATTAGGGTTTGTTGTAGGAACTGTTGTTGCTTTTTGATCCTGAATAATTTATTATTGGAAATTGGTCCATAGGATAAAGTAAGGAATCCTATTTTTCTGCCTACTAGGCTATAGGTTATTATTCTACCTTTGATATTGCAACAAGGCCATTTTACATTAATCATATCAAAAAGGCTAATTCATCTCATTATATTTTTAGTGATGTGTTTTTTAACTTTGAAAAAGAATATAAAGTCACAATCTCAAAAAACATTACAACTGACGTAACAGATGGAATTGTAGGCACGTAATTTGAATTTAAAATAATTAAGAAGTTCTTTTAAGAAAACTTCCTAATTCTCAACTAAGACGGATTAATATTGATTGGAAATGTATAAATGTATTTTTAACCAAACAGAACTAATGTTTATTTTTTTAATGAAAGTTTGACAGGTTTTAATGAATATGATTGGAGCTCCGTAAAGAATTACATGGATAACAATGTTTTGGATTCTAATTGTACAACTAACAATTCTTAATATTTATGTAGATAAAATAAAATTACTTAGATAAATGTTATGATATTTGGGAAATTTTTGCGGTTTTCCAATTTAATATTGATTATGTAAAAAAGTGTTTATTTTAAGATTAAAGAATATAGAGCAGGACAAAGATCTAGAAGACCAGTTACTTTGGATAAGGGATCAGAAGAACAATCAAATCGCAACATTACTCATTATTCAATTATCAGCTGCCTTTGGAACAAGTGTAATTGCCATTTTGATTTTGAGATACATTTGCAGATACATGACATATCTAGAGAGATTGGCCAATTCCCATATTCAAAACAAGCCTGTTGACTTTCAGGTGTATGCATTTCTAAGAGAAATAAAACAACACTAAAGATCAAGCTCCACAAACATCACACTAAATCTATCGGATTCCTATTACAAATTAATCTCATAGTTAACAGCAAGACCATTTATAAAGAATGAGGAATGCAAGAATTTTGAATCTTTTCAATTTCCATACTATAAAAAAAAGATAAATCTATCCAAGTGGAACATTGTTACTTCACAATTAAATAATAAGAACGAGAGAATTAAATCAAGTTACAAGGCTCTAATATTGAATCTTTTAAGATAATCATATTAAACTTGTTGATCCAATATAATACCTATTGTTCTCTTTATTTAAATTTAATTAATAATCCACGTATATTAAATTAATTAAAATGGAAAAAAAATAAGGAGCAGTAAAGTAAATAGTATCCTCGAATTGTGTGTTAATATCTGGACCAATTAATAATGAGACAGGAGTGCCAATGACTAAATTCTTGACTTTGTAAGGAATTCAGGCACCAGAATTCTCATTGACTGATAAGGAGAATCCAAAATAAGAGCCCTTTGGATTTTTAGCAAGGGAATTCTTGAGAAAGTAAGTATTAGGATAATAAATTGAATTCACAATCGAACACAAGATCAAAGACTAAAATGATAAAGTCATTGGTAGAATCTTTAAAAATGGTCAAGATATTGGGGAATTGTAATTAAGAGAAGGATTGGCCCAATTAAGACAATAAGGAAAGCCAAGTCAGGAATATGAGAATGCATAAAATTTGGCTAAATAGAATGGAAAGGGTATATGGTCAAAGAGAGAAGAATTAGTCAAATATAATAAAATTGATTTGAAGGATGTCAAACCTAAATAATACACCTAATGTTTTGTTGAAGATGTACAAGGATTGTTTGTATTTTATGCTTACATCCCAGAATTACAAGGCTTAGTGAAATGCTCATACGGAGAAGTCTTTATGCCAACATCAGTTTCATAAGTGTTGTAAAATAGAGCTAAATGGACAATCTAAGAGTTGATCCTCCAATAAGAGGTCACTTTGACAGTCCAAGGACAAGATGAAAAGTTTTAGTCTTTGAGAGTAGATATCAAAAAGAAAGATTTAGATGTAAAGAAAGAACTTGTGAGTTTGGGATACTTTAGATTATCACCAAATGCATTTTAATTAAATCATGATCAAAAGAGGTATATAATTAATCAAATTTTATTAGATACAATGAATTGAAAGAGACTTAAAGTCAAGCTGAAATCAAATTGATTGGAATATGGAAAGATGCCCCATGAAAATATTAACAATTATAATAAGCAGTTGTCTTGTAAGGAGGAAAATAGACATATTAAGCCAAAATTATCGAAGTCCATTCAGGAGATCAATTGACGGTCATGAATGTCAACAATAGATAATAATCAAGAGTGTTATTGGCATCAGTCAAGGCTCCAAAATATTCATTAAAGGAGACTTAACCATTTGGATATGAAGCTAAAGAATTTGTTAGAAAACATGCTATTGGTAAAACAGTTAAAGTGGAAGTTGAATACGAGAAGAAAATTAAACCAAAGGATATTGAAGGATTAGCTGATGAAGATGATAAGAAAAAGTTATAATAAGAATTGAATATGATCTTCGTTAACATTATATTAACAGAAGATGGAGACTAAAATTTAGCAGCTTTAGTTGTAGGAGCAGGATATGCAACTGTTCAACCTCCAAGAGGAGATGATGGAGTTTCTAGATATATTGATGAATTAACAGGTGCTTAAGAATCTGCAAGTAAGGCTAAAAAGGGACTTCATGGTAAACCAGTTTAATTGCCTAAAACTACTGATTTATCTGTTAATCCTAATTTATAAAGATCTAGAGATGCCTTCGATTCTTTAAGAACATTAAGAAAACTATCTGGAGTTGTTGAATTAGTGTTGAATGGATCAAGATTAAAATTGAAATTCCATGAATAAAACTTCACATCTATTGTTGTACTTGCTGGAGTCAAATGTTTACCAAACGAGTAAAATCTACCAGAATTTTAAAAATTCTCAAATATTGCTTTGTAATATGTCAAAGAAAATGCTCTTCAAAGAGATGTTGATATCGAATTGACATCCATCGATAAAAAGGGTATCTTCCACGGACATGTTTTCATTGGCAAATAAAGAACCAACTTAGGATTAACACTTCTTGAATTAGGATTAGCAGTTACATTTAACCCAGTTGCTAATAGTCATGCATATCAAGCATTATTTGCTGATGCTGAATCAAAGGCTAAATTAAAGAGAGAAGGTTTATGGGATATCAAAGGATTAGATTTAACTATTGTAAAGGGTGATGATGATGTACCTGTTAGATCTGAAATCAAACTGTTGAATGGAGAAGTAATTTATAAACTTATCATTTTAGTTGAAAAAACTTATATTGGTTGAAATCGCAGATAGCAATACTCTTTACTTCTAAGACCCAACAGATAAATTGTTAGGATAAATTGAAAAGAGTCTTGGATCATTTACAGCTACTGAAGCTAATAAATTGATTCCACCTTTCAAAAAGGGATTACTTTGTGTTGCTAAATTCTCTGTTGATGGCAACTGGTATAGAGCTAAAATTACAAGAGAATTAAAGAATAGATTTGAAGTCTTATTTGTTGATTATGGAAATGTTGATATTGTCTCACAAAATGATATCAGAAAACTTCCTGAAAATTTGGCTGCATTACCTCCTTAAGCTATTAGATGTAGTTTAGCCTATATTAATGGACCTACTATAAGTCATGAGTTAGGCAATAAAGTATTTATTTTGAGTAATTTCAAGGTTGGACAATTCATCAGAGACTAAATCTTCGAAAAGGAAGTCGTTGTTTCTTTTGAGTATTAGGATGATGTTAGCAAAGGAGTCATTGCCTATTTGACCAAAGAGAATCAACCCAATAAATCACTTAACATTCTTTTGTTATCTTAAGGTTTTGCAAAGCTTGATAAAACAGTAAATGAATGATTTTAATTTGTAGGCTCCTCCTTTACCATAAAAATTAGAGGAATGGCTTAAGGCAAGTCAAGATGCTGAAAATAATAGCAAGGGATTGTGGAATTACGATGAGGAAACTGAGTGATGAATTGTATTTTAAAATAATATAATAAATTTATGTAAATAACACCTAAAGCTATAACAGCACTTTCTAAATTATTGTCTTAGAATTCCTCAAATAATGTAAGAATTTTATGATTTAGTAAGAAATAAAGTTAAAATGATTCAAAGCCCAAATCGAATCAGAATAGTAAGAATTGTAGATCGATTAATAAAAATGAATTCAAAAATTTCATCTCTAAACCATCTTTATCAAACGAACCCAATTACAGTGTTAAAAATGAATTGATATCCGTGCTCAACAGTAGCAAAGAGAAATCAATCAAATCAACTTTAAAACCTCATCATAGTCTAAATTATCTTTTATTGTCATAATAACAACTATCTGCGAGAAATAGTTTTCAAAAAAAGAGACCTCCTTAAATTAATGTTGAAGAAAGCACCGACATTTAGAAGCATCCTTAGAGTGCAAAGAATGTCAATTAAATGAGTCCTTTGCATTATTGTCCTAATTAGAAATCGCAATAATCTTAAAAATCAATCAAATATCCTAAAGGTATGAATGTGTTTAGCTCATTAAATGAAATATTAGGGCAATATGTGCAAAAGAGGAATTATTAAAAATGTAATTTACAATACTTTAATTAGAGGCTGGAACTGGAGAAGGTACAAAGTTAGTTGTATGCAGATCAGCAAGAAACCAAGAATAAAAATAAGAAAAACAAATATATCTATCTGAAAATAAATAATAACAATCTCATTCATAATATTTTGATTCATAATAATTGAACAAATTATATTTGTATGCAGCTCAAATTTTGAAGGCATACTAAACCAAAGAAATGATTTGGAAACAATAAAAAAAAAGTTTGAGAAGTGAAATTGTATTTCTAAAATAATTACTATAACAATAATAAGAATAGTAATAAAATCATGAGTGATATTCATTTCTTTTGTAATTTCAATCAAATTTATAATAAATTTACTAATTATTGATACTTATGTGAATGTCATTGGGATCTTCCAATTAAGTATTATAATTGAATTATTAAATATTATGATCATTATGACGTCAACACATTAAAGAAATGGAAGAAATTATCTTTCACCTAACCATTATTTTAATGAAATATATTTTGTTATTGCTGACTATTGGACTGATTCAAGTAAATGCTGTAAATTGGGCATTATTGGTCTCAGGTTCAAATGCATTCTACAACTATCGACATCAAGCTGATGTTTGCCATTCATACAAGACATTAATTAGAAATGGTTATAATCCTGAGAATGTGATTGTTTTTGCATATGATGATATAGCTTAGAACAGATAAAACATCTACAAAGGAGCTATCTATAATTAACCTAACGAAGATGGATTTTCAGAAAATGTTTATGATGGTTGTGTTATTGATTACTCTAAGACTGATGTCAATCCAGCAAACTTTCTCAATGTTTTGAAAGGAAATTATGATCATTTGCCAGATGGTCATAAGTTCATCAACTCCACAAGAGAAGACAACATTTTTGTTTATTTCTCAGATCACGGATCTCCAGGTTTAATAGCCTTCCCAACATCTTACCTCTATGAATAAGAATTATTAGAAACCTTTTAATACATGTATGAGAATGATAGATACAACAAGCTTGTATTCTATTTGGAAACATGCGAATCTGGATCCATGTTTGTCAATCTACCAACAAATCATAGAATTTATGCTTTGTCAGCTGCCAATCCATATGAATCATCTTGGGGTACTTATTGTCCACCCGATGATATTGTCAATGGAAAGAGTCTAGGAACTTGTTTGGGAGATGAATTTTCAGTCACTTTCTTAGAAAATGTGGATATTGGTGATTTTTCATAGTCTCTCCAAGAACATTTTGAATTTATCAGAGATAATACATTGAAATCAAATGTCATGTAATGGGGTGATGTCTCATTTACCAGTGATACAATTAAAGATTTCTTTTGGGGACGTAGATTCTAAGAGAAAAGAAAGATGTGCTCTAAAGATGCCTTTTTCATGAATGACGAGGTATTTAAATAATTATAAAAAATATAGAATGTTTCAAGATGGGATTCAAGAGACAATAAATTGTTATTCTATTAAAATAGATACAATCAGACAGGTGATTTGGAAGACTTCATTGAATTAGAAAATGAAATCAAATCAAGAGCATACTTTGACACAATCGTATATCTCATTATTTATTTTAGTTTGGTGAATTACAAAAATCATTGAAATTGAAAGGAGATTATCACTTTGCCTTAAACTAGAAGTGTCTTAAGTCTGCTATTGAAATATTTGAAGACAAATGCACAAAGTTAACTGATTATGGTCTTAAATATGTTAAATTGTTTGGAGAGATGTGTGATAGCACAAACTTACTTCAAGTCCAATTAAATATGATAGTATCAACTTTATGTATGACAGAATGATTTATCTATATAAATAACAAAAATATTTCCATATTTTATTTTAACTAAAATAAAGAATATAGACTATAATATAATATTATAATAAAAATTAATATTGCAACATGTATGTCATATACTTTATGTTAGGCAAAGAAAAAATTAATAGGAACAATCTAAGAATTCGAATTAGCAATAACAGGAAATCAATTTTAATTAGTTACCACATTTTAAGGAAGATGTTAATTATGATGGTGAAATAATGTAAAATAATAGTTAATCCTTGTAAGAGGAAATAAGCAAAGAGGAAGTAGATGAAACAGAAATAATGCGAAGTAGATAATTTTAAATTTTCAGAAAATCTGTCTTACATAAACCAGCTGCTATTGTGTAAATTATTCTTTGAATATTTAGAAAATATAAATCCCAAATTGTGAATTCAGATGATGAGGATGACAATTAAGTTAAAAATGATAAATTAGATGAGAATTAGGATGAAGATGATGATGAGGAAACTGAAGTTAAGGTATGGACTGCAAAAAAGTAAATCCCCAATAATCCTAAGAATGAATAAATTTAGGAAAAAAAGGTTGAAAAAGAAGAAGAAATGGATAATTTGAAGCCATTAGATTTTGAAGAGGTTTTAAAATAGAGTTAAATAAATTACAGTCTAAACCGATAAAACCATTAGAAGGATAAATAAATTAAAAAGTCATCCTTTGGAGCTGTGTTAATTACTCAAGTGGATTCTGAAGATGAATAATCCAATAAAGACGAGCTTGCAGATGAAGTAATTTCTGAGATTGGGGCCATCCATGAATAAGCTAATGAAGTAACAGCTGAAAACAGAATTATGATGAGTGTCATGCAAACAAAATTTACTTAATCCATATAAAAACAACTTAAAATGCAAAAATCTCTTAATAACTCATCCAAAAGTAATTAGCAGGATGATATATTTAAATCGAAAATTGTTTTCATCAATTAGACACCAGTAATTATAAGAGAAGACGATCTTTATATTCGTAAAGTCAGAAGAATTCAAAATTAGTTTAGATATGTCAAACCTTATAAAAAACTTAGGAAATAACATAGGTATAGAGTAAATGTGATAAATGAATTAATATAAACAGAAAATAAATATGTAAATGATTTACTTGTAATTAAAGAGAATATTTAATAACCTCTTCTAAGAATAATAGACAACCAAGATCATGTAAAGTTTATGTTTAATTTGGATAGTATTTATTACTTTAACTTTGAGTTTTTGAAAATTCTTAAAAAAAAAGAGAAGATTTTTAAAGAAAAACCTTATGATAAAATTATGGATTAGATCACTGTTTTATTGGCAGGTTTCAAATTTTATTATGATTACTGTAAGGAATTTGATGCTTCTAAAAAAATGAGAGATAATTATGCCAACACAAATTAGGTCTATAAAAAATTTTTCATGGATCTCAAAAAAAACAATCCATAACTCAGCAATTTAGATGTTGAAAGCTATTTAATTAAACCTGTCTAACGATTACCGAAATATATATTATTATATAAAGATTTATTAAAACACACTAGTAAAGATCATCCGGATTTCTAAAATATTGAATAATGCTTGAAGTTTTTTGAAGAAATTAATGATAAAAATAACAATGAAATGAAGATTTATTTAGAATAATTAAAAATAATAGAACTATAAAATTAATTTAGCCAATATGTTAAAATTGCTGAACCTAATAGAGTCTATTGTTTTGAAGAATTTTGCTCCATTTATACGGACAAAAAAGAGAACAGTATCATTATGTATGCATTTAATAACCTATTATTATTTGCTTAAAAGAAGTTAAATGGATAGCAGACCTACACTTTTCATATTCAACTAACTTATCAATCTTATGTTAAAGATAAAGAAGATACAAATTATTTTGAACACTTTTTTGAAGTTGTTAATAAGACAGAATCTATAATCATAATTAATTAGGATAAAGAATCTAAATAATAATTAATGAATAAAATGTAGGATATCATTCAAAAATTGAAATAAAAACAAACAAACATGGAATAATTAAAAAAAACTGTTAGTTTAGTATCCGTACCTAGTGATCCTTTGAAAGAAGAATAAAAATTAGAGTATGAAATAAAAGTAGTTATTATTGGAACAGAAACAAGAAATAACAAACCAAATCCATATACAGTTTATATTGTATAGATATACATTTTAGAATGTCAAATAAAAATATTTGTAAGATACAGTTAAATAGTTTCTCTACAATCGATTGTCAATAAATTTGATACAAGTTTAAAAGTACCAGTATTTTCAACATTAAATTGGTTTCATTCAAATGATTCAAAAGTTATAGAAGAAAGAAAAATATTAATTGAGAAATTCTTATCATCCGTGTTGAATTCCTTTAAATGTCAAAACAATATTGAATATTAGAAATAGGTTTTAGAACTATTAAGTTTAAGTTAGGATTTCTTCTAGATTCCTATTAAAAAGAATATGGCTTCTTAAGTTAAATTAGGGGAGGAAGACATGATGAAAATGATATTATAAAGTCAATTTTCTGGTAGCATTCAACCTAATCTACTTTAATCAATGATAATGAATAGATAATCAACAAACATCCTCTAAGCAGCAAAAGCATAAAATTAGAGATCAAGTCTATTAAATTTAGAAAACGATAATTCAGTTGTAATTGGACCGACTGCTAACAAATAACCATATTTTATAGATGTAAGTTTAATGGATGGTCGTACAATTACTGTTGGATTTAAAAAGCAAACCTTAACATTATTTATTAAAAATGAAGTTGCCAAATTTATTGGATTAAGATAATGGCTTGATTTTAGATTGTTTATTGTAGATTGGAATAAAGATTAAAGAGTTATAGATGACGACGAAACAATGTCATCGATATTGGATGCTCATAAAAATCAAAATAATGGTTTGATGAATGCATTTAAGAAGTTATTTACCCATGAATAAAAATTCTAATTTATCTTTAGAAAATACTTCTTCTTGTCTTAGAAATAGGAAGAAGCTGATTACAAACAAGACGAATAAAGACTCAGGTATATGGTATATGATTTAATTTGGGAAACAAGAAACGAAAAATTTTAATTCAATTTCAATGAGTTTTGTTTGTTAACTGCTTTATTCTTCTATTCTACAAATACAAGCCAAGATTAGCTTTCAACTCTCTTAACTAAAACAATACCCAAGAATACTTTATAAAGTAAAAAAGAAGAAATTTGGCTAAAAGAAGTGGTTAATAATATCAATACATTATAATAATAATTAAAGTTAGTTTAAAAAGAGAATTATTAATTATCAATTAATTAAAACAAAAAGTTGCATACCTCTATAACAGGAATAGCCTAATTAATTATTATGAATTTCTTTAAAAACAATTAACTTTATGGAATGTCTTTATTTTTTGTAGAATGTAACAGGGAAACTATTTCAATATTATAGAAGAAGTTTAACCTATAAGTTAAGAGTAATAATATCTTTGTTGGATTGAATTACAATGGATTTCATCTCCTGAAACCAGAAAACAAGACTGTAGTTTATACATGTCAATATGGAAAGCTCTTTGAGATGAAGGCATGTACAACAGAGTTTTGTTGCACTATTAACAATTCCAAGTTAAACTTTAAAACCTAATTTCCTTTTGAAGTAAATTATTTAAATAATCTAATAGATAAAATCTTTGATTTTGGAGTATTAGTAATTATAAGAATTTACAAAATAATTAGCATATGGAGTCAGCTGAAAAAAGATTATTATAAATTCGCTAAATTAATTAACTTAATCAATCATTTTAGTCTCTTAAAAATATATCTCCCATTAAATATTTTATTAAAATTATAAAAATCAATCACAGATTTTTCATTTAATAATTTTGTTCATTGTGTTTGAAATAAACTATATTGAACTATTTGGAGTAGATTAAGTCTTAAAAAGTGATTTACTGAGATTTCCATTTTTTGGGGTGTTACTTAAAAAAATGGATGTAGTTTAATTACAATTAAATGTATTTCTATACCAATTCTTTACATCAAAAGAGTCATCATCTATCATATTTTAAATTAATTAAAGGACCTACGTACTTGTTGGTCTATCTAAAGGATTTTATTTAACTAAAATTTTCGTCAAGTCAAATAGTCTACCCTATTCTTTTATGAGAAACGAGCCATTTTTTTTTTTTTTTTAAACTTCCTTTGAGGAATCTGTTTCAAATAAACTTTTAAAGGTTAGTAGTTTGTATAGTACACATCCGGCACTAAAAACATCAACTTTAGAATCATATTGATTTTTATTTCCTACATTCTACAGGATTTCAGGAGCACAATAGCCTGGAGTGCCACATTTTGGATGGTTCTTTAATTAATCTCCATCAAAGCAAGCCAATCCAAAATCAATTATTTTCAATACTCCATCATTCTAAAGTATTAAATTAGCCAATTTTATATCTCTATGAATTATGTTGTTCTTATGAGTAAAACTTAAGCCTTCAAATAATTGCTATACTAAGTATGTTATGGTTACCTTGAGCAAATCTAATAGTGAATTATCTTACATCTGAGACCAATCTTTAGATAACTATTTTAGGTTTTTCCCATCAATAAACTCAGTCACTAGAGAATATGTAGAATTAGTTTTAAAAACTTCATATAATTTCAAAATATTAGGGTGATCTAGGCTTCTCAAAATTGTAATCTCATTCATAATTTATTTCAACAAGTATTTGCTAGAAACCGTCAGAGCTTTGATGGCAAATTTATTTTCTGTTGTAAAATTGAATTACAGAGACACCTTAATTATTAATAATCTTACTGATCCAAATGCTCCTTTATCTAAATATAGTAAAAATTTATAATGGATCAAAAGAGATTTAAAAAGGAGGATTTTTCCAAGTTGAAATTTCAGCTCAGTTATATGACTTTTATTGCCATAGAATTCCTTTAACTTATTTCTGTAAGGAAATAGAAAACCAACTAATTAGTGATTTCTTATAATCCACTCAAATTCAGTTTCAGGAGTTAATTGTAAAACATATTTTGGTTACTTAAAATCATTTTCCTTTGATATAAAATTTATAACTTACAGAGCTCATTATGATAAATTCTTTTTCTAGTTTCAAATGATAAAATCTATCAATAAAATAGTGTTTTCTAATGACAGTAAAGTGTAAAATTTATTAAGCATTTTATTTTAAATTGAATTGCATTTATTATGATTAATAAATTATTAAAAGTCAAATTATTTTTAAGATAAAATTTAAGTAGTTTATTTGATAGAGATAGACTAAGCAATTAATATTATTGAAAATTTTATTAATTTAAAGCACTCAATCCGACATATTCTCAAATTATCAATGAAATCTTTTCAAATTTAAAGATCTATCAATATTAAATTGTTTAGTAAAAATTAGGATAAAAAAAACTATAATATAGGCAATTATCAAATTTTCCAATTTTTAGATTTATTATCATATTTGACGTTTAAACCCCTAGATTTATTATCCTTAAAGAAATAATATTATATCCAAGAATTCTCACTTGAGATTAAATTAATACAAATAGAAATTTCTCTAATTAAGATTTATTTTTTCTTTAAATAGATTTCATTCTATTTTTCTTGAAACTATATTCGAAAACAACAAGTTTTTTTAATAAAATAATCATAACTGTATATTTAAAGGGAATTCAAGAATAAATTATAAATAATTGTATTAATTTATATATCAACTTTCAAAATATGGTACATTCTTTATTCTTAATCATCTGTTCTTAACAATTTTGGCAAATATCAAAATCACATTGCTAGCAGCATTAAGTTTTGCTATTTGGCATCTCTGATCCACTTTATCCACAAACATCACATACATAGTTTACACCTTTTCTAGCTTCCATTTTATGACCAGTTGGACAATAGGAAGGATAACTTTTTCCTTTGCACATGTTATCTGGTGGAGCACAAATTAAGCAATAATATTCAGAACAAGCTTCACAAACGTATCTGCAAATCTGATTTTTTAAACAATTATTGCAAATTTATCTACTAGCATCAATACCTGGAGTTAACCAAAAACGTAATAAATGTTTTTATCTACACATTTTATCTTTGCTAATTTCTCCCAATTTTCCACAAGTTTTAAAAATTGGATTTTGTTTCAAAATAAGTGGAGGTTTTTAAATATATTGCTACTACTATTATTGCTATTATTGCTATTATTGTTATTATTATTATTATTATTATTATTATTATTATTATTATTATTATTATTATTATTATTATTATTATTATTATTATTATTATTATTGTTATTGTTATTACTGTTACTATTGTTATTGTTATTATTATATTACAGATTTCTAAGATGATTTATACAATGAATTTAAGATTATGGAATCATGAGGCTTCTCAGTTTTAATAGATGAAATACTATTTATCTATTACTATTATTATTCTAAAATGATTTATGATGATTTAATAGCTGAAGTAAATAATTATGTTTATTCTTCCAGCTTATTTTCAAGTTCATTTATTTTAATTTATGAATGTTATTTCACCTAAGATAACTCTAATGATAAATTTGTAACTAAGTTGACTAATGTTTCAAAACAGTTATGTGCCTCTCTTTATTCTTTTAATACTTTTTATTTGCACTATTTGCAACTTACATGTAATATAAAATTGCATTGTTCTTGCTAAAATTTAAACAATTTAATACGTGATTTTCTAACTCTTTTGCTTATCCTTCCCATTCACATTTTTCACAACACCTGACAGGGATAAATTAGCATTTCTGTATATGCGAAAGAATTTGATCCATTTTCAAATCCTCCTAGCAGCCAAATTTCTTGTATTTACAAAACAATTTAATTTCTTGAAGTTTTGATCTAATCACTCTGTGGGCTGTCTTTAATTCAAAAGGTTCTTTGCATTTATTAGGACAACTTAGAATATTTATTTATGGTGATACATATCATTTTTATTTTTCCAATCCAGAGAACATTGATTACAAAAGAGAGATTCACATTTTTAACATTCAACAGGATTAATAGCTAATTAATAACAGATACCACAAAGATATGATTCGTCAATCTCTTAAGCTATTATAAAATCTTCTCTTGAAATCATAAATTATTTTTATAAATAATATTCATAATAAAGAAACTATGTATTATTATAGTGATATAAGTTATTCTTTGATGAACTCTCTACATTCTAAAAGTGATAAATCTTTCCTCTCTTGACATTTAGATATTAAGTATAGAACTATTTTATTTGGCATGTCTTTTGAAATTGTTTAATTCATTTTTAAAGCATCGTTTATCCACTTTGCATTAATATTCATTGATTATACATCGTCTTGATATTAAATATACTCCTGCCTCAATATTTTATTATGTTTGATGACTATGTTTCTCAATTCAGAAATTAGTTTCTCCTTTTCTGAGAAGTGTTTAAATTGATTAAGGAACTTAAGTGCTTCAATGATAATTTCATTTTATGAGAAATAAAAGTCCACTGAGAAATTAATCAACTCAACATTTGTCTATTCCAAATATTATTAAAATTCTACTTGATCAAAAACCCCATAAATTTACAAGCATTTTTGACAAGCATTAATAATAGTATTGTCATCATTTCCTAAAATTTTGTACTTGATTAACTATTAATGATATGGACATTCTTCTGCTTATTACTAATCAACTGAGTATGTTGGTATTTGAAACATTTATGGTTATTCACACGAAGTAGTTTGAGATTAGAAAGATAAATTTCTATAATCCTTTTTAAAACTAATATTTGGGCTTTGTTGATAATACTCACTTAAAGTCTATATAATCCAAGGTAACTCTTTCCTTAATTTAGGATCCTTTTGTATAGAATTAATCAAAATATTTTTAATCACATTCTTTTTTGTATCGAAAATTGCAGGTTTTGCATATTAACTATCTCTTATGATGTAACTAATGGCTCTAATCTTACCGAATACCTCTTCTTCAGTTAATCCATTATAAAAGGGCGTTTTATGAATCAATTCATCAACGATTAAGCCTAAAGCCCAAATATCTACAGATTTATCATATTGTTATTTTTCTAATATTTCTGGAGCTACATAATAAGCTGTTCCAACTTTTGTTGTAGTCATTCTATCTAATTTCACACTGCTTAAACCAAAATCTGTTATTTTATAGATCTCAACACCTTGTTCATCTACATATCTTAAAATATTCTCTGGCTTAATATCCCTGTGGACAATATTTTTGCTATGTAAAAAGGCCAATCCATTAGCAATTTATAGAGCTATATTGACTATTTATTCTTCAGTAAATGACTTAGTTGTCATCATTTCATATAATGTGCCGCCAGGACAATATTCTTAAACTATAAATAAGGCTTCTGGTTAATCAAAAATATCGAGTAATTGAACTACATTTTGATGCTTAAATTAAGATAATTGTTTTAAGATCATTTTCTCCTGTTAAGAGATTGCAAGATTTCTATTACTAATTTTGACAGCAACTTTTTATTAATTTGATTTTTTGACACCCAAAAACACTTAAGAAAATGCACCTTATCCAAGCAATTAGTTTTTGGTTTCATAATACTATTCATATCTATTTCTCATTTCTCTTCAATTTAAATTTTTATACAAACTCAATTATAACAAAATTTATAATCTATAGTTTAACGAAGAATTTGAATTTATTGAATATCTCAATATGAATGTTAATAGGCTTTAAAATGCAGAATGCGATATTGCTATAATAAAATGGCAGTATTATTGTAAATGTTATTGAATAAGGAATGATATTTTTATATTATACTTATGTTATTAATTTGAACATATTCAAATTTATCTTAGATACTGATTTTCTTCGTTTTAGTAATATTGAAGCATTTAATTATCAACATACATTGTGAGTTCATTTCCTAATATTGACCAACTAATCTTTTAGCAAACATTCTTAATTTAGATTAATATTTACATTCAATTATATTTATTACATCTTTTATAATTCTATTGGTTTGGTAAAATCAACATCATAACGAAGGGTCAAAATCTCTAATATATTTCCATAACTGATTGCTAATTAGAGTTCTGAATTGAATATTTGAGGGGCAAACTTAACATGTCTTATTCTTTAACTGCAATTGTACTCATAGACCTTATCAATAATGGTTTATTAATCAGAAATCACATTCCATATTTTAACAATTGATTGATTATCACTTATCCCTCCAGTTACTATAATTTATTCTTAATCACTCTTTAACCAATCCAAGCACAATAATGTTTAATTATAAGCATTAGTATTAGTTACTTTATATTCCTAACCTTCTATTACTTCCAAGTATCCATTATTATATCCTACTGCCAAAATATACTTATTTTCCGCCCATTGAATAATATTTGCTGACAAATTATTTAGTTTTATTTCTTTTTCAGCCTTCCATTAATTTGCTTGTTCCTTCCAAATTTTGATTTGACCATCTTAACCACAAGTAGCAATCAAATTTTCATATTTTGGACTTAACCATGACATTGAATTTATTTGTCCCTAATGGCTTCATTAATGAAATCATACGCTTTGAATTCTGCCGCTAACCTCTTCATCTACTTATCTTTTTTATTTATCAATTCAAATATACGAACTGTTCCCTAATTGGTTACTTGGGCTATTTTATTTTGATAATAATCAGTATATAATTCAAACTACTTTTCTTAATGATAGTTACCTCTGGATCAAATGAAAAATCAGAAACTTAAGTAATCTATTTGTTCATTTAAGTATTTTCTTAATTTGAACAACACAACAAAAATATTAATTAAATACTTTTTTAAATCAGAGATTCTAAATACAAAATATTAATCATATTTTTTAGTTCAATTATCTTATAACTTAACATTATCTTCGAATCTCTACAACTTTCTTCGTTAAACGAGAGAATTGAATACTATCAAATTTAAATAAATATATACTTGGTTATCTCAACTTTGGAACCTTCACTTCTTTCTCCAAGGTTTTGTCGTATATGAATACTTCCTCTTAACTGTCAATAGTAATCTGTTGTTCTATTAATTAGGATATTGATATTACATTACTACACTAAATCATAAATTTGCTATTTGAGTATCATTTCCAAATTCACACTCTGCACATCCTGCTTTTTCTATTTCACGGCTTAACAACCCATTATACAATTTAATATAAAAAATACTTAAATATTGATAATTACTAAATCAAGAATTATGTATTTAGTTTCAATTAAATAAGATTGACATAATCTCGGAAATGTTATAAATATTTGAAAACCTTAATTTCATGCAGTATAAATTTATTGCTGCTAGTTTTTTGTTATAAGAAAACTTACTCAATAAATTTTAAAACCATATTTATCTAAAAACGTATAAATTAAGTTTATTCATTTAAAACTAGTATTTGGAATATAAATTGATTGATCTTACTTATATTCATGTTCACGATTATTTTTTAGTGGAACAACTTCAACTACTTGGTACTTTGAAATCTTTAAAATATCTATTATATATTTTACTTTGATATTCTAATTTTTTTTATAAAATTGAACGTTACTATATATTCTAAAAATATTAAATAGTAATTTTTTCTCACAGAAACCGATGTTAAATGAGTTTATAAATATAATAGTCTACAATGCAAATTTAATATTTAATGATAAAATTTCTCATCATATTATAAAAGTTTTTAAAGCATTTTTTTTTTCAATATTATATGATACAAAAAAAAAATTATAAATAATATAAAAATTTATTTAATAAAATATAAATATTTGTCAACATTTAACCTAGTAAATCAAAGGATGATGTGGTATATACATAGTTTAAATGATGATATTTATTCAAAGAATGAAGTTGATAAAAATCAATTGTTGTCATTTTCTATTTATAGTAATCTAGGAAATGATTGAGGAGATTTTTCATATTTATTTCTACAAGAGGTAATGAAAAACTATTGCGGTTATTACTCATTAAGAAAGCTTTGATCAGTTTTAATTCCTTTTTTTAAGTTACTGTCGGAATGAAGACTTTTCAAATGGCGAATTGATTAAGAATTATTATGATAATTTATTTTTAAACTTGTTTAAATCTTTTATAATAAAATTTGCTATTTCTTTCTAGAGTCGCTTATTTGAGATTGATTAATTTATGCTAATTTGCAGCTGTTATCTGGAGAAAGCGAAGTTCCATCAGTCTAGTCCTATCTATGTTAGACATTAATGATATTTTCTAAATTCTAATCAGATTGATTAAATTTGAGTTAAGATTTCGACAAATTTAGTTTTAAGTTTTTAATTTCATTAGAGAGACTCAATCCTAATTTACTTTTTGAGTTTTTATATTACAGATTTTTATTATTAATGTAATAAAGCCTTTCTTATTTTTGTTGAATACTTTATTGCAATTCGGAGTTCGCTATAAGATAATCCTTTGGCATCTTATCCTTATATTTTGATTAGAAAGCTTCTTAGTTTCTTTTCACACTTTATGAGAGAGTCAATAACTTTTTGTTTTCAGATCGTAATACTTTAGTCTAATCGAATTGTCTTCTCCTTAAATCAAGATATTCGTAAAAGGACTTTGGAGTAATTTAGCTCTATGCAGTGCTAATAATTTATTATTAGTAATTTTAAATGCTCTGCATGACCTATTATTATCTTGAAGAGATGTATTAATTGTTTTATTCTTAAATTTCTTTTAAGAGATTGACAATATCAGGAAAATTCTTACGAATTTTTCTGAATACTTCTGCTTCCATATAATAAGCAATGGTGTTATCGACACATTGGCAATTATATTTTCGCTAATGTAATTCTTCAATAAGTTCTTCTTAACCAACAACACCTCCATCTGTTATTGAACTTAGCTAATGATATGAATTATATACATACAACGATTTTCTTAAGAACAATGGTGAATGTAGTATTAGGAGCAGTTTTGTTTTAAATTTACTTTTAATCTTCAATATTCTTATAGATGTCAACTCGGCCACTAATAATTATGAAAAGATATTAAGGTTCGTCTCCTTTTTACCAAAGAATAGATTAAGAAGCGAATTTGATAGGCCTAAGATTTTAGACAAATTTTGTAATGTTAAAAGGTTATATTCCAGGTAAAATTTTAGTATATAAGGCCATAGCCTTGTTTTATTCTTAAATTGCTTTCTCACACATTAGTTTATATTAAGCCCGATTGATTGATATGCAATGCAAAATATCAGATATGGCTATCAAACTAGCCGTTCTGGATTTATCAGAGATTAAAGCCACATCACCAAAGCATTGTCCAGCGAAATATTAAAATACCTATAGTTTATACTATTATATACTTTGTGGAATTTTGATATACCATCTTAATAGTAGAATGGATTATCTTTGTTTTCAGACAAAGCATCATCTATGAAAATCAGCTTCTTGCTTTTTTTTTGAGTTATTTAAACTTATTCTTCCTATATGTCTTCCTGCGGTTTTGGAATGTATACTCCTGCTTGTCCTTTCAATATGATGAACATTTTATCACCGAATTCTCCATAATTGAATATTATCTATCCATAAGAGAAGCACTCATATTTTGCATATTTTGCTGCTTACATTACAAAATCCTGAAGCTGAGTTCCCTCAGGACAGTTGTTTTTAAAAAATGAAATCTGGAGGAGAGAATCTATCAATTAATTATTTTAAGATGTTGGGTTGATGAAATATTCAAGTGCTGGTGTTAATAATGCTTCATTTTACTGTTATTATCTGATTAGTTGCTATGCCTACTTTAACTTTTGAGTAGTTAATTTCATCAAAAATAATATTAAATATAAAATTAATTGTATTTGGCTTTAACATTTTATGAATTCTTATTAAAACATAAGCGATTCTTCAATTTATTAATCTATGATATGAATTACATATGTAAGAAATTGAGGATTTTCATTATTGATAAAATAGTAGTTTTATTCAAACTAATAGAATATTATATGTTCATTTCTTAGAAAATTCGGATAATTAGGATAAAATAAATTTAAATTATCATATAATTAAGTAAAATATTATAAAGAGATTTTAATGTATTAAAAAATAAGCCCAAAATAAGTTATTTAAGTAATTATTTAAAATGTCAAATTATTTTTAAGAAATTGTTTGTAATAAATATTTATTTAAACTTAACATTAGTTTGATTAATAATTGATCAATATCTGTTTATATTAAATGTGGTGTACTATTATTCGTTTATTATTTGTCAATAAAAGAATGTAATTTATTAATTTTTATACTTGATGAAAGAAGGACAAAGACTTAATCAATCATTTTCTTATTGTCGATCAAGCCCTGAGAAGAAGGGTTCAAGGCACAATAAAGTTATCTCAGATGCTTATCGAAAGTTTCTTGCTACTTATTAATAGTTATCTATGATAGGCGGTTAGTATAAATATTCACATAATACTCTAATGCCTTATATTCACTTTTTTAAATACATGGCTAAGAGATATGATGAAATAAATCAAAAATGCAAATTGAAAATGTGGATTCCAGATACCATCATATTAAATGATTTAGATTTAAGTGCAATTTGGTTTTATAGCAGTGCAGATGGTTATGTTTATAGAACAGATTCATTCACTTCTCGAAATGCAGCATAAAAATTTACTGAAGGTTCCAATGATCCAGATGAATTGATTGCTGTCGTAAAGAAGCCACAGTACAAAGATATGGAATTAATTGGAAATGACACAAAACCAATTTTATAGAAGGATGTTCCATTGATATTTTCAAATGCTATGAGTGTTAAGTAAGAAATTACATGCTTATAAAAATATATTAAATGCCAAGGTCCTATGGCATATATCTGTAGAACTATTTGGAGAAAGAATGGATAAACTACGGCTTGGGTTATCACCAATAAACTGACATTTCAAGATGAAGGAGATTATGCTTAAAGGTGTCTTGCAAGTGCCAGCAAATATAAATAAACCAATATAATATAATGTAAGGGTGGTCGTTTCATTGAAGAAACCATTCCTTACATTTAAAATCTGTTGCTCTATTGCAGATAGAGTATGAATGTTGAATTTGATGAATTAGGCTGTGATTTTACAAAGGGAATAGATAGCAAATGGTATTTGCTTAATGTTAGAGGTTTTAAACTGATGAATCCTTCTCATTAAATCTTTACTAGACATATTACTCATGATGAACAAATACCTCAAGATTATGAAAGAAGCCAAACCTCTCACTCTAATTAATAATGGAATTTTACAAAGACTTAGGTGTGTAAGTTTTGTGATTTGGTATATCCAGCCAAAGAATTAACTCATTAATTAACTTTAAAAATGTTAATAGAGTGTGATTTACATTTATTAAGTAGAAATATTGAATTAAAACATTTATAAATTAGAAATAGAATAAACTTTACTCATCTCGACAGTGCTATGCTATTTCATAAATATTACGTTTGTGACAGTTGTTATTAATTATTTATGGCATGCGATGAGTTAATATAGCTTGAATTCAAGATGGCATAAAAATTGGGAATTGATGTGTATGAGAAAAACAACATTATTTCACTTACTTAGTAGGATTATCGAGTTAAAGGACCAAATGTCATCTAGAGATAAGCTAACACCATCTATGGAAATGGGGAATATTTTATCAAACCTCTTGATTGGGAAATGTTGAATGAAGTTTAAATAAAATTAATGCCAAATCTACCTGAAATTGATTATGGAACCATTCCCAAGATGAAGAGGTTTAGAATAATGATCTATATTAAAACTCTATCTCAGATTCCGATTGAATCTTAATTCAATTAGTGCAAATATTACATTTATTATAACTTTCTCAATTAAGAAATTTAGTAAATTTATTGATATTCTTTTAGGTTTTAATTAGATATGAAAAAGAGCATTGACCACTCAAAAGATATATTAAATATTGATCATGTTAAACTCTTTTATCTTTTTGCAGCTGATAGATAAGACATTAATTGTATTTTATCACAGTTAAAAATTGGTCTATTATGCAATTAAGAATTAATAGGAGAATTGGAATGTGAGTTAGGGGGTTTCAAAAGTTCCTAAGTTACAATCAAAGAGTATTTGAAGTATTTTTCAGGAATTTAAATTAAATAAATTTTATCATGGTCAACTGATTTGAGCATTGGGTTAGTCGAAAGTTAACAAGGAAGTATAAATGTAGAGAGAATCAAATTATAAAAATAAGGATTAATTTATTTGCCAAATATTGATTATTATTGTAGCGAACCATTACCATAAGAATGGATGAATTAATTTGAAAAAAGGAAAAAAAATAATATTAACTAAATTGTAAATAATAGCACAACTTTTGCAATATCTGATGTTTCCAATATTTTGGATCATTCAAGAGTCTATTAAACCAAGCATCCATCAAAAAAAAGTTGTACTGCAACTTCGACTGTCCCAAACAAATTGGATTAATCTTCAGTCTTGTATTCTGATCTATTAGAATATGAAAAAGAGTATTATTTTAGTTTAATTTTTGTAGCACAGATAAAATACTTAATTTTGATTATTGACTAACATATTATAATTATATTAATATTATTTTAGGTGTTCTAATTTCAATTAATTAGTAATATGGTTCATTTTGTAAATTTAATTTGAATTAACAATTTTTTAATAACTTTCTTTTCCTTCAATTTAATTCTAATAATTTCTATTTAAAAAATTATATTGTCCTAATGTTTTAGAAATTTTATTTAACAATAAGTTTCAAAGTTTATTTATTTAATCCACATAGGAATCAAATTTCTTATAAAAATACAAAAGGAACAATTGAATAAGGATTGAAATATTTAAAATTAAGAATTTATAATATTATTATTTGTAAAATTCTTTAATATCATTAATTTAATATAAAGAAATTATAATATTTCAGGATACAGGAACTCAAGTTTATTTCCCTTTTATATCTTAGAAAAGTGATATTTTTCTTACAAATTTTGAATTTTTATAGGATTTTTGATATTTTTTTGACGTTTGATTACTATAATGACAATTTTACAAACCTTTTGATTATTATGAGATAATTATTATGCACTTTACAACATCTTATGATTAATTATAATTAGATTTTCTTATAGAAAAAAGTAGATTTTAACAAATAAGTTGTAGAACATTTTTGGTAGTTATGATTTTAAATTAGAAAGGTTAGTTCTTAAAATGATTGATGCTTTATAGCCTTAAAATCATTGTTATTAATTAAATATGGCTAATTGTATTATTACGTTTTGGTTGATTAGAAAAATAGAAATTTTTAATGTTCTGAACAAAAGTTTCAAGATTTATAAGATTAACTTGGCCAAATAAATATTGACGAAAACGAAGAGGTTTTAAGAACAATAACGAAAAGGAGAGTTGACCTTATTTTAAATAGATAATTAATATTTACTTTGGAAACTCTATATTAAAGCAAAACAAAATTAATACAACAATGAATTGCAGGATTTAATGATTAATATTATTATTTATTTATTGATGCAAAGAAAAAGACGCTGTGCTTTCGATTCAGATAGTTTGGAGGAATATATTTAAGTAGAAAATAATTTAAAAATGAGCTGGCAACTATTGGGTAGAATTAAACTAACCTATTCTATGATGATAAAAAATTAAATTGGATAAACAAGAGTAAATAAGTAGATGATGATGAGGAAGTACTCAAGGATATTGAAGGATTTGAACATAACTATAGTTCCCCAAGGGTGGATTATATTGACACTTCTGAATTACCTCCCGATATAGTTTTGAAATCAGGAGACGATATATTTTCTCATCATATAATGATATTGGGAGATATCAATTAATTTGTGAGGCAATCATTAACCATGTTTTGCATGTAGAGTCGTAAAAATAGTAGTGAGGATTTCAACGAAGAGTTGATATCTCCAATTAAAAGGTATATATTAATATTTCACAAACTAAGCAAACTTTGTTTAGATTTAGCCATAAAGAGAATTCAAGAAAAAAATGGATTGCACATAGTCAAGTTTCTTATGCATGATATGACGATCTAGAATTATGGTCCAATCATTAATGGTATGTCCATTTCAAGATCATAGTTTACTTTCTCTAAACTTCCAATTACATACTTATATTTAATATCGATCAGAATGACTTTTAAGATTAGAAGGAACTGGACATGATAGAAACTGTCAAGTAGAAGGCTTCGACTGTGAAGAACATCTACGTTGTGTATTTCACAGAATCTGATGTCTAGAATCAAAGAATACCTAACAAATATTATTGCAATCGATGGAATATAAGTGTGATTCTTTCATAAGTATACTATATAAATTAAAACTAAGATCATAGACCAAGTCATTAATTAATGAACAAATACTTTATAATTTATGTATTAATACATTCCTTTTTAATTGTTTGTTTTATCCTTTTATATTAAAATTCAAAATGCAACCAACAGATTCCAAGACTTTTAAGCCACTTAAGCAAATTGATAAAAACTAGAGAGGATATGGTTTAAGATAAATTGCCCAAATGACTCTTGGTTCAGGCAATATGTTGTTGGCAGTCGAATTGCCAAAAGGAGAAGATTTGAATGAATGGTTGGCTGTCAATACAATCGAATTTTATAATGAGATATCAATTCTGTATGGAACACTAGTAGAATTCTGTACTCCTGAGCTTTGCCCAGTTATGTCAGCAGGCCCAAAGTAATTATTGAAATAATTTTTCAAGATATGAATATTTATGGGCAGATGGATAGAACGTCAGAACTCCCCTTAAAGTTTCTGCCTCGGAATACATTGACTATTTAATGACTTGGGTAGAGAACTAACTTAATAATGATTCCTTGTTTCCATGTTAAATTGGTAATTTATAAATGTTATTAAGGAATTCCATTTCCTAATACATTTTTATCTGTTGTCAAGGTTATTTTTAAGAGATTATTCAGAGTTTATGCTCATATTTATCACTCCCATTTTTAGCATATTATGGCACTTGAATTGGAATATCATTTGAACACTTGTTTCAAACATTTCATTTATTTCATAGGTATTCATACCCTTAGAATTTAGATGAGTTCAAATTAGTTGAGAGTAAAGAACTTGCACCATTAGCAGAGTTGATACAACAATTTAAAGCAAGAAAGGAGAATCCTACAATGAATCAGGGTATGTGATAGTTAGTTCACTTAATTAATAGTATAATTATAATTTATATTTATAATGCGTAATAATTTCGAATGATACTAATAATTTTAAATATAAACAAAGAATAAGTAAATCATGCTCAGAAACATTTCAAAAGTATCTACATATCAAACTCCTTTTAAGTAAATCTACTCCTTCTCTTATTATGCTAATTTGGATCTCAGTTGTCCTTATCCATCATTCCAAGTAATTTGAAATTTGGAATCTTTATTAGTCCAGAGATCTCACGATAACTCATACAATGCATTATATTACTAAGCCTCCTTGTGATCCAAAGATCATGACATTTGGAGCCTTTCACACAGATCATTTATTGGAAATTGATTGGTCTGAAAAGATGGGGTAAGAAATCATGTTTACATTTCTAGATGGAGCAGACCTCAAATAGTCCCATTCAAAAGTTTTAGTATTCATCCATTTGCTGCTTGTCTTCATTATGCTATTGAATGTTTTGAAGGAGCAAAAGTAGAAATATTTGTAATACACTATAGGCTTACAGAGGTGCAAATAACTCTATTAGAACATTTAGATTAAACTGTAATATGTACAGAATGAAACAATCTGCCAAGAGATTGTCTTTACCTGACTTTGATGGAGCTGAACTTTAAAGATGCATTGAATAATTGCTTAAAGTAGATAGAGATTGGATTCCAGACAGACCAGGATTTAGTTGTTATATTAGACCCACTTTGATTGCTACAGAAGAAGCACTAGGAGTTCGTGCTTCAAGTAGAGCTAGATTATTTGTTGTCTTGTGTCCTGTTGGCCCCTATTTTCCATCAGGACTCAAACCTGTTAGAGTATTCTGTAATACGTCAACAGTAATTTTTTACTTTTTATAACAAGATTCGTTCTGCTCCAGGAGGAGTTGGAGGATATAAAGTAGCTGGTAATTATGCTCCCACAGTTTTGCCATTGAAGGAAGTCTAGAAAATAGGATTTCATTAAAATTTATGGATGTTACCTGATGGATTAGTTTAAGAAATGGGAGTGTGCAATTTGTTTTTCTTCCAAAAAAATGAAAAAGGCGAAAAGGAATTAGTTACACCTATGCTCGATGGAACTATATTACCAGGTATTATGAGAGATTCTATTCTGGTAAGATATATTATTTACTTATAGGAAATTACAAGAGGAATGGGCAAATTTAAAGTCATTGAAAAGAAGTTATATATTTAAGAAGTCATTGAATCTATTGAATCCGGAAGAGTATACGATAAATCTTATTATTTAGATGATTGAAATGTTCGGATCAGGAACTGCTGTTAGTATCTAACCAATCGAAGCTATTGGATACAATGATAAAATCTATGAAGTTAAGTACGATACAAAATTAAATGCAGGCGAACTATCGCATGAATTATTTGATCTCTTAACCAATATATAAGTATTAAAGTTATTATATCTTAGACTGGAGCAGAAGATCATAAATGGATTAAATCCATATGATTTTATTAATTTTAATTTCATTTAAATCTTATATATATTTCAAAATAAATCTCTTTAAAAGTTCAGTTGTTAGTTTATTAATTACTATCTTTAAGATCTTGATTATCCATTTATTTTAAAAGATCTAATTTTTCCTATTATTATTATACTAAAGATTCTTAAGATTCTTATTATTATTATTTAAATTCTTATTATTATTCTTATTATTTTTATTAAAATTCTTATAATTATTCTTAATTTTATTCTTATTATTGTTATTTCTATTAGATTAAATTATCATTATCTGAATATTCTTTTCTATCAACTATTTATTCCTATTAAATATGAACTTATTGCTTATTCGGATCTTAGGCAGAATGTTCATTCTATTTATTAGCATTTACATTTAGATTTATGTCATCAAGGACAATAAACATACTTAAATTTTATAGTTCCTTTTTAAGAAAATCAATTAATTTATCAAAGTTTCCAAGACAAATGTATTCTTTCAATTTACTATCTAAATTGTACCATAATTAGTTTTTTTATAAGATGGGAAACCAATGATTGGTATCTTTGATTAAACCTTTTTTAAAATTGTGAATTAAAAGCCCCACTACTTCATTTTCTTAAACTATTGTTTATAAATTTTCAAGTTTTCTCTTATCAAAATAGAGTACTCTCTTTCCCTTTTATTCTAAGGCTGTGGTTAAAAGATCAGCTGAATAATTTCCGATTTTAAAGAAACTCAATTAGATTCATATGTACCTTGAATGAAAATTAAAAAAAGTATTTTCGACTTTTGGCAATTAATTAGCTAAATCATTCATAGTTTTGGCTGTATATAGTTATCCCTACAATAAATTATTAACGGAGGCTAATCCACATAATTGAAGTTTTTATTTTTCATGATAAAACTTTTCCTACATTCTCAAATTTGATATTATATATAATAAAATACAATCAAAATCTTCTCATAATATTTGTCATGAGCCTAATTTCTTGAGTTGATCCCTTATTTAATTGGCTTTTTTAAGATTCATTTGTAGTTAAGATTTCTATTAACTTTAAGGTGATTAAATAGATTAACTAGGAGAGTGTCGAAATGCTATTTATTAGAGTGCACTAAATTATAATTGTCTTTAGGTTTCTTTTCTGGATTCAGGAGTGCTTAGAATGGAACAATCAGAATCAGACGATTATTATTACTATATATTTGGTGAGCAAAAGATCTATTTTGAATCTATAATGCTTGACTTTTCCATTAGCCAACTGTCAGAGCATGCTTTAATGGGATCGTATTCTCTTACACCCAAAAATGGTGTTTATTGAATCAATTCATTTTATTTGTATTTAGAAATCTTGGATCTTAAATCATTCTATCCGAACTTTTTCATGCTGTCTATGATACTGTATTTCTCATTTAAATGCTGAGTTAAAGTTGTTTCATCCTTCTAATTAGATTCTCTCCTGTATAAACGGGATATGAAGGGATGAGACAGTGCTTCTAATGAAGAAATTCTATCATCTGGGTTAGGTTCTAAAGATCGCTTTAGTAAATCCAAGGCATCTTCAGAAACCTTCAGATCTTTGTAATTAATTTGGCAATCTCTGTTCTTCTCTATAATTTCATCAAGACTATTTCCATAGAAGGGAGCTTGACCAGAAAGTCTAATATCGCATAAATCATGTACAAAATATATAGGATGATTCCTGCACTGAAGACATCAACCTTTTCATTATATTTCTTGTCTTCTAAAATTTCTGGAGCAACATAACCTGGAGTCCCACATCTAGTAATAAGGAGATTAGCCTCAGTGTAAGATGCCAAACCAAAATCAGCAATTTTTAAATCAAAATTTTCAGATTTATCTTTTAATAGTATGTTTTCAGGTTTTATATCTCTATGCATGATATTCTGAATTATGAATGATTATACCTTTGTGTGCAGATATTCTAAAGCATCAAATATTTTGAACATAATCAGAGCCACCTTGGATTCTTGGAAGCATTATGTCTCTAGTATGAGGTCAAACAATTCTCCTCCTTCCAACAATTCCATGACTAAATAAATGTAATCGCCGCTCTCGTAAATCTCGTATAATTTAATAATGTTGGGGTGATCACAAGAACGCAATAAATCGATTTCATTTAGTAATCCTTGCTTTTAGATATCAGTTATAATGTTACTCTTTATTTATTATTTTTGTCCATCAATGCCGACTTTTGGAAGGTCTTAACTGCATATTTACTTTAATTCTATTTTCTTTAGGCTAAGAGAACCTTATTTATTCAATATCTTACCTTTGCATAAGTCCCCTTTCCGATTACTTTGAGATTCAAGTAGATCTCTCGGTAATTATTCAGAATGCAAGTCTTCTTGAATTGATCAATCCACTTTTGTCTTTGCTCCTGTGACTTAGCATTAAAGACGTATTTTTTGGACCCTGATAGTAATACTATAGGATGTTTATCCTTTTCCAATACATTTTAAGAATTGAGATCTAGATAAACATTTGTTAAAAATAATGCTGCTACTTCCTTTTATTCTCTGGGATTCTATAAATGTCTTATCGTATATGTTACATTATAAATGTTTAGTCTATCAGAAAACAACCTAAAAAACTTTGGTTTATAGAAATCATGTTTCTTGCTTTTCACAAATAAAGTTCCTTCAAATAATCGAATAGTGGATATTGGACGTTTAATTGAATTTAATTTCACCCATTAATTCCTTTCATTCGAATTACTAGAATCAAAAAAAAATTATTCCGTTTACATAAATATTTATAAATTTATTATTAATCTTGGTCTCTCTATAAAATAATTAAATGTGAATTTAGATATATAAATTCAATATAAACAGAGACAACTGAACAAAGAAAAATGTTTTTGTTTTATATTTTTATTATTAAAAAATGATGTATTCCAAAGCTGGTAAAATTTCAATTGAGCTATTTCCCTGGATACAACAGAGAGACGCAATTATCAATGGGGAGAAAAAAAAAACATATGAAATTTCAATTTTCGATGATATTCCCCATAGTAAAAGACCCTACAAAAGTTTCAAAGAAAATGCTAAACTATCTCCAAGAGAAACCTCTCAACCTAAAGTTTAACCCTTTTCTAAATAAGTGGGCAGGGTGGAATCCAAAAAGGAGTTAGATAGATATGGCTTTTATAATCCCAAATATCATTTAGTACAGAAAAGGTCACCTTTAACTGATGGACCTGATCATTTTAGATAAATAAATAGTGATCGATCTTTATCCTCAAAAACTATTAAAAGATCTCTTAAACTAATCAAACCCACTTTGAAACATAATTGCGACACCAGTAAAGAATATTTAGAGAAAAAGTAACTGTAAGAAGAAAGGAAACTCAGAGCCTAAGAATATTAACCAGACCTAAATAGATTCCCTTTACCTGAGGGACCTAATGAACACAGATTTGAATACCAACAATACCCTTAATCATAATACAATAGATCGCCAAATCCAATCATTAGGCCACGATCTAGTTCTTCTAAATTGAAGTTTAAAGAAGTAGAAATATAATTTGATAAAATCATAGTAAAAGAATGGTTAAATTTACGATCTCAATTACACCGTAATCTATCCTAAATCAGATAAGATGATACCAGTATTAGATAAATTGACACCCAGATAACCCTTCAATAGTGATAAACCAGTATATACATTTCATGAGACACTCTCTGATGATACTCCGAAGAAAAGAAATAGTCCTCAATCATTTAAGTTGGATTAGCAGGTTTCTAGAGAGAAAGCTATGAGTTACTATTCCTCTATAAGAAGACTTTATTATTTATGATTATGCTAATATTATTAATATTAAATGTCCTATCCCTTTGGTAATCAATATTCAGCAGGGATGCCCAATGCCAAATACAAAACGACACTTTGTAGACACTATTAGGGTATTATCATTTTGATTATTAGCTACAAGATAATGCGCCATAGGAGTTAAATGCCAATTTGCTCATGGACAAGAGGAAATGAGATCCATAAATGGTAATTTTACAATTCTTAGTTTGTAAGATCCCATTCCTTCAGCTCTAATCACAGTGTTAGCAGTCCCTCCACAATATTAGGAAATTATGAAGCCAATGATGGCTTAATAACCTGCTTTTAAAAGTATGAAATACCTTTGAGGTTAGTTCCATGCAAATATCACGCTTAAAATTATTGCAAAAATGGATAAAATTGCTAATATTCTCATGGTACTGAATTTTAAATATCATGAAGATGTCGATATTTAACAACCCATGATTCCAAATATGATAAACCCATATCAACCATAATACTCATAAGTTGATATGAGATAGGAAATTAAGCAAGAAGATCCAATGACTACTGTATTTATCATTATATTATAAACCATGGAATAAATATTTTCGAAAGATGTTAATTATTATAAAATATTTAAGGATATCATATAAAAATTAAAAATTGCATAAGATCAAGTAAAATGTGGCAATTTGGCGGTTGGTTCAGAATGCATTAAAGCCATTATGACAGATCCAGAAAGAACAGATGATGAGATAGAATAGTATACTACTATATATCATAATGCATGTTATTATTATAATCAATTGTAATAAGGTTGAAAATTTGTTGTTTTAAATATAACATAAACATATAAATATATCGATTTAACCAATTAATTCAATATTTTTTACTATTTAAATATTATCAAGGGAAATATAATCTCTTATTCCAAAAACTATAAAGATCCATCTTTTATATATTGGATCGAAAAATAGCATCTTCAATAAACCTTTAAAATATGAGATATATTTAGAATTATATAAAATAATTTAATTCAAGATTCAAATATAAATGTACAAAGCTAGTCTTGGTTCTAAAATAGATAAAATAGTCATCATAAATTCCTACTAATGAGATATCTTTCTTAGTTAGAATGAAGTTAAGTTTGCAAGTTTCTTAATCTAATAATTTATATTTTTTTTATTTGTTAAAAGGAAATTGTTTATAAATTAAAAATAGATAATAATACTTAACTCTATCTAATATTATAATAAATTTAATAATGGGAAGTTTAGTATTATGGATTATTCTTAAAAAGAAAGTTTTGGTTTGCTTGAAATTATTAGTTTTAATACAAAATATAAATTTGATATTCTTTGAGAGGCTTTATTTATTCTGCAACCGTTGAATAATATCATTTGACTGGTGTTATACTAATTAGGTTAGATTAAAAATAATGCATTTTAACAAGTTATTAGTAGATTTGATTTTATTGTAGTAAGGCTGCTAAGTTTAGTATTTACAGATATTTATTATTTCTTTTCTATTTTCTTATTGCCCATTCTGAAATTTTAGAAAATACCAGTTGAATTGACTTGATATCAAAGGAAGGATTCATTTTAAACAATTGAGCTAATTGATCGTTTTTAGTAGTATTTATTAATTTGATTAGTTTTTGTTATATAATAAATTTTTGGATTTTGAGATAAAAAAAAGCATAAATTTATTAGAATCACCAAAAAATAAAACTTGTATATAAAAAAGTAAAATTCAATACAATAATTATTAATATAGTTTTGATTAGTTGTATTTCTTTAATAAGATTCTGTACTAATCTTATCTTGCCATTCAGTTTAATAAATTAATATATATTATAAATGAATGAATTAGAAGAATAAGAAGTATCACATTATTCAACAATATAATAAAATGAATTAAAATCAGAAATATAAGTTGTATCTCACAAAGAAGATCATTCTATAATAAAATCAGACAGTATAATAAACTTTCATGATATCTTAACTCAGATAGGATTTGGAAGATTTTAAATAATGTAGTACTTTGTATCAATAATTTTGGGAATAATGGAAGGGGCATAAATTACTATTTTTACTTTGATGGTACCGATATTAAAAAAAGAATGGGAAATATCTGAATCTATAGTGTCTTTATAAACAAGTTTTATATTTATAGGCTTTCTAGTTGGATCAATGTTATCAGGGCAATTCACTGATCGATATGGTAGGAAATTACCATTCATTTTTAGTTCATTATTGACAGTACTGATATGCTTCGCTACAATTCTCTGCACTAATGTATATCAGCTATTGATAATGAGAGGATTTATGGGTATTTTTGTAGGTTTCTTTGCTCCTTGTTGTGTAACTTTATTATAAGAAATTACTCCAAACAAATTAAGAGGTTAAATGACAGGATCTGTTACATTAAGCGTTGCAATAGGTCAATTGTACGGTTTTTTCATGGCATCATTAATTATGGAAGGAATAAATGGAAGTTGGAGATGGCTTACATTTTTAGGTTCTTTGCCAGGATTGGTTGCTTTGATATTATCTTTAATATATATTGAAGAATCTCCTAGATATCTACTATTAGAAGGCAAGTATTATGAAGCTTTTTAAACTTTAAAATTGATGATTAGGACTAATAAAGCTACAGAGGTTAGTTTATCCATTGAAAATGAGCATAAATTAGTAATCTGGTCATTATATATGAACAGTATAGCAAAAAAAACAGAGCATGCATCATTTAAAAGTTTGCTCAATGGAGAAAGATTATAGGTTTCATTAGTTTTATGGAGTATTTGGTTTTTACTATGCTTTTCTTATTATGGTAACCTAATGACTATGCCTTAAATACTATATCAACTTAAAGATGACGAATCTTAATTATAGCAACTAGTCTACGCTTGTTTAAGTGATATTCTGGGTGCTATTTTAGCTACTTTAATTATAGATATCAAAGGATTGGGTAGGAAGAACTCATTAATTATTGGATTCCTCATAGCATCAGTATTCTCATTTTTATAACTTTATGAATATCATAAGCATTTTGCTATTTTAGCGATTTTACAAAAATTGTTTCTCTCCATGAATTATATCTTCTGGTATCATATACAAATTTAAATTAGCTATCAATTAACAACTGAGCTATATCCTACTAAATTAAGAACTACAGGATTAGGAACTGCAGTCGCTATAGGAAGACTGGGTGTCATTTTGATGCCATGGTCTTGTATGATTATTTCCTAGTATCCAATCATTGGTCCATTTCTCCTGTTTTCCATAGCTTCCTTTTTAGGAAGTATTTTTGCTTGTTTTATTCACTTGGTAAGAGTTTAGATAACAATAATTGATTAATTAATCTATTAATAAATTATATTATAATACTAATAGTCATAGTTATTATCTTTAAGAGTAATGAGATCCTCTGTTTAATCTATTTGTAGTATCTACTGATTAGATTATGTTATTATTAGTCTTACTATTACTTTTAGTTATGTTAATCTCCTTAACTTAAGTGATTTATTTCTTTTTTAATGCTTCCAGTGATGCTTCTGCCATAATTAGCTTCTCACTCAGTTCTGAGGCCTCTTCATTCTTTTCTTTAAACTTCCTTCTCCAAACATCAATTTCCCCTTGTAATGAAATGACTGTCGTTTCTACTCTTGAATAGTTTTCTTCTACAGTTTATAATTCTTTGATTTAATTATTCAATTAATCTATCCAATTTTCTTTTTCATTTAAAACACTTCTTAATTTTAAAATATCAGTGTCTTTCTTACTGATTTGGTTCTACATTTCTTTATTATCAATTTCGTATTGTTACATTTACTTTTTCAATTTCCTAATATCCTCGTTATTGTTATTCTTGTTCTATATTTATTTTTATAAAGAAGTAAAAACTTCTTTTGATTAAAATAATTCCTTTTTTAATTGTTAAATTTCATTGTTTAACTTATCTTCTTAATCTTCAAAATTCTTAACCATAACTTCTAACTCTTTAATTTTGTTCATGTACTCCATAGATTTTAAATTTTATTCATTCATTTTTAACCTTTAATTTTCATTCTACAATCTGTTGATCAACTATTCCAATAATAATAATTTCTATTTATATCTATTTTCTATATCTTATGCAGATACTACTTGTAGAGGTTTTTCATGATATTATACCTCATTGAGTTCATGTGGTTATTATGTTCTATCTGTTGATAATTAAATCACTCTGACAGGAGAAACTGATTAAGGTTAGCAGACAGGTTATATCTTTGCAATAAACTATGTGTTATTTCTATCTGTTTATGGAGCTCTATTATTCTGATAATTCATACATTGCTGAATGTGTAGATTATGCTTGAATTCTTTAAATTGAATAATTAGGGGAATAGTTATGTGATTGATTGTTTAATAAAGGAACTTGTCTTATATAGGGAGAAAGTGCCTATGTATTTTTAGTTATATATTGGCTGCCTTTAGATCGAATAAGACGATCTAATTTTTCATTTAACATATTTAATTTTATTTTTTTGACTTAAAAAATAGAGTAACAATAAATAGATGTTTATATGGGGTAAGTAATTAATGTTAAATAGTTAAAAAATGAAAGTAAAAAGGTTAAGATCAGAAATTTGTAGACGCAGAATCCTGAGATTTAATTAATATTTTTAGGAAAATAAATAAGTTATTTTTAAAAAATATTAAATTTCACTTTTATTTAAGATTAATGTATTAATTAATAGATTATTTATAGAAAAACCTATAATACACATTATTTTCAACAATAGGTTTATTGATCAGTTATAATGAAATCTAATTATTAATCATTATCTGTGTAAGGAATATTGTTAACCTTTAGCAATTCATGGCCAAATCCTATAAACTTAGTGTTGTAGTTTTTAGATCTATAATCTTCTATGGTTCTATCATAATATCCTCCACCATAACCAATCCTATGCTTAGTTTAAGCATCAAAGCACAATAAGGGTACCTAAATTAATTATTAATTATTTTACAATGCAAAATTGAGGGATCTCATAGGTTTTTTCAACAGGCTCTAATATTTTAAATTTATTCAACTATAATTCAGTTTTATTCTATATGTAAACTGAAAATAATAATGGTTCTGTTAATTTTTACATTATTGGTAATAAAATTTTATTTTTACTCAAATAAGGCAAAATACTTAAAATATTTAATTCATTGACTAAAGGGTAATAAATTGAAATGGATGATTCTGGTTAGATAATCTTTTTCAATTACTGAGCGTATAATTCAGGTTATATTTTTATATCTTTTCTTATTTGTTTAAATAAAATTCTTAATTCATTTTTCATTGTTTTAGCAATAATTTTAATGATAAAAAAAATATTATTCAATTCATAATTGTATAAATTTTGTGTTCATCAAAAAATATACAAACCTAAATCAAAGAAAGGACTCAATTTATTATTATTCCTATTCAGTTTGGGATTTATAAATCAATACACTAAATATAGAGACTACATGTCTAACATATTTTTAAGCTAACAAGAGGTAGCTGACTTTCACAAAAATAAACAATTACAAGTTGACAAAAAAACATTAAGATATCATGAAATCAATATCAAAAGAAATAAGGATACAGAAACTGCGGTAATTATAGGAGGAGGCATAGTAGGGTTAAGCCAAGCATTAAAATTATTGTAAAAGGGTTATTCTGTCATCTTGATTGAAAAGGAATAATTCATTTCAACTAAATGTAGCGCTTTTAATGGAAATATCTACAATCCCTACTTATTCAATCCATTAATATCTAAATATTCAATTAAAACCATGTTGAATAACTATATCAACCCTACTGACACAGCAACATAAAGGTTCAGTTTTAATAGCCTTTTAGAACCTGGGGGGATAATTTGGCTGATCAACGCATTAAGGTTGAGTACATCTGATGAACAATTTGATAAGTCAATTTAAGATATGACTAAGTTGGGGCAGATTTAAGAATAAGAATTTGAAAAAATCAAAAAAATGGGTTTGCTTGAAAAACAATTAACTGCTGAAGGAGAATTGAGTTTTTATAAATCTGCAGAATACGGGAAACGAATAAGTTAATCATTTGAAAATGCAGGAATTGAATTTAAAGAAGTTGATAAAACTAAATTTAATTAGCATGATATAGATAGGCATTTATTTCAAAATTATCCTTATGTTATTAAATTAGATAAGGAAAATAACTTAGACACTAAATAATTATCAATAAACACCTTGAAATATTGTTAAAAGCATTACCCAAATAAATTTAATATTCTTTACGGAACAGACTTTAAAGAATTCATAATGAATAATAATAGATATGTGTTAGGAATAAATACAAACAAAGGGTATGTAAAATTCAATTATTATTAGTGTAATATATGGAGATGCATTTATCATTTGTGCTGGATTGCATAGCAAATACATAACTAAGAAATTGGGAGTAACCTTGCCCATAATGCCTTGTAGAGGATGGATTATTGAATCTGAATTGCCTTAGTCTGCAAAGGGATCTGTCTTAGATAAGATGGTACTGAAATTACCTACCTTATCTGTCACAAATCTTAATAATAAGTTGAGGATTTCAGGTTGTTAATTGATAGATTAAGAATATAAATCAGATGATCCTTTGAATGAATGGGGAGCCTAGATTCTGATAAAATAGATGAAAGAGCAATTTAATATTGACTTGGATAGGCAGAGCATTTCAGTGAGAGATTGCTGCAGACCCTTGACTCCAGATGATAAAATTATACTTAGTAAATTGTAGTTGAATAGAAATGTTTACGTAAATGCAGGACATGGCTCTAGAGGAATGAGTCAATGTCATGGTTGTGCTGAAGTCATTTATTAACTAATGAAGGGCTAATAAAATAAAGAGGATTATTCAGCCTTTGATTTAACAAGGTTTTTATTTGTTTGAAGTATAAATATATATATATCGTTAAATAATTAAAATGAGTTAATATGAGAGAATAAGACCAATCGTATTTTAAAAAGCTCCAGAAGTAAAATAGGTGAGATCCAATTCATTGGCTGTTCGATCATCTCCTTCTAAGTGTTAGTTGGATTTATCTTTCGATTTATAAGTTAATTCAACAACTAACAATGCAAATTAAGCATTAAAAGACATCAACAATTATAAGAAGCTTTATGTGAGTGAATCGTGTTAGAACAATAATAAAGAAAATTAATTATCTGGAAAGCATTTTTCGTTTAAGGCTGATGAAAATTAATATTTGAAATAGAGAATTAAACAATTAGAATCATAGAATAACAACTATGTATCTGAAAATAAAAAATTGGCTCATGTTTTAGATTAATAAATTCAATTAAATCAATCATTATAAGAATAGCAACAATCAAAAAATTAAATTATCAAAAAATTAGAAGATGTATAGAAGATGAATAAATATTAATAGTCGAATAATTCAGATCTTAAATAAATTAATGATTAACTGATTATATCTAAGAAGGTAGTAAATGATTTAGAGGAAAAAGTATAAATTGTATTAAATGAAAATCAAAAATTAAGCGAATTAAATGAAAGATTTTAATTTACAGAAAATCAACTAAAGATTGAAATTGAAAAATATAAAAGTAAATGCTCAATATTGGAGAGTAAAATGAAATAACAACAGTAATTTAACATATCATTATCTAGAGATGAATCAAAATGTTTAGAATTGTAGAGAAAAATTAAGAAACAGAATGATCAATTAGAAATATTGGCTAGAGAGAACTATCAATTGAAATAATAGTTAACTTAAAATAATAATCAAGTGTCTCAATAAGATGATAAATAGTTATATGTTCATAAGTAATAGATATGTTTGAGTTTAGTGATAAATTTAAAGAGACAATCCAAGAGTTGGAATGTGAAAATCAATACTTACAATAAATGATAGGTATTGACCAACAAAAGATGAATAATCTTGAGGAAAAACTAAATTTGTTGACGAAGGAAAATTATAGACTAACAGAGATAGTCAAAAATCGTCATAAATAGCAATGAACAAATTTATAACTATTTTTGTTATTTAATTTAAAGAAGATTAAATTAAATGATAATATTGACTAGCAATCAATATCTATACACTGATCCATAACCAAATGTTGGTGCAACATAGCTGTAACTTGGAGCATATCCATATCCATAGGTTGGAGCAACATAGCTGGTTCTTAATGGAGCTACTGGTGCCACTGGTACTACAGGTGCTACAGGTGCAGCATAGCTGTATGAGAGTGGTGAGGCATATGAAACTGGAGCAGGAGGAGCTCTTCTAACCTATAAAGAATTAATTAACATTAAACCTCTCTTTCATATTCTAAATAATCAACTCTTGGCACATTCTTTTCGACTGGCACATAATCAATTTATTTTTCATATGAAACTTGAGGGATGTATTCCTTTTAGTATTCGACTGGATAATAGTCTGTCACCCATTTTTATCTTGGCACCTACGTGTTAATTTATTGTTTACTTAGACAGTTCTGACTTCCTCTTCCAATTCTACGACTGGCTTTTAATATGGAACGTATTCGACTCTGGATTCACCTCTAATAGGAGAATAGGCTGGAGGAGCATAACTAACTGGAGCTGCATACGATACTGGTTAAACATATGAGACTGGAGCTGCATAGCCAACTGATAATTAGTCTAATTAACTTTTACCTGGAACAGGTCTGGCAATTGATGTTGCTAATGGAGAAGCATATGAAACACCTAAAGGAGCGTAGGAGTACATTTTTAATATTAATATTGACAATAAAATTTATTGATGTTTTATTTTAACATGAAATATCAAAACAAAAAAATTTGATAAATTATTTAAATTAAAATAAAATTCGAAAGATAGTTAATGTCTTTTATATCAATTATTAGACTTTATAGTTACTTTCGATACATAAACTTTATTTACATCAAACCATCTCTATTTAACTTAATTTTTAGAGATATTGTGTAATAAAAACAACCCACATACATTTTCACCATATATAAATATTTATAAAAATATTCAACCATATAATTTATAAAGCATTTATTAAGTTTGTGATATTTCCAACTGATTATAAAACTTGATATTATTTAATATAAACTATTTTTTGTTAATATGTCGGAATATTTTAGAAAGTATATCAAAAAAGAGCATTATGCTAATCATTAGTATTAGATTATAATAAGATTATAGCTCAAACCTAAAATTTAAAACATCTTTCAGAAATTGCATTTTGGAAGTATTTAACAATTATTAAATCAGGCCTTTAAAAGAAGATTATGGAAGGAGACAGAGGGGGATGATTGGGATATCATGTGGGCAGAGAAGGAATGGATTCACGAAGTGTTGGATCATACTCATCTATAATCCAATTAAAAAATCAATCATTTCAGAAATCATTACGAAGTATTATCCAAACTAATAAATTAGTTAACAAGGAAGGATCTCATGATCAAGAATTTTAAAAGGTATAAGAAAAATTTAGAAAGAGAAGGAAAATCAGAAGAAGCAAATAAGTAATTGCTACATTAATTTATACAGTTATAATTTCTTCCCTCTAACTTTCCACTTGCCTAGTGAATATCCAATATTTTTTGAGGAATTCAAAAGGTAATCCGCCAATAGTGATACCAAAACAGCTTGGATCATGAAACCTGTATTAATATTAATTTATTTTTAAGATCGGCAAATCGCAAGGTAAAGGTATATTCATCTTCAACAAAATTTAATAAATATCTCAATGGAAGAACACTCTAAGATATAATTAAGATAATCCATAAGCAGAAGCCTATATAGTGTAAAAATACATAGCAGACCCATTACTTATTGGCGGCAAGAAATTCGACATGAGAATCTATTTATTATGCACTTCCTATTAACCCTTAACATTATATTTATATAGGACTGGATTTGCAAGATTTACACATCATCGTTATGATAGCGAAGACATTTCAAATACATGTACTAATTACCTATTCAATTTCTATAGATGTTCATTTAACCAATGTGGCCATTCAAAAAACATCTGATAATTATGACGAAAAACTTGGTGGTAAGTGGAATTTATAAACACTTAAACTCTATTTAATGACAAAATATGGCTAAGAAAAGGTTGCTGAAACTTTTTATAATATTTAAATGCTTATGATTAGATCACTCTAAGCAGTTCAAAAGATTATTATTAATGATAAACACTGTTTTGAATTATATGGATTTGATATTTTACTCGATGCTCAACTAAAACCATGGCTATTAGAAGTAAATGCAAGGTATTTAATCAAGTCTAAATTTAAGTCCTTCAATGACTTCCAATACTCCTGTAGATTTTGAATTAAAGTGTGGCTTATTGGATGATGTATTTACAATAATTGATTTGGAGAAGGTTTTGACAGGTAATGAAGAATAAATTGGAGGGTTTGATTTGATTTGCAAAGGCAATCCAATTAAATTACCTATTAATAGCACTTTTACCACTTATCTAGGTGCTTTTAATAACAGACAATAATAATTAAAAAAGATTGCCAAATCTACTGCAATCAGATTGGCTTAAACATACTCAGAAGGTCAAATGAAAGCAATTGAAGTTGGATCTAAAGGATAAAAAGAAAAAGAAGAGAAAGATAAGTAAATGAGAAGTTCATCCAAAGGACCTTAAGCTATGCAAGTATTATTACATTTAACTCTAGAACGGAAGCAATGTTAATAATAAATCTAATAATTTAACTAAGTAGAACACAATTATGAAAAGAAACACTACAAATTTACCTGCTTTAGGTACTATGCAAAATAAAAGTAATGTTAAAAGATAACCATTATAAAATGCTGGATAGTAATAATAAATTTAGCAATCATAATCAAATTCAAGCAAAAAGTAATATATTTTATTTATTTAGAAATAACCCCAACGAAGACTCAATGCTAAGTGCTAATCAGAAGCTGTAGAAATTAACTTAGGAAAGTAAAATAAATTAGTTTTAACCTTATAAATAACAATCATAATATAACGAAGTTATGGGTATGGGTGGGGGTTCGAGAAATCTTTAAAAAAACGAAGAATGAATTAATATAGTTTTCTTATTTTACATTATTTATTTTTTATTTAACAATAGTAGTCAACAGAATTTTTTGTATTTTTTTTTCCTAATAAGGATGATGATCTTTTTCACTTCTTTCTTTAATATAAATTTAATATTAAAATTAAAGCAACTTAAAATTTTTTATCCTTAATCTAAAGTATGGGACATTAACAAATTTTTTACTAGATTTCTATATTCTTTGAAAAAAAGTATTAACAATTTAATTAACTCTGCCTAGATTCTTAATGAGTTGTAATTATTTTGAATTTTCCAATTAGTTATATAAGGGTTTATTTTAATTTCTGATGTTCAATCAATTTTAGTTTTGTTTTTTCTGAAATTTTTCTTTTCAAAATATCAATATATTCTTGTAAATTAAAGGGTTATTTAAGTGTTGATTGTTTCTTAAGTAATATTGTTTTTTGATTACTTGGTTCATCCGACAATAATACATATTTTTTATAAAATCCCAGTAAAAATCCTTTACCCATTCAGTTAAAAGATTACAAGCATGCATATGATCATTTATAAAGCATGACAGCACTCTTTAAAGTTTTGAGAAAAACTATGTATTGTAAATTAATATCCGATTAGAATTAAGATGTTAATTAAAATAAAATTCATTTAATTTTTAATTACAAGAAATAATTCTGTGAATTTTCTTTTGAATATTTAAAATGAATATTTTAGAATGCGAGCAATAACTCTAACCTATTTCTTTTTGTGGTGAGAATGGATAAAATATTTGAATTAAATATGTAAAATTCATTAAAATATTAAAATTTAATTAGATGTAAGGCACAATAGTTTTGTAAATAAGGGATAAAATTTAGATCACAATCTATTTCCAGATGCTTACATTGATTGTAAATATTAATCAACTTAGAAAATAAATAATTTCAATAGTTTTAAAATGTCTTTGTAAATTACACTCATCAATATAATTATTAAATTGTATTATATAATTATTTAAAATGCAGTATCTTATTATTTTAACTAATTATAATCAATTCGATATTAAATGAACTTAAATATAAATATTCAAGATTTAATGAAATACGCCAAAATATCAAATTAGGTCAGATAGGCCTTCATAAAAAGAATATCTGAAAAGAAATGTACAATCAGACAAGCAGCAAAGTAATTTGGTATCAAATTTTCAACCGCCAAAGCAATTTTATCGATTTATAGACACGAAGGTAGGATAGGGAAAAAGCAAAGAAGACAAAGAAAACTTTCAAACAATATTATTTCTGAAAAGGAAACATAAAAATCTCTCAAAGAAGAACCCATAGAGACCAAAGAGGAGATTAAAAAGGGATCAACCTCTTTAAACTACTGTTAACGACGGGCTAACAATACAACACATACCGTAATACAATTATGACTGGACTTACTTGCAACATTTTTGGATGGTGACGTACATGAATCAACAATTACAATACCAAAATTTTTAAAGATTTATGGGATATTGAGATACTTATATAAAATGAATAGAAATTTTCATGAAATTTTATTTTTCATTATTGTTGTTTATATGATTTATGAAATATACTTTGAATGAAAAGGTTAAACACAATATATTTTCTTCATATTCAAACAATTTGTGAAAAATCATTTAGAAATCCTATTATTCTTTACCAATAGGCTTGTGTTTTATATAAAATAACGATATTACTAATTTAAATATTTGTATATCATGAATGGACATATACTTTTTGATTTTTTGCTAATTAATGGTTTGGCAAGCCTTTAAGCTTGCTTATAGACTTAAATTTATAGTTTAAATCCAAAATACTCATAAATTTTTTATGAAAATTTCAGTAATTTAATAGTTCTTTAGACTCATTAATAATATATTTACATACATCAAATTATGTGTTAATGATAATTGATAATTAAATATCCAAAACTTGTAACAAAAAAATCAAATAATATTTAAATATGAAATTTCCGTCTCGGAATGAATTTTTATTTTATTAACATTGAAATATACAATTCAGAAGAAAATACAACTGAAATAGAGATAGAGCCAAATTATGAATTATTTTAATTGAAATTTACCTTCTTCAATTACAATTATATTTGGAAAAAGAGAAATTTTTATAAACAAATAAAATATATATCAATTTTCATCATTTTAAGGTTCTTAATCTTCAAGAATTTTCTCTTCATTTTTTTCATCTTTCTTTAAACTAGCTTCCTTAGCCATTTGTCTATATTTCTACAATGTTGATGATCCATGCTATTTAGCATCTCTGACTAAGGGTCTAGAGTAAACTCTATTCTCCATATCTTATATTTTTTATTTGTATTCTGGATTTAATTTTTCCTTTTATTTTTTTTTATCTTCAAGCTTTTTTTATTTCTCCTCTTGCAATCTTTGAAGCTCCCTATCTTGACTGCTAACAACCTTCTTTTTTTCTTTCTTTTCATCATTCTATTAAACTGGTTAAGGTGCAGGGGGGACTATTTTAACATTTTTTTAAGGTTTAACACTTTCTTACTTAATTTCAGATTATTTAGAAAGTTATTATGATTTTTTTGATTATTGGATAGACATTTCTTATTCTGTTTTTTATTCCATAGTTTTGTTTTCTTGTTATTCTTATTATTCTAGTTATTCTTATTCTTATTCCTATACTTCTTATTCTTATTCTTATTCTTCTTGATCTTGATTCTCTTAATTTTGGTATTATTCATTGTCTTTATTTTCATCTTCATTTTATTTCTCTTAAGCTTAATCTTCAAATTATTGATCCTAATAGTCATCTTCAGGTTCAGGTGACAATTCTCCATCCTCTTGATTGGAATTTTGTTACTTTTGACTTTGTTATTTTTATGACATTTTTGCAGATTTTTCTTATTATGATTCTTCCAATTAATTATGGCTGATTTATTAACTGACCTACTTTTAACTTTATTAAGACTTTTAAACTGATTGTTTTTAAGATTATGATCTTTGAGTCTAACTCTTTTGTGTTTGAGATTTTTATGTTTAGTTTTATTATTCTTCTTCATGAAAGGATTCTTTTCTTTTATTTCTTTGATTATCTTCATCAAGATAATTCAATTCCATACCTTTGCTTTATTGAGATTTCTTGTCTTTATCTCTTTTGGAAACAAAGTTTTTATTTATTTTTGGATTAAACTTACATTCAGGGTCAATATCTTGAGGATTTAATTCTTCCATCTTTTTCTTTTTTTCTTTCCTTTTCTATTCGTCTTCTTATAATCTTTTAGGCATCAAATTAGTACTCTAGAGGTCTGCCTTTCTTTTTTCTCTTTATTCCTTTTTCCTTTGATTTTCAGCAATTTCTTTTTATTTTAATACTTCCATTGTACATTCCACAGGAATTTCTTTAGCCTTGAAAGTTTTGGGAGCTTCTTTAGTTTGTAGCCGTTCTTCTGCAATTTACTTTCTTTCCATAAACTTTTAGACATCCTTCTAATAAAAGCTTGGAGGATTGGCATTTTAGACTCTAGGAGGTGAAAACCTATCTAAATTATGAGCTGGAACAAACATGGACAGAGGAATAGGATTTGCTTTAAATTTATTCTGTAATTCAAATTCTTCCTTTTCTTCAATTTCCTTAACCATTTGTTCTAATCTTTATTATCTAATAGTTTTCTTCTTTCTCTCATGAAATTTAGGTTCTTTGGGAACAGTAATTTTATTAAGTGAGCTTGAATGCATATTAGATTATGTCTTTTTATCAATTCTTTTTTATTATGCATCATCAAATGATAAATTCTCAATCTCAGCAAAGGCATCTTCTTCCTCTTATATTTAACCTTTGATAACCGACTCATAAATTTTCCTTCCCCTTCTAGGTGCTGGTTTCACATCCAATTTATTTTCCAAATCTTCCCTTGGGATTTCTCCTTTATCTGAAAAAATGTAGACTATGTCAGCCCATTATATAAAATCAATTTCAGTTCTAGCAATTTTAGAAATGATAGAATTGATTGTTTCAGGTCTCTTGGATATAGGGTCAATCTTTGCTATTTATGAAAGAAGACTCTTAGATTGAGGATCATTTTTAACTGTCGCTATGAATTCCTCTTTTAAAATAAAATGAGCACAGATTGTAGGAATCATTTCAAAGACATCATTTATAATTTAAAAGTATACACTTGGTAATTGCATTACTAAATGTTCTTCATTTGGAGGATCTTTCTATTCATTCACAAAGAATAGTTTTGGTATTTTAGGAGGTAAAGGATTGAAATTAGTCAAATATTCTGTGAATTACTATAAACTAATGAAATTAGAGGCATGACCTTCCAATTAGTTTAATGTGCTTTCCATCATTTCCAAGATACTGGCTAATGTATACCTTTTTCCAATTTTTGTTAGTATTGCAGCTTCTTAATTACAATCCACTGTTTCTCTGATTTATTAGATCAATTCCTTTTTACTTACAATCAATTCGCAATCTTTATCTAATTTCATGAAGATTTCCAACATTTGCTAGATCACCTCATGCTCCAATAAGCATCTCCCTTTCATCTTCTCATAATAACCCTCTGAAGCAATGGAACCAGGTCCAAAATGAGCCAAAATGATACGTGCCTACATCAGTCTAATTTCCTCATAAGGTAAAGACAATTTGAAATATTCCTCAAGTTAATTTAATGATATTAGTTCCATCTATCTTCTATTCTTAGAAAGCCTATAATCTGCTAAGACCTTTTCTAATACTTAATTTACAGTAGGACTTCCTTGTTAAAGACTTATTGGTTGGTTTAGAATGGACACTTTACCTTTTGATAAATCATTCCTTATAGCCCTTATCAAATCTAATCTGTTTACAACTCCTTGTTCTTGGTAATCTAATATCTTAAAAATCTCCTTAATGGGTTTAGAATATTATAATCTTAAATTTTCTTCTTGGTTCTCTTCAAATAATTTAGAATCCTATTTTAATTTAGAAAGCAATTTAATTCTATCCTATTATAATCTCTTGACAAATTTGCTAAACTCTGATAAGTCGAGCAATCCTTTACGATGAGTTTATAATTTATCAAGTTCACTCTCTATAGTTTTCACATCTAAATCGAATATAATTTAGATATCTTTGTTAGTGCATAAAAATTCGAGCACTTCTCCCTTCGATACAACTCCAGCGTGATCTTTATCAATTTATTAGAATGAAAATTTAAGTACAAATTACTCATTCTTCTCACTCTCAATTTATTTTTCTTACTATTTTTCAGTTACAATAGATTTATAAATGGCTTTTTTACTTGCATCATCCAATTGATCAAGTTGTTTTTCTGTATAAGCTTATACTTATACACGATGTAATTCATCGATAGTTTATACTTTTAGAATAGCTCTATCGGTAATATTCACTTAATGTTTTGGTTTTTCCTTGTCATCTTTGAGATGATATTTTTCAAATTCTGGAACCTAAAATTCCTTTGCCTTAATTTCCATTTATTTTTTCAAATTCTTGTCCTTTTGATACTCCAAAAATTAATGCTCATACAATTGTTATTCGGGTGACTTCATAACTACCTACTCAATATATTTCTCCTTTGATCTTGGTCTATTCTTATTCTACTCCTTCTGCTTTATATAATCATCTATTTATTATTAGATGAATTAATCTTTTTCTTCCTTCTTATTTTATTTTTTTAAAACCTATTACTGTTATTTATCAACAACAGTTACTTTAACTTAGACTTAATCCTTTCTTCTTCTTTCCTCATATTCTTCTTTAGCCTACATTTATTCTTTCTTTATGTTGTTTCTATACTCTCTCAATTACTTGATTTTCTCCCAAACATTATCATCAGGCTGATAACTATCCACTAAGTCTTATTTCATGAATTGCTACTCTAATCTATCCAATCTATCATAATGCTTATCAATTTCACTCTGAATTTAATCTAATCGTTCATTTTAAGGTGGAGCTTCTTCCTCAATAACAAATTAATTCATTCGATTTTCAATATCTTTCTACTCAATTCCCACTACTCTTCTTTATTCAGAAATGAAGTTTGATTTAGCCAATGGTTAATCCTTTAGATTTTAAAATACTATTTTTTCTTTATCTTCCATTGCATTCTACATCTTATAAGGTTGTAATCCCATTTTTTAGTAGATCTCAAGTTGAGACACTTACATGTCTAAAATAGGTTCATCTTTCTTTTGACTTGTTGAAAACATTTTCTTTTTCTCTTCAATAACTGTTTGTGGAATTTTGAATCCTCCTGATCCAATCACAGCCTTCTGAACCTAATCCTTGTTAACCTAAGGCGATTATTTATTTGCCATAACTTCAAGCTAAAGAGTTTGAATTGGTATTGCTTTTTTCACAGACATTAAGATATAAAAGGTGATTAATGTTTAAAATTAATAAATAAAATCACAAAAGCAAATTAGGGAATGTTTATTCAGCAATTTTATTTACTTCCTCTTCCACTTTGCTTAATGGAATATTAGCTGGCAATATATATACAACCTTTCTTTCAGATACTCTATTTCCATAAAACCACACTCCTGCTCTAATATATTTTCATATTTTTACATTCTTATGACATATTGATTGCGTGTATTCAATTTCTCATACACCAATTGCAGTATTCTTAAATTTTCAGAACTCATTTTTGGGACAATCAATTAACTGGATATTCTATAAGCCAAGTTAACGCCATTGAAGTAAATGAATCTAACGAAATCTTATTTCTAAGATTGTTCAATCGCCATCTCTAACTTGTATACTAATTTATCAATCTATTTTGAAAAGACATTGACCAAATTCGGTAGATTTTGTAAATCTTTTAATGGATTTGCTATTGCAATTATTAATAATTGTTTATCCAAATAGGTGAATATATTTTTCTTTTATTTATTCAGATACACTATTTGACCTGTAAATCCTTCTCTGATTGCATTTTTTAGATTAAAGAAATTTAGATAGGCAATTTAACTTTCTGCACATGCTGGGAATTTCAGATTTATTTTGGATTCCAAGTTTGTCCAAGGCAATCCACCGCCATAATAATGCTCTTTAAATAGGATTGCCTTCTGATGGGGGAGTGTTGAAAATAGGAAATACCCTGCATAAAATACAACGTAATCGGTTATCTAAGCTTCCTATTATCTTCCAAAAGTTAGGATTGATTAAAGATGCAAATAAATGGCAGCATCAATCTAAGCATATTTTAAAGAGAATGATTAAAAATTAAATAAATTCAAAACTGTACCATATCTTGCATTACATAAAATCCATCTCTATGTGAAATGATTTACTTGTGTTAAATCGTATCCATAAAATAATTCAAAGTTTGCCACAAAATTCTCCGCAATATTAGTATACAAATTTTTTGATAAACTATAATGAAATTTATTGCATTCACTAAAAAAGTAATCCTCAACAATAGTTTTTATTTTTGGTATTTTTTAATGAGCCAAGGTTATAAATAGAAAAAGATCCTCTCTCACCCTGCAGATGATGTGGGTCTGTTACTCCAAATGTATTGTTTGAAACTGCAAAGATTCATTTTTGCTTTTATTTTCCTGCTGTTCCATTAGATTAGGACTAGGATTAAATTGCGCGAAAAATTGAAAGATACCTTCAGCCATTCCTGTTTAAATTCTCTTTTCTTCAATATTTGCACCTTATGGATAGTAATAAATTAATTTTGCATCTTATTAATCCTAAATCTTAATAAATTAATTACCTACTCAGATGGTTTGGGTATGGTCGGAACGGCTAACGGGTTAAAAATGAATAAAGCTTTCACAGAGAAATCAAAATTTAGTTGGTCCTAATTCATATTAAAATAATTATTTAAATATATTCTATATATATAAGTATTCATAGCTTAAATATAAGAAATTGCGAGTGATGACTTATTTATTTAATGAAAACTATTTTCCAATTAAATTGCATCATACTAATATTAATACCTTAAAACACATCATTATTTTATATAATAGAAATCAATTAAGGAAGTTCTCAGATATTTTTCAAATGATTCCACATGTCTTGGATCTTATCAACAGTAACACCTTCTGTCAAGCAATCTTAGAATTCAGGATAGATCCCTGTAAATTGAGTACTTTCGATTAGTGCTATAACAGTCACGACATCAAATTCATCAATGAATCGCTTTGAACATAATCGAGCATGTGCTTCAGATAATCTGATTAAAGATTCTAGTTTTCTTGCAGTAACTTATTAAGTTTATTATCTGATAAATGTAAAGTATTTTTATATGACTTATTGACAATCTTCATTCATTATCGGTTGGAATGTGTTTTTAACATAGATAATATATTACTTTAACTACTTTAAGGTATAATTTTATTTATTGTTGTTAAGATTGAAAATGTGATCGCACAACTATTTGTCTAATTCAAAGTCATGTTGATCCTTTAAAATGTATATTTGATCAAATCTACTTAATAATGGTGTAGATAACCCAGAATTATATTATATTGACAACTTACTATTATACACTTACTCAACTGGATTGCAAGCAGCTATAATGGTTGTTCTTGCATTTAATTTTGTTGATATACCAGCTTTGCTACTACTAATGGTTTGTTGTTCCAATGCTTCTAAAATAGACTATTATGATTGTTAATTCAATAAGTTGAATTCGTCTATGCAACACAATCCTTAATCAGCCATCACTAAAGCTCCAGCTTCAATCATCCAATCTGATCCCTCTTTAACAAAGGAAAGTGTTAATCCTGCTTGAGTTGTCCCTATTCCATTCACGTAGATTGATTTTTCACTTATAGTACAGGCATTTCTAAGGAATGTAGATTTACCAGTTCCAGGTTCACCTATGAGTAAAAGATGAGAATCCCCTCTTACTGTAATCCCATTATTTGATTTTGTCACTCCTCCAATTAAACTTAAGAGTGTTCCTAATTTAACTTACCATTGATTGCATAATTCAGGTATGAATGAATTGATAACTTAATTTCTATGTTAAAAAGTGCTATTCAATTAGTCATCATCGATAGTCTAAAGTAGCTTTAATTAATTTTATAATCTTAGGTATTTGCAGTCTATCCATAGAGTTATTTGAGGTATCTATTTCATCATCTTCCATCTCTAAGTCACTAAGCCTCCAATTATGACATCGTCTCCTGAATTGCAACTATTTACGAACTCCCCCTCTAACATTACTCTGATGCTGTTGGATATCGTTCCAGGTTCAATTGTAGTGTAGGTGTCTTATATTTTGATTTCTTAATAATCAATTAATTTTGAATCTTCTAATTTTTCAAATGCTGTGGAATTGCACTTCTGCTTTTTGAATCCTTATATTTTCTGTTTGAAGAATGGGTTATATTTTTATTGTTTGATTACTATATTTTGACACTTCATTTGATTTTCAGTCATAAAATAATTAGATGAACATGATTGAACTTCTGTGACAAATTTACACTCCTTGCATCGATAAGATAGAACTTTAGACATGGATTTAGCACTAGATTACAAAATTAACAATACATCCCGGCTCTAATGACTGTTCCCTTGATTAACACAATTTTGTGTGTTTAATTTATTTCAGCAATTTTATTTAATTTAAAACAAATTGGTATGTTTACGAATCGTAGTGTCTGTTGAAATGATAAATCATCAATATATTCACTTGAGTCTGGAAACTTATCCAATAGTTCTGTTAAACTAGTTAAATATTATTTATACTCTATGGTTTCTTATGAACAAAATTCTTTAATTGTTTCCATTAAAAATAATTAATTAACACAATATTCTGAATTTTTCAACACTATTATGACAGTATTGTAACTATCTAATTAATATTAATAAATTTCTAATTTATGAGAAGAGTCTAATCAGCAGCACCTAATCTTGGTAAAACTAATTCGTATCTCTAGATTTTACCATGGAAGACATGTTTAAAATAGCAACTAAACAGACATCTGCCTTTGGAATTGAAGGATATGAAGTGACAAAAAAGTATGCAGACCCTCTTAAATAAATGGAAGATCGTAAGTTTGCTACTCAAAAGAAAGGTAAGCATTTTTACTCATGATTAAATTCGCAGGTTAAAAAAACTTAGGATATGTTACAAGACGAGGACATTATTTGGAGGATCAAAAACGCATTTATGAAAAACTTCCTGCTCCAAACAAATACGATATTGTTAAACCTTGGGTAATTCCACTCTAAATTGCAAGATCTAAATCTGCTCCTCCAAAAAGGTCAGTCTTTTATTATGATTCTTAAATTTAGATCGACGTTTATTGATTAAATCTTTAAAGAAGCCAAGTTAAGAGCCGTGCCAGGTTCAGGAAAATATAACATAGTCCCACCATTGGAGGAAGTGTTGAAATAGGTAGAAGAATAGAAGAAAAAGAAAATAGAGTAATTATTTTATCACTTTTTAGGGCTGTTGAAAGACCTACCTATTTGAATGAGATCTAACATCTAGCAGTCATTAATCCAGGACCAGGAAATTATAATCCAAGGGTTTCTTTCATCTTTATTTTAGCCGATTTCAAAAAAATTAAAAATCAATCAAACTAAACCGGCTGATTTTATTGCCAAAGACAAAGAACTTGCTAAGAAAAGAGGCAAGTCTGCTCTTCCTGATATTGGGACTTATCATCCTGAACCAGTCTAATTCACTACTTTCAATAAATTATTAGATTTAACAAAGCGAAAGGATAAATTAGATAGGAATGTAATTATCAATATAATTTATATCAGACTTTTGGAAAGGATGTTAGATTCAAAGACCCAAAGAAAAGTAAATCCAAATAAATACTATTACCTGGACCAGGGCAATATCCGATGGTTGTGCAATGGGCTGGAAAAGAATAGGATAAAAATAAAACCAAATAAAAAACATATTTGCAGGCAATCTCAAAAGGGTGTGAACGTTCCATTTATTATTGAAATGAGTCACAATATTGATCTTACAATTTTGATCAAAATTATATTAAAATAATTAATGAAATCTTAAGTTGAATAATGTGAATTATTGTTAAAATAATAACAATATTAAGAATTATCAAATGAAGTTAGCAGGATGTTAGAGGAAGAAAGAGATTCGGAAGAGGAGATCTAATAAAAGCTAGAGTAATACCAAGAATAAGTAAAGTACTTGGAATAATTGAAAAAAGAAGAAGTATATTTATTTTCATCGCAAGGAAACATTAAATGAATATTACTCCGAATATTTCAACCATATAGAGCAGGAAAAACAAATACTCTAGTAAATTGAAAATGAAATATAGATTTAAAAATAAAGGGAAATTTAGTTATAGATCGATTTAAAAGTAGCTGCTGAACAAGAGCAAATGTATTTTATATAATAATATATATTGATATGAGAATCAAAAAGAGAACTTTATGATGCTATTTTAGCGATGTCATGAATATCATCAATAAAATCAAATCCTTGCTCAACAAATCGAGGCTTTCAAATATGAAAATGATGATTTAATCAGAGGTTATACATCTCTATATATTTTAGAGTCCCAACACTTAGAAGGTTAATCAGAGCAATAAATAAAATATATCAATTGTTTGAAATAACTCAATCAAAAAACAGAAGAAACGCTAGAAAAATTATAGGTCTATCAGGAAGAATTGAAGCAACTCTTACATAAAGGAAAGCAAGATCAAGGACCTAAATTTGATCCAATTTAATTCATTAAAAGTGTAACAACTGCATAGCAATAAACTGATAATTCTAATTAGAAAAAAAGCGATGTTGAATAAAGTAATAATTTATCCTAAAAAAGACTAATCTTTCGTACAAGAGATTACTCAAAATCCATAGATTCAATAATAGGAAATATAAGAAAACTAAGGCTTTTTTAAATATAGTTATTTAGCAGCGATCACAGCATCAATAGTAATAGGAGTTATTATTAAAAAAAAATTACTATGATTCTTTTTGGTGATTTATAACAAATATATTTATACAACAATTTAGTTATGACAAATAATTAAAAAGATAGAATAAATTAATTGAGAATATTTAAAATTTTTTATCATTTTATTCCTTTAATTTATAAATAATATTTACTAATTTAGCCATCCTTTGGTTGTATCAATTCATAATCTGCACTATTTAATGAAGATTATTATTGCCATCTTTTTATAGAATATCATTAGTGCTATGAAATCCTTGATAACCTATTTAGAAAATTAGAATAATTATTTAGAAAAATAAGATTTAATTGAAAGTTTTGTTGATGAAGTCTGATTATATTTCATTCTTAAACGACAAATTGAATGATTGTGAATGTGCATAATAATAAAATCATGATGACGTATAGTTTCCTACTTAATGTTCGAGTTCTGCTACTTTTTAGGTTGCTGCTAGAATTAACTGCTAAATTTAGCTTTTTTCTTTTTTTAATTCAGTTATTTAACTTTACAATTTAGAATTCTCATCTTTTTAGGTATTTATTGCCTATATCATTGTTATTTGATACTTGTCTTAAATCTCTTAGCATTGCATCAAGAGTAGGCTATGTTGTATTCTTTATTTCTTCATTATTATTTGTTATTCTCTATTTCATCAAATGTAACTCCTATTTTAGTTGATCAATCTCATGTTTATAGCTTTATAACAATTCATTAGACAGTTCAGTAATATTCTAAAAATTTAAGAATCTAATTACATTAACTAAAAGCATATGATTTTTAGCATTAGTAGCTGATTCCTGATCTAATTTGGAGCTATGGACTTATTATTATTAAATTTCTGACATTTATTTTAATTATATTAATTTTTAATCAAAAAAAAAATATTTATTTTCTAATATATAAAATTTAAGAAGTAAAAAATAAATTTTTGTTAGCTAATTATAAAAATTTATTATTATTTTATAATTGCTTAAATGTCAAAGGCTCAATTCAATAGAAAATCCTGTCTTTTTGTTGTTATTGCTATCCTTTTTTCCTTTAATTATCGGCTGTTCTACTTAAATAGCATCTTTCATTTGTTGCTTTTGTTTCCTTTTGAGATATTTTGCTCTATATTTCAATTAATAGATATGTTTATTATAAGTTTTTTGGGTTTCAAAGGTTTTATTACAATGATCACAAGCAAATTGGATCTTTTATGTTTGTTACTTTTAAATTTATTTTTTTTTAATTTTATTATCATTTTTTTAGGGTTTTTAATTTTCTTCAATCATCCTATCGTTCCCTTCTTCAATTTAAATGGTTCCTGCTTTTTTTTTTTACTATTTCTTCTTTGATTTTTCACCTTGTTTAGGAGAATTTTTTAAAGGAATTTATGTATCTTCACTTTCCAACTATCCATTCGATGTAGTAGTTTATTTTTGAAGGGCTTCCAATTACTCAGACATAGTAGCACATTTTTCATAGAGGGCGGCCACAGTTTCAAAATGTTATGTTAAAGGAATGTATTTCATATATATATTTTTAAAATTTTTATCTTTTTATAATATTTATATCATTTTTTCCTTTAAATTTTTTTCTCATTATAAATCCTTTATTTATTTTACTTTAAATATATTGTTTAAACTTCATATTTTGAATAATTTTGATTTATTAAAAATAGTATGAAATTATAAACTAAAAAATTAATTTTTTTTGATTTTTTTTTAATTTTTAAATTACTTACTTAACTCTTATATATAACTATTACTAATCGATGATAGTAATTGTTTAACAAGTAATTCATATACTATACTTACCTAATAAAAATTGATTTTGATTGAAAGTCTAACCTATAAGATTAATTTAATTAGATAGGATTACATTTATACACTCCATTTGAATTTTATTAATTTAAATTCTTAGATAATATTACTTAATTGGAGTTTTGATCATTGAATAAATAATGTTATTCAAATTTATAATATTATTATATGTGGAGACTTTGAATAATAAATTGTCAACATTATTAAAAGATTTGTTTACAAAAAAACTCACTTTAAAATAATAGCTTAGGAACTAAAAATGATACATAAATATTTCCCAAAGTAGATCTCTAATCATCAATTTGATAACATTGATATGGTATGATTTAATAAAAATACTAAAATATATAGATATTGTATTTATTTTTTCTATGATCAAACTTAAAGGATTATAAACATTAAGTTAGTTAGCAGAAATAATCAAGATAAATTATGGATAAATATCATGTATTATCTTTAAATTATTCTTCAATATCAGTTATACAAATGCAAAATGCTTAAATATAGGTCATCAATATAATTAAAAATAAACATAATTGTGTGGTTATTTGAAATTAAATAAAATCTTTTTTTATTATTCATGGGTATTTCAAGAGATAGCAGACACAAGAGAAGACTTACAGGAGGACGTATGCCAATCCATAAGAAGAAGAGAGCATTCGAGAAAGGAAGACAAGCTGCTATGACTAAATTAGTATCTGGTGAAAAGAGAGTGAGAAGATTAAGAGTTAGAGGAGGAAACTTCAAATTCAGAGCACTTAGATTATCAGAAGGCAATTTTTCATGGGCTAGTGAAGGTGTTGCAAAAAAAGCAAAGATTGTAGAAGTTGTTTATCATCCTTCAAATAATGAATTAGTCAGAACTAAGACACTTACAAGAGGTGCTATTGTGTAAGTTGATGCTACACCATTCAAATAATGGTATTTGAAGAAATACAATATTGATTTGGGTGCTAAAAAGGGTTAAAAGAAAGTAAGAATTTTGAAAATAACAATAAGGATCAACCAGCTTAAGCAGAAGTCAAGAAATCTAGATCATTATAAAAGAAATTAGACTAAAGAATAAAAGAGAGAGTTATTGATAATTTAGTAGCAGAACAATTCTAAAATCAAAGACTTTTAGTGAGAGTCACATCTAGACCAGGATAATCAGGTAGAGCTGATGGATACATTCTTGAAGGAAAAGAGTTAGAATTCTATGTCAAAAAAATTGAATCAAAGAAGAAATGACATTTTTATTATCAATACAAGTACATTAGCATTTAAATCAATAATTCATTTTTTATAATCCATCATCTTTTATTTGGCTTCTTCTTTTGTATTGTGTACTTATTGTGTCATCAAAGAAATAAATATTGGTACCATAATCATAGAAAGTACCATGACAATGACATATTGAATCTAAATTTAATAATATCAATACATATCTTGTATCGAAAGAATAACTTATATCCTTAACATAATTATTATCAAATCCTTATTCTGCTATATCATTATGCATTCCATACTTAAGAGTGCATCTCAATAAACCAAGAAATGAATAAAAGAAATTATCATGATTTACTAGCTTCCCTTATAATGTAATGCTCCATGACATAGCACAAATGCTAATAATAAATATCAACACTAAAAGTAGGAACCAAGATTCCTTATTAAACTAAAACAATCAACTCTACATTTACCCTAATTATAACTAATCCATAACACTTTAGATAAGGACTCCAATTACCTAGGAATCTATTAATAGCTATCATTAAGAACAACATTTAAATCCCATCATAAATTCTTGTCGTATATAGAGGAACTATTAACTTTGAGATATCTTAATATGAATTAGATCCAACATCAATTAAATCTAACTAATCTTAATATGCCTTCGATATTGTGCTTCTTATTAATATGCTAACATTGCTGAGCATATCTATATAGATATAAATTCACTTACAAATGATATCGAATATCAGTGGAATTTTAATAACTACATAAAGGACTTTTAGATTGAAGATGAAAAAATCACTTACAATTAATTGTTTTTATTGGAACTCCCTCTCTTCTTATGGCGCTAATTCTCTTTTTTTAGATTGCATCTTTTTTCTTCTGTTTAACAGCTCTATATATTTTTAATATATTAAGACTAAACTATTCTGTGTTCCAATGAAATAAAACCCAAAAAAGTCTGAAAATTATAATTAAGCTCAATACCAAAAAACGAAGGAATAAGTAAAAGAATAGCTATATAGAACATCAAAGTATGAGCAAGCACTTCTTGATCTGTTTTAGAATTTAAATCAAATGCTTGTGTTTACATAGTATTATAATTGAGTAATTCCTAAATTAAGTATTTATAGTACATCATTAAATAAGTATAGCGTTGTAATTGTTGCTTATATTAATCTCTAACTTGGACTATTAAAATAATTTAAAATAAATTAAGATTATTTAATATTGTACTTCAACCAATCTTAAGATTTGATCTATTCAATACTGTTTTAGAAACTATTCTAATTTGTGAGATTAAGCTCCCAAACATATCCTCCATAATAACTATCATATTTAGATGGATTAAATTCAGTTTGAGTATAATCACCTTCTAAATCTTCAACAAATAATTAATTAAAATTTAGGCAGCTTTAATTTTTTGTTAAAAAGATTTATTTTTGATTTGAATTCAAAATATGGCAATCATCTAAATTGTCTTCCTATATTAATTTTTAAATTAGCAATCCCGATTTTAAAGGATAATTGTAAAAATTGTGAATATCATTATCTTCTGCTAGAGTTAGGTTTATTAGAGTTGACAAATTATATACAGGTTATTGGTAAGATCTTTGGATAGGATATGAATTTTAAAATGAAGCTAGTATTTGAGTATTAGTAACGAATTTGATTTGGTTGATTTCTGTAAATATAAATAAAAACAGTAATAGTATAAAAAGACAAGATTCAAAAAAGTATTTAACTTTGTTTAAATACCCTAGATACACTGACCAATCGATTTTATTTTCCGATCTTCTAGTTTATCTGAAGCCCTTTGTTAATCCATCAGGGTATGCTTCTGTGAATAAGATTTCCTCTATTTGAGACATATTGTTTTTCTCTTCCTTGTTCTTTTTTTGTTTGATAATGAGAATCCCAACAGTAGGTTCGTAGTTCCTGAGTAATTCATAAATTGGAGGATATAATTCGTTTAGTACATTCATTTCAAATTGCAATAAATTGCCCATCTAATCTGTATAAAATATTTCATTGTCTTGTGCCATGAAGCAGGATTTTACAATTTACTTCAATTCTCTGAATGTCTTTATTGTACCTGGCACTTTGACTTAAACAGAGTTGAATTAGTGTCGTAATGTGACATAATATCCATTATCTAGCTCTTCTTCATCAACTTTTGTATTATCATCCTCTTGTTTTGGATTGAGAGTAATTTGTAGTGTTTGAATCCTGCATAATCTTTTTGCTATTTCTTTTTCTTGGATCTCCTCCAATTTTTCTTTTTTGCTAATGTTTAAAAGAAATAATTTTAGCGTTTATGTTACTTCATTCTCTAATTTAGCATCTATGCCCTAAGATTCTTATGTCAAAGGACCTGATGTTTTATCCTAATTTTATTTCCGAAAATGCTCAAGTTATTTCAAAAGAGCATCATATTCCTAAATAAATTTGAAAAAAAATACTTTTTCTGCTTTTCCAATCTCATCAAAATATTGATCATTTAACTTTTCTTCTTCTTGGTATTCCTGTATTTATTTTTTAAGATCATTGAGCAAAGCATCTCTTTAAGTTTTGAATGGTCTTAGTTTTTTTGCATTATATGAAATACTTGTCATTATCACTTAAATTTTAATAAACAATCAGCAAAATAATCAATTCAATCTTTAGGATTTTTTTCACAACTTCATTGAGATCCCCTTCTAACGCAATATACAACCTTTTATCGTCCCAGTATTTTAGAGCATTTTCACATATATATTCTACATCTTTTATTAATTGTATCTATTTTTTCCTCTCTAACTATTACAATTTTATGTTAACAGTTTAAAAATCATTGTTATCATATTAAGATTATTTCAGTTTTAATTTAAATTAGATGGAACCATTTAATCATCTTTCTGATCTTAATACACTGTTGTTTTTCTTAGCAACTAATTTTTACTTTCTAGCAAAATCAAATTCCAATTCTAGGGATCCCACATCATATGAACTTTTGTATTTAGGAACCTAAATTAACCTTTCAGAAACTGTATGTACATTTTACCCATTCAGTAGTCTTTCTTCAAATTGTTCCTCAGAATTCATTTTCTACAAGTCCACATTATAAACATAACCATTTATGCTTGTACATATGGGGTCATAAGCGAATTAAATGTTTCATCGCAAATTTGGAAACGTTGCTTAAATTGTTTTATTGTAGTTTTGAACTTTTAAGTTCTTAATTGAATTATGGCATAAGGATGTAAGGATCCTAATAAGGCTTTCCTTTTAATTCATCGCGATCTCGAAGTAGGTTTGCACCCTATACAGTTATGATCAAGTTGGATTTAGTTTACATAATTTTAATAATGTTTGAAAAAATTCTTTAGAGAGTTTTATTGACGTATTTCGGTAAGTTTATCACAGGGTTCGACTAGACCAATTTGCAATTAGGAATTTGGAGTGGGAACATTGTGATAGAAAATGTAGCATTGAAGCAAGAAATCTTGACAGATTTGGAGTTACCATTAGAATTGAAATTCAGCTCTATAGGAAGGTTAATATTGAAAATACCATGGAATAAACTATCCTCTGCCCCTGTAGAGGTAGTATTAGAAAATATTTTAATTGTCTTTAATCCCTTGCCTTAATAAAGATGGAATATTGATGATTCCATATAAATAAAAAGGAAATTTAGTAAATTATTGGAGAAGGCTAAGTCAAGCATTTCCCTTAAAAAGAAGGAGCCGGGGGAGAATTCTAGTTATTTCGAGAAATTAACACTCAAAGTGATTGACAATCTTTAGGTTTCGTTAAAAAATATACATTTTCGTTTTGAAGATCCGAACTATTCATTCGGGATAAAAATGGATTCTCTGACAGCCTTGACGACTAATGAATAGTTTGTGGTTGCTTTTGTTGATAGAGGTGATAAGGATACAAAGTTCGTGCCCAGAAATAAATTAATAGATCTATAATAGTTATAACTATATTGGAATGGCAACGAGACAATTTTCATATCTTAGTATGTTCCATAAGAATAACTTAAAATATTTGATTAGGTTATTTAAATAAGTGCTTAATGCAAAATGGTAATAAATCACAAGGAAAGATTTGAGAAAGCTCACTATTTATTAGATATGTCATTGGAGGAGATTAATTTAAATTTGAAGCATTCTCAGTTGATTCAGATGATTTCATTTTTGGAATTAATTTCTAATTACAATAGTAGAGTATGGTCTTAGAAACAGGAATTAATGTAATTGGATGTAAATATTCATTAACAAACATTTTGTGATCTCTTCTTTTAGTTTTTGAAAAATGATATGAAAGAGGTTGAACAATTGGGCGAGGAGGATCAAATCTTACAATTTAAAAATATCATTAGAGTAGTACCATTTAAAACCTTAGAGTCTTGGAGTGCAATAGCATAAAAAAAATATTTATTAGACTTAAAGGTGTAAGAATATCAAAGATAAAAATCTAAGAAGGGTTGGTTTAGTTTTTTGGGAGGATAAACATAGGAGGAGGTGACTGATTCTGAATTAAAATAGTTGGAAGATTTTATAGACAATGAAGAAACAAGTTTAGTTTGTAGACCTTCTGAATCATTGAAATTTAAATTCATTGCTAAATTGAAAAAGGCTCATATTTAATTAGTTAAAGACAACAATACACTACAGGATGAAGGAATTATTAAATAATTAGAATAGATTGAAATAGATTGGGCTTAATTTGAGAACAAAGACTTCTCCTTTTCAATGATCATTAAAAAAGTCAGTCTGCAATTGGTAAAAAATAGGCAAATTGAAGAAATTTGTTAGCCTACTTAAGAAACTAATGAGTTTATCAAAGTGTCCTTAACGAAGACAACTACTAGCAAAGTATGTAGGCTTGATTTTCGATTTCTAATGTAAAGTTTAACAGTAAATTACAATCCTTGTATAATTAGGATTATTAGGGAAATTACAGAAGTAAAGAAAGGAGACTATGTAGAATAGAGATTGAAAACTGCAACATGGAATCAAATAGAGAAAATACAAGACTCAACAGAGTCGTCTTTGTAAAATATTTTATAATCCAATATACAATTGAAAATTGATGCTAAGATTTTGGAACCCATTCTGGAACTATCTATTAATAGCAATGAGTTTTGGTTAGTAAAGATGGATAGCTTTCACATTCGTACTAAGCCCTCTAATCAATAAGATTTATATGAAAATTTTGAGATTTCTATAAGCAAATTCAAATTCTTCTATTATCCAGAAAGATTCGGAAATCAAATCTTTTAGATCTTGAATGACTATAATCTAGTAGTTTTAGTGTAAAGATTGAAGAGCATCCACAATGAACTAATGATAAAGGAAAATAAACCATTAATAACAATTATAGGGAAACTTGAGCCCATTAACATTATGATAAATGAAAAAGTATATAAACATTTAATCTATTTACCTGAAACTATATATCCTACATTATCTGAAGATTAGAGATTATAATAATTGCAATTAGAGAAATAGCTGATATTAAAATATAAAGTCAAGGATGGGTACTTGAAGAGATAAGGACAACTCATCAAGACATGGAGTTCTTAGTATGTAGTATTAAGTAACTTTGATTTATACTTTTATGACTAAGAGAAAATTTTAATGGCAAACTCATAATTAAGTTTATTTAATTCCACTTTAGAATAGTTACAAGTAGATGATTAGTTGCATTCATTCAAAATAATAAATAAATAAGGAGAACATATCTTTGCTTGTGAGAATCATGTTGAATTAAGTGATTGGATTAATAAAATAAAACTATAAATAGAATAATATTAATCATACGAGGGAATTAAATAGAAATAAGAGGAATAAATAAAGGCTAAATAAAATGAAAAGATGTAAATCGATATATAAATCAAGAAAATATAAGTGAAATTATATAAGGAGAATAATTATCCAAGTGTTTATCAAGAACATCTTTTATTTTTATTCAAATTGAACAACTTAAGTTTTTAAACTCTTAAATAGCAGCAAATCCAGCAAATAATTTAAGTTGACAATTTATCCATTTAGGATTGGATATTTGATTATTAGAATCCTTAGTTCTAGGATTTGATCATTTTGAGTAATAAGATTGAAAATCAACCTTCTTTGAGGATAGATATTGCTGGAAAGAAATAACTAATAAATGTAGATTAATTATAAATAAACTGGAAACCTGATACATTTTTAAAGCTTAGATAATTATCATAAATAATATCGGATAGGAAATCTAGAAAATGGTATTTTGCAGGAGTTAGAGATTTCGAGGCAGATCAACTGAAACGGGGAAAGAATTGTGATCATGAGGAAGTTAAACGAAACAAGCTAATAGATGGATTAAAAAGGGCATTTAACAAGTGTTAAAGATATGGTTAATCAAAATTGAAAGTGAAGCATAAGTTTAATACTTTGATTGATCATTAGAATTTCTTGGATGACTATCAATGGGTTGAGGATGAGATCTTGTCATCATATCAAATAAAAAGCAGCAAGGATACGCTTATGGAATTGGAAACTTCTATCAATTTCATTTCTATTAATTTCTTTCATAGAACGAGTCATTGCTTACTCTTTAAGTGTGATTTAGACGAGGTTAAGTTTACTTTTAAAAAGCTATAATTTAGTAATTATTTGGACACTCAACTGAAGGACATAAGTTTATATGATATGACAAATTATCCTTTCACAATAGATAGTAATCAAGAGTTTCATTTGATACAGCCATAGAAATTAGTGGGGAAGAGAGATGTATATGATGAATGGGCAGTAAGATTTCGATTCAGTGGATATGATGAAATCATCATAGCAAATCAAGAAAGAATCAATGCATTTTTATTAATTGAAATTAATCCTGTGTTTGCAATCTATCAGCATCAACCATTAATGAGATAGATTGATTATATAATCAACCAAATAGTTTCTTTGATTAGAGAGCCTGATGCATTAACAATGAATACTGAGTTTATCGAATAAAAAAGAAAGAACAATACGAGGTTAAAAGCCAAAAGAGTTTGGGGTGACATTGAGTTAATTTAATCAAAATTCATTTGTCCAACCTTCATTGATTTAAGAATTGTAATTAATAAACCATTGGCAATTATCAAGGGATGGCCCCATTTCTCTGAATATTTTTAACTGGATTGTGAGGTGGTGGAGGTGTATAATAAATAGTATATTGACATGAGTAGATTATTGTAACCAGGGGGTATTTCATTAATACAATCACTTGAATAATGGATGCCTGATGGCAGAATCCTTAAGGCTTGGAGTGAGGCGTATTGTATTGAAGGACATAATATGTAACTTCAATATTATGAGAATGGGATCAATCAAGTCAGCACTCTGTTTGAATTTAATTTATCATTCGAAAGAGCTTTGCATTACTTTGAAATAAATGAATTATACGATAATGTGAAGATGGATAGGAGTATAAGAATTAGATCATGTATGTCCCCTACTATTTTGAAATTATACAGAAAAGAATACTTGGAAATATGCAAAATGATTTTTCATAACTTTACAAATGATGATTTGAAGGATAAACTGTACATTCATGATTTTGAGGTGAGTCGTTCTTTTGAGCCAGCTCCAATATCGTTTTGGTTAGATTTTGATGACATCTCAATTTTTGCACTTAGTAAAAAGTCTGAATAGCCATTGGTGTAGGTGAATATGAAGTAAATGAGATTAGAGTGGTTAAAAGAAAAACATATTGATTTGAATCTATTCAGTCAATTGATCAGTATGTATAACTATGATGATTAGAACAATGAATTCATGTTTGTTGGAGAATTGAATTTAATTCCAGATCAATAGAAACTATTCCAAGTTAATCAATTGATCAAAGGGTTTCAACCCACAAAATAGAGATAAGAATTCAATAAGTACGTATTCGATTAAGAATTCATTAAAGAGTAATCTTAGTTTCAAATGCTATTCCATATTCAGAAGCCTAGTTCCGATAAGGAATGTCAAATAGTATTAAGAAATGTGAGGATGATAGTGGAACCAACAGTGTTTGTAAATGTGGGGTTGTGGAGTAGATTGGAGCAGCAATGTTGGCCCATTCAGACGGAATTCGGAGAAATGCCAAGTATTAAAATGATAGTTGAAATCCTAAATTCAAGTCTGTGTTTGTAAGGGTTGGATAATAATTACATACTTGGAACAAAGGGTGATATTTCATACGTTTGGAATAGGAGTAGATTCTTGCATCCAGAACAAATAATTATAAATCTGAAAAATGACTAATTAGATAAAAAGTTGGTAGAGGTTATTGGGGATGCATTTGAGCATAAGGTGAATCTTAAGAATTTGGAATTGTTTAAATGTAAATTTGTGGATTATATCAATTATGACTTGAAACAAGTGAGAAAGAGACATATCATTTTGCCATTCTCATTGTTCTTCTGTCTAAAAAATGAGTTATAAGTTGAATACAGTAAGCAATTCATCTATTATCACAATAAGTTCTCATTTCACATTGACAAAACAATATGCAAATTCTCATATTAGGATTTGCTATTAATAATGAGTATCTCAGATAAATTGAAGTCCAGCAAATAGGAAGTTATCCGTGAACCTATTTATTAACAGGAGGAAGTTGTGAATTAAGAATAGCCAATCAATAACCTATACGATGCAATAATTAGTGGATTACAAATTGTTGTGATAAATGATGCAGGAGAAGCATATGTCCCAGTATTTGATTTGACATTGTCAGAGACTCAGTTACAATTTTAAAAGGTCAATACTAAGTCAATATTCTCTACTGTAATCAAATTAAGTAGTTCATTTTACAAATCCTAAAATTGCAGTTTGGGAACCTATTTTGGAGAGTTGTAATTTTTCAGTTGATGTCTCTTTAAATCCCAAAGGAGAACCTCAGAGTATCATCTTTTTAGAAATGACTCAGGAATAACAGACTATGAACATCAATTTATCTGCTTAGATGATCAGTGTGTTTCACAAGACTTTTATATCTTTGGAAATAGGAGATGGAAGAAAATAAAAAGATGAAATAGTTACCTTTAGAGTAATTTGATAAACAATTGGAGAAATCTTTCCAGTATTCAATTAGATAAGTCATTGCAAAGTCTGCAATAACCGAAATAAAAATTGTAGGAATCAATATTTCAAGATGAAAGAGTGGATAATGTCGATTATGTTTCTCCTTATACCATTAGAAATGAAACTGGATTCATACTTGAAATTAGTGATACTACTAATATCAATAAGAAATACATTTTGTAATCTAATTCATCCATCAATTACGAAATCGATGCTGATTTTGATTAAATGTTTGGAAGAGAAAGAGATGATTTGCAATAATAATAACAAAGATTAGTGACCATCAAGGTAATCCATAATAAATACTAATTCGAACCTATGAAATCCATTGATTTAGACTGCATCAAGGTAACTAGATGTCCAATCAAACCATTTAATAGGAATACTGATAAGATATTCATGTTGTTTGTGGAAGTAGTGCCCAAAGACACTAGAAAGTTGCTCTTGATATCTTCTGAAACCATTATCTTCAATTAAACTGATATGATTATAGATTTGCAATTATTTGATTTGGAAGGAGTATAAGAACAAAATATTTACCAAGCACAAATTGAACCTTACAGAGCCTTTAGTGTGCCTATTGATAGAACCAGATAATATTTCAACTTTAAATTCTCACGCCATCCAAAATATAGCAATTATATCAATTTGAGATACTTATCAGATAATATTGAAAAGAGATACGAGCAATAGCATAATGACTATTATACTATTATTAGATGTTCTAAAAGAAATGTGAATTAAACTCTGGTGTATTTGGAATCCCCATTTTAAATTAAGAATTGTCTACCTATGCCCATTTTATATGAATTGTACGGGGATTCTGAACAAGACTTACTAACCGATTCTATCATAATACAATAACAGCCCATTGATAATGAGCAATCTAATCTGACCAATGTCACACTCAAACATCTAGACAAATATCAATATGAACATCTGCACTAGAAAGAAAAGGGAAAGATTATGAAATAAGAGTAAAAGTTAATACATACAATTTCATCAAAAGGGAGATTGGCAATCACAGTAAAACTGCCATTTTTTTAGATTTCAGGAATTCATATGTTGTATCATGCTAAATTTGGTCCCTTCCAAGTTGACAACATTCAACTATGTGACTATTTTGGAAATACAAATGGATATGTGTTGATTGATCAAATCAAGAATGTGTTTTATATTTATTGCCAATAAATGATAGTGAATGAATTACCCTTCAAAGTTTACAGCTATGGAGTGACAGACATAAAGAAGGGTAATCCAACTATAATAGCTGGTTAGCCTATGAAAGATTTGGAAGAGAATGATACTCATAACATTACTCTATTTAACGATTAATAATAACTAGCATTCTCAAGCAGTGAGAACTATACTCAGCTTTCTGAAACTCTAAATTTGAATTACACAGGAAATCAAACAGTGCGCATATAAAATGAATCAAATTAAATTATAGAAGTAGGCTATAACATATCTTTAATGTGTGTAGACAAATAGAAACCCTTAGTAACCAAGGTATTAACTATTTCTCCAAGATTTATCATAGTTAATCAAACTCAAAACACTATTCATGTATTGTAAGAATCAAGCAATTAATATTTGGAGATCAAGTCAATGGATAGACAACCTCTAGTTTGGTATAATCTACGTTATTAATACATTTCTATTCATTATTAAGATGGATTTATCGAATGGCAACCTACTAATCCTATTGATCCAAATGGCAATGGGTTCTAGTGCTTTACCATTAGAGCTGCAAACAATTTACAAACTATCAAACACTTCAATTGTATAACGAAAAGAGACAATTAGATAGTATATCTAATTATTTTAGAATGCAAATCGATTGTCACATAGAATTCAATCTATGATTAGTCGCAAAGGAACTCTATGATTTAATAAACATAATCATAAATTGTAAACATCAACTAGGTGGATCCTCCTTATGTAATAGTTAATAATTTGGAATTAGTGACATTGATTTGTTATCAGTATTGTTGTTCAGATGAGAAGTATAGTCATCGCTATTAATTCAATGAATACAAGTTGTATATAAATAACAACTAACAATGTGCATTCTCTTGGGAATATCCCTGTGAAAGAAGAGATCTGGTCATACAACTCAAATTTGAAGGAGAACTAAGTACACATTATAGAGTGAATCCCATTTTTATCAATCTTGAAGAAGCAGAGGCTGTTTAAGAGTATGTCATTTCAAGTGTATTGAATGAATCAGAACAATACAAATTTTATATTATTTCTCTTTGGGAAGGTGCTAGTAGGAAATTAAAGTTCTAATAGGAAGTACAGAACTAATAAAATTAACATGACACAAATATTCTGAAATTGGATATCAATTTAAATTAGGTAGGTATATCATTGATAGACTAATTTTATAAGAAGAGAGTGGAATTAATATACGTTTATTTCAAAGGATTGGAATTTAACTTATTATAGACAACACAGAGCAGGAGATCTGAATTCAAAGTTAAGTACATCAATATCGATAATAACACATCCAGTAAGACTATGTTCCCTGTGATTTTTACTCCTACAAAATTTCAAAGAAATCTTTGAGTTTAATAGATCTCATTTATCACTTATACTCGAATAATCTACTTAAGTCAAATCGATTTCGTTAATCAAAAATATAAGAGCTTGTCTTCAACCAACGACAATTAGATTGACTTCTGAAATGTTAGAATAACTCTATTCTGTCTATAAATAGATCACTTTGTCATTCATATCCAATATGCGAGTGGATGATTAATTGAAGCAGTTTGACTTTGAATATGCAATCAGTTAAGAGGAACAGTAGAACTTACAATAAGCAAATAGTTTGACTCTATCGAACAAGGTGTAGCATAAATCCCGGAGTAGGCTCTTACGGAATATTAAACAGAGTAGAATGGCAGGAGTTAAAGATTGAGTTAAATGATTAATAAGCAACCTATATCAACAAGATAGAGATCTACCCACTCAATTTTAATTTGACATTTTACAGCAGTGCTAAGACCAATCTACAATATAATATGTTGATGCAAATATTGAAGACAATTGGTATTGTCATCGGAAATATCGATGAGGCTCCATTAATTTTGGGAGGCATATTTTTAGAAAATTCATTTGATACTTCACATGCCATTCTAACAAAATTGGCTACTCATTATAAAGATATGCTTTTTAATCTCATTCTAAAATTGATAGGCTCCATTGAAATCTTTGGTAATCCTGTTGGATTAGTCAAACATGTTGCAAAGGGAGTTTATGATCTATTTGATAAACCAATTGAAGGGTTCATTAAGGGACCGATAGAAGGTGGGATTGGCATAGCAAAAGGAGCTGGAAGTTTGGTGTAGAACACAGTAAGTGGGATATCGAATTCAATGAGCAAGATCGCTGGTAGTATAAGTGGTGGGTTGGCTTACATCAGTTTGGATAAACAATACAAATAGGAGAGAGAACAATTTAGAGTTGTGAAACCTAATTAGATAATATCTGGAATCTATTTGGGAGGGAAATTACTATACGTATCTGTGACCAGAGCTGTCGTTGGAGTGTTTGATTTACCTGTGAATTAGGCGAAGAGAAAAGGGATGAAAGGATTAACTATTGGAGTTCTCGAGGGTACGGCTGGATTCTTTATCAAACCGTTTGCTGGGGTGTTTGATTTTGTGAGTAAGACAACTGATGGCATCAAGGCGACTGCTCAATATTGGGATGATAAGGCAAATGATAAGAGGACCAGAGATATCAGGGTAATATATTAATAGGAATAATTATATAAAAATTATAATGCTAAGGATGCCAAAATTATGCAATTTTTAATTAACATGAATAATAAATTTGAAGATTATTATTATTATGATAGTTTCGAATATGAGTCAGGAGGTACAGAATTAGTTTTTGTTTTGATGTATTAACAATTCTTCAATTGCGACAGGAAGAAAAAAAGTATCATTTGGCAGATTGATCCAAACAGTGTTTAGGATATTCAAATGATCAACGATGGTGTTTTATTCTTGTTAAAAGACTACAACGAAAAGTATAAGGTAATGTATTCCAACTTATTCGGTAGGCCAAACAGGTGCAATTGCATATGACACAGGAGAGACAAATGGAATAAGTGATATTAAAATCTTAATGGCTCTTGAGTAATATTTGATATTAATTATTTTAACTCACTTTCATGTCGACTCTATAATCTCTGAACAATGCCTTCAAAAAGTTCAATGTCTACACCAGACCTGTGAGTTTATTGCTTCTCAAAGAACAAGGCCATAGAACATATTTAGGAGTCTTTCTCACAACTGTCCTAGTGAGCCTTGTAATTCTGGTTTATTACAGTGGACTTGAATCGCTTATTGTCAGAAATAACCCAAGCGTTATCACATATACACAATACTAAGAGCATTAAAGTGCGTTTTATTTGACACCTTAAAATTTCAGCATCGCCATCGCTCAGAAGGGATATGATCTCTTGGATTCCTATATCCTGGAGGGAGCCCTGGGAGGTATAGACAGGTATTGTCAGTATTAATTATTTATAGTCCGATTTACCAGGAAATCCCTTTGACCAGATGCATCGATTTCCAATTCAATGATCCCACTTTGAATGCGTATTTTGATAAGGCAGATCAAATCTGGTACTGCATAGATTGGAGTTCCATTAGTTAACTCGTTATTGAGGGAGGTTTAGAATCCTCCAAAGACAAATCATTATAAATCATAGTTAAATAATGCACTTCAATGTATATTTGTTAATTAACCTTAGTACCTAATGTACATATCCAAACGTATTGGATAGTGATCAATTCATATTTAAAATGACATCAGCCAACACCGACATATCCAATTTCAAAACACCTGCATCCCTCATCGGCAAAACATTCAGTCTTACATCCCTCTCAAACTTTGCCAAAAAGTTGAACATCATCCTCCAACCACAACAAACACAAACCGATAACGGATACATCACTCAAGACTAGTATTAGGAAACGATGCTCTCAATTTCTAACTATTATGAAACCATCCTGGATAAAGATTCGGATAAGCATGTCTTCGAAATCAATATTTCACTTGATCAAAAAACCCTAGTTACTTAACGCTCCTATCCCAGAGTCTATCAATTCTTAGGAGATATTGGAGGCTTCTGGGAAATCATCTTTCTGTGTTCCTTATTGTTCATCATGCCCTTCAATAATCTATCTTACAGAGTGGCTTTATTGAATGAATTGTTCAATTTTGAACTAGACTTTGACCACAAAATACATCCTGAACATAGGGGTAGTTCAAAAGTCAAGGAAATCTTAAATAAATCGGTTCAACTTGAAAAATTCAATAGAATGTCCAAGGTTGCAGAACATGAAGAATAATAAAAATCTAAACTATTGGATTAAATTTCGAGTGACATCACTCAATTTTTCAAAGAATAAGAAAGTAAATTAGATCTTCAATTTTTTGATTATTTCGGTTGTTGCCAATGCAAAAAGGGAGGCAAGAGGGATCTTATTAATTTCTCTATGGGTAAAATCACTCACACTCTAGATATTACTTATATCATTAAAAAACTTTAAGAAATCGATAAATTAAAATTGATTTTATTAAATTCTGATTAAATCAAACTCTTTGATTATTTACCTAAACCCAAACTTGGATTACACATGAAACCAGGTGAAAATGAATACTGCTCTATTCTAAAACCAGAACTATCCGATCTTGACAAAGCATTAGAAGCCCAAAAGGCCTTTTAATCCCTTCAAGACTAGGATGATGAAATTACACCCAAACTTGTAAAGCTTTTAGACGACGATCTAGTTTCCTTATTTAAACTATAATTAAATAAGGGCGTTAATCGCTTTGTTAAAAAGCCAGGTCAATTAGCTGATGCAGTCTAATAATTGATGCTCATGAATGCAAAAGAAAAAGAAAATCAAAAGTCTAAGGATAAGAAGAAAGATAAAAAGAAAAAGAAAAAAGATGATTCTAGTAATTCAGATGACTCTGCCTCTTCTGGTTCTGAAAAAGATTGATTTAGTCATAGAAAAGTATATCATTATGAGTTTTATCTTATAAATTTATTTTTTTAACTAAATTCCAATAATTTTATAAATAGAATTGAATTTTCAACTTTTTAGATTGTGTTCTTCTTTTGTATTATTACTTAGATACACACTTTTACACTTTTATACTATCAATAAATCAAATATAATGAAATATATCTTCTAATAAATCTGACAATTATCATCTATAATTTAAATTTATCTTTAGGAATCAAATAATTAAGCATAATAATTTTAAATAATCAATAGTATTTATTCTTATCTAATGTAGACTCTTTTTAGGGAAACTTTCAAAAATTAAAATATTAATCAGGTTTTTTAACTTTATGTTTAGATCTGAATTAACTGAATAAATATCATACGTTAGTTAATTAAAGAATTCTTTTAATTGATCTGAAGTGTAGGGCAAATCATCATACAATTTAGGAGTGTATTCTTTTACTTGAAAATGGCATGGTTTGATGTTTTCTTATACATGTTATTAGTTTATAGTTGGAAGCCTGATATTAGCAGGACTATGACAAGACTTTGAAATTTCTGTTACTGATCTTTGAGTTCTTTCGTTTTTGGAAATCAGCACATTTCTTGTATTAGGTAGGACTGATAAATAATTTATTTAATAATCCAACAGCTAAGGTGATTACCTATTTTTCTATCTCTCTTGTGAGGATCCAAATGCAATTTTGGAGAGCGGTCTTTTTTTCTTTTTCTTCTTATATTACCATCTATTATCAATTTGATTTTTGAGAACGAATGAATTAAATTTCATCTAATCATTGACTTTTTATGAATTTTACATTATTATTTAAATATAATAACTATTGATTTTGTTAGAATGTATTATTCTGGTTTAGAGCAATATACTTTAGTTTTAAATAACTCAATTTCGTCTATTAGAATTTTGTATTTCTTAAATATTTCCTTCTGCTATAAATTGTAATAAAAAATAATAGATGGATGAAATTCATAATTCAAATAAGCATGATTATTAATTTTATATCTATTGTAGAATTTTAAATATTATAAATTTAAGACCTTCATGTTATATTTTTCATAATTTCATTGAAAAATATGGAGAATTTCATCAAATTCCTAGTAATCACTATTTGAATAATCAAATTTAGACAATATATCTTTTTTCATCTCATATCATACCTATGTTTTCAATGAAAATTTGAGAAATTAGAAATGTTTATTTGTTTATGAAATTTCTTTATAATAAAAATTTTGAGTACTTTTTTCAAAATTTAATTCTAAAAATAATAATATATGCAATCAGAAACAAGATAAAAATAAAAGCTAGTATTTTTAGGAAATTCATATGTTGGCAAAACCAGTATAATTGAAAGGTTTGTTTCAAATACATTCGATCCAAAATCTCAACCTACTGTTGGAATAGATTTTATTGGTAAAAATATCACAATAGATGGAAAAAATATGCGTCTTCTTTTATGGGACACTGCAGGACAAGAAAGATTTCATTCATTGATTCCTGGCTATGTAAGAGATGCATAATGCGCTATAATTGTATTTGATGTAACATGTAATACATTTCTTATATGATTAGCTAGACATTCTTTTGAGAGTTTGGATAGATGGTTTAATGAGGTTAAATAAACAAGGGGCAATGAAGCTGCGATTGTCATTTTAGGAAATAAGATAGATGCAGAAAGAGTTATCAGTTCATAGGAAGCCAGAGATTATGCGATGAAAAAGGATATTCTCTATTATGAAGTAAGCGCAAAAACAGGTAAGGGAATTGAAGAAGCAATGGAATAAATCTGCTTAGCATTACCCGCTGATCATTCTTTTCTTATAACTCAATCATAAGGTAATCTCATTCCAATAAAATTTTATAGTAAATCAATCACAATTTGAACAATAAACAGTGGTTTCGAATAGAAAATCTGTTCAGCAAGATCATAATGTATTTAAATAGTTGTAATAACAGCCTACAACTAAAAATAATCAATGTTGTGCTAAATCTTAATGAAATATTTTTGCTATTTTTTAATTTATAAACATATTAATTTATTGTATTCTATTATCATTTCACCTCTTTTTGATAACATAATAAAACAAAGATTAGCATAAATAAATGGGACTATAATTAATGGATAATCAATATATGAGTTTCTTAGTGTCTTTTTAATAGATAGTCTTTTGTGCAAGATTTAATAATGAATTTACGATTACAATTGTTATATTGAATTTATAAAACAGAAACCATAAAATAGATTTTATCATAAGATTCTTAGTTCATTATATTGATTCCAAATGTAAGTCTTAATATTATCATATATATCTCCTATTTTTCTCAGTTTCATGTAGTAAAATTCTTAGATTAATACAAGCTCGTATAGATATTTGTATTACTCAGAATTCATTAACTCATGTTCAGTCAAATTGGAAAAGATACACACAACCTAAATATTTAAAAAAGAAACTACCTAAACTATTAAATTAATTGATGTGTGATATATTCCAAAAATCATTCCATAGTAGGCTATTAATTCAATTATACTATTATTGGAAAATACAGGGATGAAAAAGAACAAAGTAATGCTTACTTGATCATTCGATATTGTGTAAAAAGAAGAGTAAACATTAATTATAAAAGTGATAAAGTATGTTAGCAACAAGACCACATAAAAAAAATGATTAGTGTTATTAATGCATTTATTCAAGTATATAGAGTGAAACTGAAATCCTTTGACCTAAATAAATCATACAATTATATTACACAGATATTGCAATGTTCACAGTGATAAACTTATGGTTTTTAGATGATTTTGCATTTAGGACAAGTCCTAGATATATCAAAATTAATAAATTGTTCATCTTTCTCAAAATGCAACTTAACTGCTCTCAATAATTCTGATAGATTTGATTAATCCCTATTTTCCAAATCATCTTACATTTCATCCTCTTCCAAAATATGATGTCTGTGTTCCCTAGTATCATTGCTATGGCATTCATAATTTATTTTAGGATGTGCTAAATTTTTAGATATCTATTTGCCTTCATCTTGTCTGTTGGTAGTCTTAGATAAAAAGATGAGGCAATAAAATAAGCTGTAGAGTGTAAAAATTAAGGAGATTAAGGATATGCTATAACCATAACTATCATCGCTTTTTAACCTCAAAAAATTGCATGCAATAAGAAACCCAATCATCAAATAGGATACACCCACAATTATATATTGAACTAATTTTGTGTTATGCTTTTTTATGAATACTTCAAATTGAATAGTTTCTACTATTTTTTTTATAGCCTAAGTCTTCAAATCTGTTTCTTAATTTGGCATAAGATCTGGATATGCTCTAAGCAGATATTCAACAGCATCATTAGAGTAATTTGAGATCGCTCTGATTAAAGGAGTTTTGCCCTTCGAATCCTATTGATTGTATGACATCTCCCCTTCAAAATATTTGAGCATATACACATCATTTGTATAGGCAGCCCAATGCATAATGGTGCAGCCAGCATTATCCTTCACATCTGTATTAGCTTATAGAGCAATTAAATAGAGGGCGATCAATTATTAATTACATTTAATAGCATAAAGTAGAGGTGTAAATATTAAGTTATCTTGCTCATTGATTTTATTTCCTAAATCAATAAAGAGTCTAACTAATTCCTAGTTTCCAAAATGACATGACATCATCAAGCAACTTTATTCAATTTGAGACTTGTTTAACGGATTTGCACCCTTTAAAAGCAAATATTTAACAATATCTAATCTTTCAAATGAAATGGCATGATGAATCAATGCGTATCCTGATGAATCTAATTCATCTAAATTTTCTGGAGTGTGTAATATTAATACATTGAAATTTCCTGATTGAATTTCTTATTCAAAAAATATAGGTTATTATTAGATTATATCTTCCAATTTCTCTTCAACATATTATTATGGTTGAGGCAACAATTAGGAGTCATGGGATTCACTACCCAGTTCAAGTTGTTCATCTTCCCCTAAAACAATATCATTCATTTTAATTAATATGCTCTTATAAAACTCAAATAATATATAAAAATATTAAAATTTAATATGCGGGGATTTTTGAGCCTTGCCAAGACTATAGTCTATTCCTCATCAATCGTTAAACCTACCTAATAAATAAAAATGCAGTTTCGATTGTATAGAAATATCTATATTTTAGGGCAAATCAACAATTGGCTTCATAATTCAGGTTATGTTCAACTATTCAAATTTTGAGATTAATCAATTTGTAAGGAGTGAGTTCCAATTCCTAATTAGAAGATGCGGATGGTATTTAATAAATCTCGATTATTAGAATAAGATTTGGAATCAACCATTTCTAAAATACTTTCAGTAACCCTAAAAAGCAATACTGAGAAGCATCCATTGAAATTAATAACTGAATGATTTCATATTTGGTTTATATCTAAAGTTAAATCAAAAATATAAATTTAACTACTTTTTACACCTCCCAGATTTATATTCAATTCCAAGTTAATCATATCAGTTTTATAAAATTGAAACTTAACTAATTAGAATGTTGAAACAGTTATCAACCTATTTCTATAATTCAGCTCCATTATTTTTTATTCATTCTTAAGATAACGACTAAATTAATTGATAAAATTCATTTCTATATTTAATTTCTTCAAATTCTTATATCACTTAAACTATATATCGTAAAAATGATCTAAGAAATGTTATATTAATTAGATTCCTATAAATTAGATCTATAAAAGTAACTTCATCTTTCTTAGAATGTATTTTCAAAAAATAACTGGCAAATTAATTGATTCCTCCACATTTCAAATTCTTTATGATCTACAGTAGTAGCATAACTTATCAAACCAATAGAATTTATAATGTCTATTTTAATTATTTTATATATCTAAATTTACTAATCCCAAAATCCAAGATATATATCTGTTTAGAATTTAGTATATTTTTAGTTTGATAATCATTTATACTCTAGATATTTAGGAAATAGATTCTATAAATATTTATGATATTCTCTCTTATTTATATCCAAGAGTGAATTCCTAAAATTTTTGGATTCAAAATATGATTGATCTATTTTAGTTAGTCTAATATTCTGATTATCAATATTCTTCAATTAATTTTAAATTGATCTAAATTTAGATTCTCATTTCAATATATGAACAGAATTGATGAATAATCAAATATTAAGAAATTATATTTCATTTAACAGATTTAATTAGTATATTGTGTAACTAGATCAAATAATTTGTGAAGTTTATAGATTAAATATAAGTCTAACTTAACTCTCATAAAATGGATGAGCATGTCAAAAATTATTCAGAAGAACTCTCACACATAAATAGTCCTCTTATTTTTTACAGTTCACCTTTTTTCAGAGGGATTATTTAAAGTTTTAAATGGCAGGTAATTGTTAACTTAAAATTCTTTAACGAGTACTCTTAAATCCATTATTTCTGTTATCAAAGTTATGATTTGCTTAGGGGAAAGGGAGGACAAGTGTAAATCTAATTCTTCAATCAACTCAAAGTACCAATATAATAGCATCAATTATAATGCGAAGAAAAGCATTAAATTTACGGTGAATGCGTATTATAATAATTTACTAATATATATATTTAACTCAGAGTGCAAAGATTAATCATGCTTGACTTTATATGTGTAAGCTTATTTATTGAGATTCAAACATGCTTTAAGTCATGAAAAAGCTTTTGCTCATAGGATTTTGAGCATTTAATCTACACCTTTCTAATTGCTTATTCCATTCACTCTATTTTATAGTTATTTGAGGTTTTGGTATTCTAAGCAAATTGGAACTATTCATTTAGTAAGTTTTTATTTTTATTTTATTTTTTGAAATTAATCATAATATTTGTATACTTTTATATTAAATTCATCTGGTGAAAAAATCATTTTATTTATGCTTGTATCTATTATTTTATAAATGCCTTTTTTTCATCAATGCATTTTTTGATTTATTCCTCAGTATAAATTTGAGCACTTAATGTTCTTAAGGTTTCCCCTTTTTTATTGATAGCTTTTAACAAATTCATCTATTGCTCTGGTATTTCATTGAGTTTAACCTAAGTTATTAATTGCCAAAAAGGATTAACTGTATCCTCTAGGTTATGATCAGTGTACTTATACAGCAAACTTCTCACTTAATCATTATCTAATTAGTCCATCAAGATATCGAATAATTCTCTTATCTCCTTTCTTAGGGTCAATACTTTTAATTTAAAATTATCGGCCTTTTGCTAATATTCGGATTATAATTCCAAATGAATTTTATTAGAATTATTGATTTGATTGATCAATTTATTTAAAGCCAATTGTTGTAGTGTTTTATCATTTTGGAAATGTTCGAGGATGATTTCAGTTTCAGCAGCCACTTCTAAAGTGATTTTGACATCTCTCAAAAATAGGAATTTATAGCTTTGAACTTCTGAGTACTCCGAAAAAGAGTTTTAAGGTTATTGCATATTAAATATATATTTAATAATTTGTTGATCAAACTCTACTACCAAAAATAGAGCTTAAAGGTCTTCCAAATTAGCTTTATTCTTGTTCGGCATCTGCATAAGGATCTTCAATTCCTTTTTCCTTAAGAATCTTTCTGAAGTTTTTAATCATTGCTTCATTGGCTTGTAATTGATTGATGGCGATTTGCAACTAATTCTATAATTCGACATTCTTTTGGAATTCAAATGGTTGTAACTTCTATTTATCAAAATTGGGACCTCTCAAGATCTTACCAACTTTATTACTCTTTTGAGGCAATGATTATAGTCTAGCCTAGGCACTGCCTTATTTATTAATATTCAAAGCTGAAGGTAGTATGGGTTACTAAGATTATTGCATTACATCTTCGTTCATCATTTCCACATTTTACTAAGGATATTAAGAATATGAATACTTCTCCAATGTTTCTGCCAAGCTTAGTTTGTAATACTTTAATTTCCTATTTGAACTTTTCATTTTCTTTTTTATATTTGTCATTTTCAATCTTTAAATTCGATTTTTCGGTTTCATAATCCTTACATTATTTTCTAATTTCATTTAACTCATGGATTAATTATTAATTCTCGCTAGTTCTTTTATAGATTTCTTTTTCTCTTCTAACCATCATTTTTTCTGTACTCGAATTTATTTATATAGCACTCTTTTCAAGATGATTGATGTGTCTATTCATTTCCTCAATAGAACGAGGATCATTGGAACTTTACTTAATTTCTTGTTGAAGCACATATCTTTAATACAACTTGGTCATCTCTTTTTTCCATTCCTAAATTAATGAATTTAAGTTACTTTATCATCAATATAATGAACACAATTGTGAATGTCTCTAGTAATATTTTAAATGATATTTTCCTTCTTTTTTGTAGTTTAAATTTATAAATTTAAATCATGAGTGAGAGCATTAGTTTTACTGCTTTCTTCATTGATTTTAGAGTTCAATTCACTATTAATTTTTAATTACTTTGCAAATTCACTTTCCAATCTAAATAATTCTTCCTTTAATTTCTCAATTTAAGCTTCCTTGGGTTCTAGTGATTTCTTCATTTCTGTAGTTCTAAATGATAGAACATGTTTAGATTTTTGTAAAACATTAATTTTATCTTTGTATTCTGAAATCTTTTTATCCTTTTTCTTCAATTAATCATCCTTATCTTCTAAATCCTTGCATTAAACATCAATTTTTGTTTCAGCTTCCTTAAGATTCTTTTCTAATAACTAATAAGCCTACTCTTTCTCTTACAATCTTTTGTCTAACTTTTCATTTTCTAATCTTAATTCTTATACTAATTTTTGTTCTTATTTAAACTTCGAGTCTTTTTCAGCAAGTAAACATTTAAGCCTATCAATCTCTTTTTTCTATCTATCGTTTAAGTCTTTAATTTCAAATTCATGATCTTCTTCTTATTACGCTAAAATCTCTTCATATGTAGCCTTCAATTAATCTGCTTGATTTTAATTATTCTCCAAAGCTTTAGCTGTGATTTAGAAATTCTTATAAAACTTTTCTTTCAATTCATCAATATATGATGTATGTTTCTATTCAAATTCTTTGGCTTAAGCTTGATTTCTTCTTCTTTCCTCCATCAAATCCTATTCCAATTAGAGATATTTCTCATTTTCAAATGCTAACTTTCTTTCATATAAATTTTCTAATTCTTCAACTGCTTTTAAATGGTTATTTTCTACATTTTTAAATAAATTGGCAGATTCCTTTTCTGCAGATGACTTTTAAGCCTTTAACTAATCATAACGAGCAGCCCAAGCAGCAATTTCGTTATTCATTTACTTTTCAATTTCTAATTTCTCCTTCTCAACTTTTCTTTTTTCTTCCTATACTTTGAAATCAGTCTTCTAATCAAGATCTTACAAATCATTATGGAGTTTCTTCATTTCAGCAATATATGTTTCGATCTCATTTCTTGAAACTAATAGAACATCAGCTAAATTTTCATCTACAACACCAGCCTTAGGATTAATTTTATCAATATCATCCATCTACTCTTTGGCTTCAGCCCCAGTCTTAGAAGCGTATATTTAACCATCATTTGAAATTTCAGAGACTTAATATATGAATAGGGCACCATCAGATCCAGTTGAGAACACATATCTTCCATCTGGACTGCATTTAATTCTAGTGATCTCACCTTAATGGACAGGCATTGTTTCAAAAGCCATTTGATTGAATATATAGGAGTATATTTTGATTTAGCCATTTTCTGTTCCTCCAATAATTCCAAATTAATTATATAAGGATTAAATGTAAGCTAATTAGGTCAATTTTTATTGACCAAGATCATGGAAGTGATGATCCTTGCCAGTACTTATTCCATTCTAAACAATTCTCTATTCTCTAACTATATATTTGGTATCAATCTTATCTTGCTCTGTTTTATCTTTAATACTCTCAGTTCCTGCAGCTATCAACATTCCAATTGGTGGATCATAAATCAAAGATGTATATTTATTAGTATTATAAACATAATCCTTCCTGGACCAATCATTGGGAGTCCATTCGAATATACTACCATCTAAGCCACAACTGGCCAAAAAGGTATCTTTGATTCCCCAGATCAAATCAGTTATTTGATTACTGTGTCCTTTTAAAGTGTGCATGAATTCCATCGTGTAAGCATCATAAATATTAATATAATAATGATTGCTTTTAGCTCTTGGATATGCAACTGCCAACATATGACCTCCTTGACTAAATTTCACCTAAGTGCAACACTTCACTGCCATTTCTTTATAAGCACGTAATTCACTATGCAAAACATGGAAGATACGTAACTTATCTTAAAATCCTGCTGCCAAATAATAGCCTGTGGGATGAAAACCTACTGAACATAAAGGCGAAATGTCTTAGGTTGTACTTTAATTCTCCTTTGTTCCCAAACCTTATTAATTACCATCATCTCCTAAATAAAATTTACGAGCTAATTCACATCTGGGATAAGCATAATTCCAAATTCTAATTGTACTATCATATTTGCTTGCTGTTACTATTAAGGGTCTTTATAAGCAGACATCTAAATGAGTAATTGGGGCATTATGAAACCCATTAAATAAAAAATCAAATTTAACCTCTCTCTTTAAAAATTTCTCATTATTCTTATATGATTCCAATACTTCAGTTGAGTTTGGCAATACTTGACCCATTTCAATTGTGCAGATATCATTGTTTGAGAATGCTACCGCAACTAGATCTTCTTATTTCGTTATGTCCATACTGACAACTTAACTTTTTCTTTCGCATCTCCATTTCTTTAAGAATTGTAAATCCATTACAACCTCAATACCATCTTCTGTCTTCTATTTATCGTGATCATCTCCTCTAATCCATAGTGCAAAATGACCACTATCTGATCCAACCAAAAATCCTTTCGAAAATGTTATCAAAGAAGAAACTCCAGGGCCCCTGATATCATTAAAAGCATTGTTTATATATTGTCTAACATCATTATCGTGAATAATGAAAATTTCAGCTTTGTCATTTGCCAAAATCACTTTATTCTCTTCGAACCATGCATGATCTGTAAATGTCTAAATAGGAGCCAATCTTTTAATTTAATCAGTTAAGGAAATAAAGGAGTTTTCTTGAACTCTTAGTATTTTAAAGTAGTTTTTTCCACTTACAGCCACCATATGATTATCTTTTGGAGATATTGAAACTCTAGTCAATTCTTATCCTATTGCAGATAATGCTAAATGTTTCATTCTAATCAAATCTACAAAAATCAATAAATAATCTGGAGGACCTGTTAAACAAAGTAAAAATCTAATTGGGATTCAATTTTAAATATTACCTTGAATCTGTATGTGAAAATGCCATACTAATGAATGTTGATGATTTAGTATCTAAATATTTATATGGTTTCTTCTCAGCTTCCATTTTACTGGGATGGGCTTTCAAATTATATATTACTAACTAAGGAACTGTTTCATTTTTCATTTTTTCTGCAACTGCTAATGTCCTATTAAAATTAAAACCTGTTTCATTACCTCTTGTTTGGAGCAACAGTCATGCAGGAAACAATATCTAGATTGTCAGATAATCGAATAAATTGAGTATCTGGCTTATCAATAAATTTCTAAGCTATAAATTTACCAACTGGATAGAGTAATCTCCTTTATTCATCTAAAAACTTAATATATTGACTTTCTACCCTCTATAATACTTATGCTATCTTTAAATTTTGCAGAACATAAACTACCATATGATTATATCACATCTAATTTAAGTCTTCTATCTTCATTTCTTCTTTTCTTGTCATCCATTTTTAAAATTATTATATATATAATAATAATTGTGAAATCACAGATTATTATTTATCTCAATTCTATTTATTGTTGGAAGAGGCTCAAATCACCAACGAGAGGAAGGAATATGGTCTATTTTAATCCAAAAAAAGAACTGTCTGCAATTTCATAATGGGGAACTGACTAAGATTATAGCAATGGTTTTTAATCTAGTATGGTTATAATTATAAACTGAGATATAATTAATAAATTCAGCTTAAAATGATATCAGAACAAGTAGAAACCTTTTTCTTAATTATATGCGATTAATTAAAGTAGCAGGTAGTGATGAAATAATTAATAGGACTATGAATAAACTGGAAGAATGAATTATTATAAAGAATTCTAATAGACATATAGCAATGATCACAATTATCAAATTAAATAACATTTTCTTTGATAAATTAAAATCAATCAAACATTTAAACTAAATTTTAATCAAATAAACAATTTTTCATTTTCATTATATTTCAGAATTTAAATCATATAGGTTAGATAAGAGATTAATAAATTTACACTTCCCTAAGAATAATCAAAATGCTTTCGAATTGATAATCTTTTTTATATAAATTTTTTTAAACCTAAACAAGTAGGAAATAATTTTAAAATCAACATCTTATTGTTAACAAATTATTTTTTTTTTAATTAGATGGAAATGATTCTGATATATTTTGAAAGAATAATAAAATTGGTTTAAATGAAACTATGTAGAAAATAAATATATAATTAGGTGCATAAATATTAAGATTCATTATTTTTCTGTTTAGTCTTAATCTCCTTCCTATGATTCTATTTAAAGGGCTCTACCAAAAGGGAAAAATTTAGTCTCTTTTTCTTGAATACATTTATTAACATATTTTTCTAAAGCGTTGCAATCATTCGGATCTTTATTTTTAATATAAATTATGTAATATAACATATGGTAAACGCTATGTTCTAGATATATGTGGTAGTGCCATCCTTTTGTACCTCTAATATGAATATAAATGAAGATATTACTTAGTATCAATGTCATTTTTATCTTAGCTACAAATAAAGCATTTGCCTTCAATTTCTTTAACCAAAGCCTATCTTTCATCTCTCAATTCACCAAAAGTATCCAAAATGATACCAAATATGATTTGGATAAAAAGGATGTTAAAGATGATGAAAAATGTAAAATCAAAGAAGTATCTGCCCCAATATAAAGTGGGGTCATCATAAGCATCAGGATATTTCGTCAAAGATTCTCCTATGCCTCCACCATTTCTCAATCCGAAATTGATTGTTGAAGTGACAGCAAGAATGAATGTTTAGCCATAAACACCACTTTCATCATCAAACATTTAATCAAAATTAGAAAATGCGATAATTGCATAGATTAACAAACCAATCAACCCTAGGAATGAAAAGATTGCTAGATTTCGGCCATTGGATGTAATGGATCTTATGATATTTTAGAGATCCTCTGATCTTTTGACAATGTCCAACAGGAGTATAGCATAAATGTAAGGATTAAAGAATGCATATACTGTTAATCCAAAAATGCAAATCTAATTTATATAAATAAGTCTTACATTATAGAAATTATCGAAGTCGAAAAATATCACCAAAATTAATTTCTTTATCGAACTTTGATTTACTTTTTCTTCTTAGAATTCAGATTCAAAATAACCTATCAAACTGTAATATTTCATTGTCAACCATGAAATCTAAAAGCCTGCTTCCTTCTTTAAGATTTGTACTCTCTTAGCATTTGTCTGTCCTCTATTATATGTAATAGAAATAGGGTATCTTTCAATGGCACAAAAGAAAACAATAATTAGATTTAAAACCAACTACACTATCGTAATTATCTAATATAGAATAAGAAATCTATACATTATTTAAATAACTAACGAAGCTTTCTCCAGATGTAACATTTTAATCTTCAGGTGCTTCAGTATTAGATCCTATTTTACTGTTGATTACCGTATCATGCATGAATATAAGTAGAACTACAATAATTAAACACAACAAGAAGGAGACATCCTTTAATAATCTCCAATATACAGCACCAAAGTGCATAACCTTTCTATTATTAATGTATTAAGAATGTCTCATTTGAACTTGATAGAACTCAGAATACTCGATCAATCCCAACATTCTATCCTCGTCTGTTTCTCTATTGATTTCATAGATCAAATGTTGTTTGATATTCGGAGTAATAAAGTTACAAACAAATGGTTTTTAGAAAAAGACTTTTTCTAATTGATTGAATTCATTTTGTATTTCTATTCTTCCTGTGAATTGTCTATAAAATTTAAAGAATCTTTAGGTTCTATCAAATTAATAGCTTTTATCATTTTGAACGTCCAGGAAAATTTTCTTTAAGCTTGAATTTTCTAATTTGGGATCTCCACCAGGCAACAACCCATCACCTTCATCCTAATTATAATCATATTTGCTTCCTGGATTTATAGGTAAAATCTTTTGGTTTGACAAAGTCTTCTTCTTTTATAATTCTTCTTCTTGAAAATCATCCAAATCTAAAAGGTCTTCCTATTCTTCTTATTCCTCATCAAATTTGAATAATTCCAATTAAGAGTCTTATGTGAAATGTTCTGATAATTTTAGACAAATTATAAATATATTAAACCCAGTCTATATTAACATATTGTCTTCATCTGTTCTTAATCCAAAGTGGCATAAACTATTAGTACAATGCCTATGATTTCCTGTTTCTGATTCATCGCAAATGTTATCTAAAATGATGTTCCTTTATTTGGGTTTTATTCTTTCCTCATAAATAGACTTGGATATCCTTATCAAAATAGTAATATCAACTGTTTTTAAAATGAACTCTAATGATTGAATATCTGATCTTCCTTAGGTCAATAATAACAGCAATTTGATAAAGGATTATAGAGTTTAATAGGAAGAGTATTTCTTTTTACCTTCATTAGTTGCAATGCCTTCTCCATCTAAAACTATGTCTTCATCCAAAGTCTAATTCATTTATTACTTCTCCTTCAATATCATTCTATTTTCTTTATAGAGCGAACTAAAATTCTATAGGTCTTATTTTTGAAGAATTGAATTCAATAAAGTGAATAATCTTGCATTTTTGCATAATTCTTTCTTATTTTCTACATACCCTGTAGAAAATTCAACTAAACTCTCCAATGCTTGTCTATAAATTTCTTGTAACTTATAAAAAACTCTCTATCCTTTTTCTAAAAGGTCAGCTAGTAATCCTGCTACTTCATTTACTATATTGATATTAGCTTAATATGAATCGTCATCATATTAAAATACAAGGAATCTCTAAAACTCCATATTTACATTCTCACATAAGGCTTAAAGTAATTATAGAACCTTAAGACAAAGCAATTTATATTCAGTATTGTCCCCATTAGTTAATTCTAGTTCTTTTATTCTAACATCTAGATCTATCAAGAAGAATCCTCTCAAAAACACTAGAAACTTCTATTTCACATGTTCTTCCTTCAACAATTTATAAAACTTCTTTTACACATATTCATTTCCATAATCTAATAAATGAATAAGAAAAGACAAAGCTTCAATTTTTTATTGATCATCGTCTGTTTAATTTAACATCTCCAATGCCAAAATATCTAGCTATCCATCAGCCATAGCCCTTTAAAATTTTACATATGTTTCCTTCTTATCCCTAACAAATTATTTAGAATCTTCATCCTTTGCTTCTGTCAAAGAGTCTATTTCATCTTGAGTTGGCCTTTTGAGTTATAAAAATATTCTGCAAAGTTTGATTAGATAAATTTCTTTATTTAAAAAGATTTCTTAGCATTTTTTCAAAAAATCTTTAAGATTATCTAAATTAAAAACATTAGTTTGTTATTTCTCTAATGTTTTTATTAAGAGTTCTATTTAAACATCCTCAGATATCAAATTCCCATTTAACTCAAGTTATCCTCCTAATTTTTTATAATATTTTGCTATTAATCGAATTGTAGATAATGAAAAGTCTTTTTTCAAGCTATCCAAGCTATCTTATTAACGCTAATAAGCTTAAATTTATTATTAAGCAATATTTGCATTAAACTTTCTTTCAAAAGACTCTCTCATAGCCTATTTAAATAATTCCCAATCTACAAATTATTTGTTTCTGTTATTCACAGATTCTTGATTTTTAATACGAGCAACATCAGTTTAATATATATTTTCAATATCTTTTAATAAAATGTATTATTTATAAACGTTGCAAGTCTTAACAATTTTTCTTGACTTTTCTTAATCGGTTAATTCTGATGAACTTTTTTCGATATAATAACAAAACTACAAAATGTTTACTTTATATCTTATCAAATATATTTTAAAGTTTCTCTTAAATGGATTTTCAATCCTTTAAACATTATCTTATTCTTAAAGTTTTTTCTCTCCATTCTAATCTTCTTTTAAAGTATCATATTTATCAAATAATAATTTATCAGTATTTTTATCTTATATAAATCCAATTCTAAAATTCTAACCAAATTTAGTAATTTTCCTTTGAGGTATAATTTCCTCAATTGAAATTATTAATTCTCTATAATCATCCAAATCTAAATCTTCTTTCTTTACTCTAAAATCTCTTTCTAATACATTAAATATCTCTTTTATTTTCTACACGTTTTATTTGATAATTGCAAATTCATCTGACAAATTGGAATTCTCAGGGTTTTCAATATCAATTCTATCTTTCATTTCATCATAGGTATAGACTAAAAAGTGAATAATACCATTTTTTCTCAAATATGTCCAAAATTCACTACAATCTCTAAGTATTCCAATCTCTTTTTCAGATGTAGAATCTATAGATAATCTTTTTTCAAAATAATTTCTTTTTTATCTTGCGATTTGTTCTCTCAAATCCTTCTGAGTAACTTTCTTATTCTTATCTTAATTTATTAATTTAGCCAGCCCTTCCAAAAATTTACATATTTGTTTCTAATCTAACTCAGGTATAATTATTCTTGATAATATGTCTCTTACTTCAT